ATTGAGACGGATCAGCGATCTAGTTTAGCGATAGTATAGCAAGAGTGATGGCGGAAAATAATAGTTATAAGCAGTTGACACTGCTTCAGAGATTGACTCGCGGATCAGTGAGTGAGGTCGAGAGGGGAGAGAGTGGAGACCCCGGTGGAGGTCCGTCTCTGCAGCCACATTTGCGCGGAGCAGGGACACACCTTTTATATATTCTCCTAGTATAGTGATTTACAAATTTATATTATTTACAGGTGGTGCATCAAGAGGCAGTTGCTGTGCACAAAAAAGGTAAGAGGACTACTATTTCTATTCTTGTACATCCCATGGCAATATAATATAATAATATAGTATACTGTGTTTGGTCCAAAAATAGTCAGTCGATAATGTGGGAGGAAGGCCTTCATTGTATTTTATGTATTGATTTATTGTAACAAATTCACTGTATAATATAGTTATTGTGTGTATCCATTTTCCAGCACGTTCGTCACCCAGAAGCTCTGGGGAAGATGGCTGACAGGAGGATCAGTGGGAGCCGAGTCAGTTGCCCTTCACAGGAGCTCCTGGACCACAGAGGTTGCGAAGCTGGATTCATCTGATCCAGCTGACTTTCTGGAGCTGGATTCATCTAATCCAGACTTTCTGGAGCTGGATTCATCTGATCCAGACTTTCTGGAGCTCTTCTTCACGGAGGGAGAACTACAAATGGTACACAGCGTGTCGTGTTCCGTTGCACACAGTGTTTCAACCTCTACAACTCAAAGCTGAACTACTGGGAGGACTGAAAAAGCAGATAAACTCACTCATACACACACTCACGAACACTCACACGCACACAGACACACACACAGACACTCACTCACACAGACACTCACTCGCACACTGACATTCACACATTCACATGCTTCATTCTATTTTATACATCTATAGTTTTATTGATCTTTGTGTTGTTGTTGTTTGACGTTTTGGTTGATGGAATAGAAGAAAGTTAAATTTTCTATCTGTGAATAAATTGCCAACAATTTGCCATCAAAAGTATTATTTCAGAGTCATGTTTTTATAATTTTTGTAATGGAACAAGTGTGAAGATGTTTTGAGTTGTCACTAAAGCAGCAAAAATGCATCTAAAAGTCTCTTTTCTGCTTGATATGTTCCTGTTTACATACAGCTCGTTTTCTCTGTTTTCTTGCTCAGACCAGGTGTTGTGGGTGAAAGTATGCTTTGTTCTAATAGCTCAAGAACGGTAAAAGGTAGAAACAAACTGTTTTTTTCAGAGTAAAGCAGAGAGGTTAATCTTTAATTTCCTCTTCCGCCTCCGTCGAGCAAAGACGTGTCTCAGACGCTCCTGCTTCTGACTGCTTGCTATCTCCTGTTTTTGTCTTTTTCCTGGAGTTTTGCCACAGACAACTTTTAGCAAGAATGGAAATGGTAAATTGGTCCCTCAACGCAATTGATTCTATCTTTTCAACACGTAAGCGTGGGTCTGGAGAGCCCGAGTGCCCGGACGGGACTTCACCAGCGGGGTATACTCTTGACAGCTGGAACAAGTGGCAGCCCCTCTGTCTGTCGACCCTGTCCATTGAAGATTCGGAAGACGTATATATCTTTGGCTTTTTGGTGGTGGGGATCCTCCTGTTTGGGTTTGGAGCGGTTCTATTCTACCATAAATTCGGAGGCATGGCAGTTCGCAAGATTCACGACCTGCTGGCCAACAAAATTGATGGGATGTACAAGGAGCTTAACCGAGTCGTGGTTGAGAGCGCTGTGGCTGGACAAAGAAGAGTGGTTTTGGTGGAACAGTTGATAAAAGATCTCGCAGCTCGTTCACTTGATGGGCATAAAACGCTGGAATTGAGATTGAATGACATTGTTTGTCACGCTTGAACTCTCTGACCCGGCTTGGATTGGCCCCTGTGTACGGGGTTTGAGGGCGCCGCAATTCGGTTTAATTGGATTTAATAGAATATCTGCCTGTTTTTGACTGCTAAACTGCATACAATATTGTCCCTCGTTACAGGAGATGTGTTCTCTCCCTATTGTGTCTTCCCTCCTCTCTTATCTCACATTCCTCGGGCCAAGGCCATCATAATAAATCTGGTCTCTACAAAAATTTCACACTCTTTCAGTCTTCCAGCTTGGATCCCGCTCCCCCCGCCTCCCTCTGATCTCTCCCTCCCCTCCCCTCCTCACTGTGTTTCCGACTCACCCCCTCCCTGACCCCGCCCCCCTCTGACAGCCACATTGGACCGGCAGCCAGAGGTGCTCATCCCAAGAAAAAAATCCGTGGTTTATACAAAGCACAATGTTTTCTATCCAACTGTCTGTTGTAACCTGTATGTTATTGCTCTCTGCTGTTTATTCTACTGTTTGTCGCATGGCGCCGGAAAAATGGCGCTGTGGCAAGAGCTCTGGTGTGTGTCGCCTTCTCTGTCTGGCGCACACCGGGGTAGTCTTGCACAGTTTTTCCAATGTGGTTTTACTGCAAATGGCAAATAAATGAATCTGAATCTGAATCTAATTTGGTGCCCTTTGTGTTTACATCGTCTAAAAAATGAATATTCTGTGACACTTCAAAGTTGGGTCAAATCACCTGAAATTGCTGGCAGAACGCACTTCTAAAATCTGAAAATGCCTGGCAGTCAGTGAGTTAATGACAAATATGTGGTATGCAATACAGATATTGTTTTTACAGCGTTTTTATTACTTATGCCATTATACATCAAAACATTATACAAAATATTTTACAACAGGTTTCTGATTATTTATGAAGATTTTTCCTGTATAACTTATTCAATTGGCATTAAATTAAAAAAAAAACAGTGCCTTCTTAGCCTTCTAAAAAAAAACTAAATACAACATTTACATTTTTCCAAGTAAAGAAGAGTGCAAAGAACTTTTATCAATAAATACCTGACATAAATGGTAAAATACATTTAGTGGTGAACAAAACACAAACAAATTATGCAAGAAGAGTTTTCAATACTTTACAGCTGATGTCCCAATAATTAACATTTTACAATTCCAGGTCAGAGGGCCAGTCTTTATTGGGTTTTATTTAATACAATTCTTAAAATGTTTAATTCTAGATTTCCAGACTATCACTTCAAGCTCATAATTTTACGACTACATGAACCATGATCCTTTGCCTGGTTTAAAGCTGGGGTACCTCACTTAATTCTATCATAAATATCACTTTTTATTTGAACCATGAACTCTGTACAATAATTCCATTGTCTGTGCACAAATTATATACACATTTCTTGAACCTTGAAAAGAAACTGTTTTAAGAGTAGGAAACTAGTTAGTTGGAATTTTTTTTTTTTTTTACTTCAGTACCCTGCCTCTATTTGACAAAGTAGCAAATCTACAGTTTACTCAATTTTTTGTAATAAACATATTTATACCTTTTGTTAAAATATTTGTTTGTATACCTTTTCATTATAATAGAGAGAGAGAAAAAATTCCATATTTGCTTGATGAAGGCATAATGCCAAAACTTCGCACTGCAAATAAATTATTTTTAGTTTGTAAGTAAGTCATCTCTCTATCACATTAGGCTATACAGGCCTCTGCTCCTACGCACCCGATCTGTAGGTATTGATGTGCAAATCCCTACTCCATACCTTTTCATTACACAATAATCACACAATGTTTAGGGCAAAAAGGAAAATCAGAACTTGGCACTGCTTTATGAGACTGCAAAAACTCTTGAGGCAAACGAAGGTCAAAACTAAAGGTATTTTTTGTCTAAGTAGTACCCTAAGTAGTTCATAAAAATGCTTATTACCACATACAAGTTGTATTATAATCTATAATTTAATAGAAAACTTGAGGTAATTGATTCAGCTGTGTAAGAATTACAAGCAGTGAAAAGTGCTGAGTAGAGTCTGAGCGGGACGTTTGTTCTCCTCCACTCACAGAAGAGCAGTGAACAGTCTGCGTCCTCTAGCCTCTACAGCGCTGCGCGGCTTCGGCCTCAAAATTCGAATATAATTATAAAATTAAAAAATATATATATTCGAACAAATATTAGACAGCCCTTATAATTCGAAATGTATTTAATGACTGCAAATAAAATAGTTAGCTCCCAAAGGTTTCACTGTGACGTGTTAGCTAGCTTAGTTTTTTAACTAAGAACTCTAGAACTACATGAAAACTGAACAAAGAATTCTGAACATCAGCGGTGAGTTACCCATTTATATACCAAACCTAAATCCATCAGATCCTCCTCAAATGTGTCCTAAAATGTTCGTTTCATGGTAATGGTTACTTCCGGGTTTTTCGCAATCGCTTTTTGTCACATTAAAATAGTATTTTTATCATGAAAACGTTCAACACCAAATTCTGAAATCGTCCGTGCATGTGTGTTAGGGATGTATATGTATACTGTACTGTCCGATCAACATTTAATGGTGTTGATTGATTGATATGTATTTGTTTATTGAGCGTGGCTAGCTCCGCTAGCTTCTCTGCACAGACAACTGTGTGCAGAGAAGCTGACAGTGTAGTGACAGGCGCTCAAGGCTTGTTGTACTTGCAGAGTAATGTTAGTATTTTACACACCTGAATTACAGAGATTGCGTTGCCAAAGGGCAGCGGTCATTATTGGTTTGAGAGTTCTGTTATGAAGAAAAAATGATCGGTAGAATTACATTCAAGTCAATGGAGTGTTCTACTGCTGCTGTGAGGAGCTGTATAATAAATTATAATTAATGATTCTAATATATTCTAATGTTAAATGAATACATTCGGATGCGAAACTAGCGGTATTCTTTTACCGTGTTATTTGTTATTATATTGTGTTAGCAGTGCGTTGCTTTAGTACTATTTCATCACTGATTGTTGTACAGCTTACAAGAAGTTGCGTTAATGCTAATGTTAGCATACATGTCAGATCGCAAATTGAGCTAGATGGCTCTGTGTTATGAGAGCGTAGGGGAAATGAGAAGCCATTGAGCGAGTTGAGGGGCGGTGCTAAACATTCAAACCTTTCAGAAACGGATATAGCGACTTTAACTGTCCAATTCTTCCGCTGTTGGAGCAGACTGGATCGTTTGTTTTTCCAGAAGCCCCTTGTCCTCCCCTGGTGCCTCATCCTTGTCCACGGTTTCTGAGGAAGGTTTTACCTCTTCAGTCTCTTCCTCCTCTTGCACCATGGCATGAAGTTTTCTCTTGAAGCATCCCAACTGCAGTAAAGTCAAATCGTAAGTCGTTGAAATCCTTTATTCAGGCCATCGATCAGTTATGATCACAGATTTTGATGGACAAAAATCTCAGTTTAAAGTTACCCAAATAGATTTCATTGTTTTTCTACAGTGACAGTTCCAGTTTATCATTCCCAAATTATCACTAGGATGGCACTATTTTTGGCCAATTTGATGTTTGCTTATTTATTTTATGGTTAAACTCAAACCTCTGTGGGCACCTTTTTAAGATCTGGCCACAGATAGAATATCGCCTCTAGACTCAGAACTAACAGATTTAAGAACTCTTTTATTCCTGTGGCCATTGGTGTTTTAAACCAATTTTTTGTTGGGTCTTTTGTGTATGATATGTATGTATATCTTCTGCTAGAACCAAATAACGTATGGAATAATACGGGCATCTTGAAACTAGAATCAAACAAGTGCTGTACGCCATTAAAAAGAAGTCCGTATCTGTAAAGGGATGAGCTGTGAACTAATGACAGAAAAAAAGTTACTTATTCAATTTGGTACAACTCTAATACTGCCGGATAAAAAAAAAGAAGTTATAATTATATTATCAAAAAATGATTCGCAGTCACCCAATTCGACCAGTTTTTGTGACCGGATTCAGCAAATTTTTAGTATGAAACGTATTGGCTTCATAGTTAAAAATAATTATGAAGGCAGATTAATTTAAATCCTCACAATCATGTATTCTCTCTGCATGATTTATGTGCAGTAGAATGAGTAGGAGAATGTCAAACGTACCTTATACATGATAATGGTGATGATAATTAAGAGCAGCAGTCCGCCTCCAGCTCCAGTCAGAATTATGAGAAGTTTATCAGGCAAAACAATCAGCTCGATGTGGACCTCACTCTGTCGGAGAAAACAATATTTGGTTATGTTAAAGGTCCCATATTGTGCTTTTCGACTTTTCTCAGCTTTAAACATCATTACAGTGCTAAAATAGTTTTTTCCTTGTTTCCTTTAGTCCTTTAGTTAACGAGTGATATTTTTCTTTCATTCTCGAGAGGCAGCAAAACGCCTCGATTCAGTTCGTGGCATGGCACCAATTCGTGACGTGAGAAGCCCGCCCCCAGGAAGTGATTGACAACGGAAGAAATCAATCAGTGCATGCAGTGATGTCACCAATTGAGCTGACATCACCTCTATGCAAGTATTGGCTATAACGTCACAGGTTTTGAGTTTTGTACGGTGTATCACTGAAATTATTATCTCAAATGTGTTCAGAAAGGACTGCGAAACATGAAGAAGAGTGAAATATGCAAGCTCTAAAAACAAGCGTTCTACCTGTAATTCCTTATGCTACCAGTAGAGGGAAGAGTTGAATTTGTTTTGTCTCAATTAAAAAAAAAACATAAGTTATGGACAATACTGTATGTTTTAAGAGGGAGAAACTATTCTGAGCGTGATTTCATAGTGGTACAATTACTTCACAGGAGATTACAGAAAGAAGGGGCGGAGTTACAGTGCCTTGCGAAAGTATTCGGCCCCCTTGAACTTTTCAACATTTCGCCACATTTCAGGCTTCAAACATAAAGATATAAAATTGTAATTTTTTGTCATGAATCAACAACAAGTGGGACACAATCGTGAAGTGGAACGAAATTTATTGGATAATTTAAACTTTTTTAACAAATAAAAAACTGAAAAGTAGGGGATGCAATATTATTAGGCCCCTTTACTTTCAGTGCAGCAAAATCACTCCAGAAGTTCAGTGAGGATCTTTGAATGATCCAATGTTGTCCTAAATGACTGAGGGTGATAAATAGAATGCACCAGGTTCTGTTTAAAGCGCAGAGAGAACCATGAAGACAAAGGAACACACCAGGCAGGTCCGAGATACTGTTGTGGAGAAGTTTAAAGCTGGATTTGGATACAAAAAGATTTCCCAAGCTTTAAACATCTCAAGGGGCACTGTGCAAGAAATTATATTGAAATGGAAGGAGAATCAGACCACTGCAAATCTACCAAGACCCGGCCGTCCCTCCAAACTTTCAACTCAAACAAGGAGAAGACTGATCAGAGATGCAGCCAAGAGGCCCATGATCACTCTGGATGAACTGCAGATAACTACAGCTGAGGTGGGAGAGTCTGTCCATGGGACAACAATCAGTCGTGCACTGCACAAATCTGGCCTTTATGGAAGAGGGGCAAGAAGAAAGCCATTTCTCAAAGATATCCATAAAAAGTCTTGTTTAAAGTTCGCCACAAGCCACCTGGGAGACACACCAAACATGTGGAAGAAGGTGCTCTGGTCAGATGAAACCAAAATTGAACTTTTTGGCCACAATGCAAAACGATATGTTTGGCGTAAGAGCAACACAGCTCATCACCCTGAACACACCATCCCCACTGTCAAACATGGTGGTGGCAGCATCATGCTTTGGGCCTGCTTTTCTTCAGCAGGGACAGGGAAGATGGCTAAAATTGATGGGAAGATGGATGGAGCCAAATACAGGACCATTCTGGAAGAAAACCTGTTGGAGTCTGCAAAAGACCTGAGACTGGGACGGAGATTTATCTTCCAACAGGACAATGATCCAAAACATAAAGCCAAATCTACAATGGAATGGTTCACAAATAGACGTATCCAGGTGTTAGAATGGCCAAGTCAAAGTCCAGACCTGAATCCAATCGAGAATCTGTGGAAAGAGCTGAAGACTGCTGCTCACAAATGCTCTCCATCCAACCTCACTGTGCTCGAGCTGTTTTGCAAGGAAAAATGGGAAAGAATTCCAGTCTCTCGATGTGCAAAACTGATAGAGACATACCCCAAGCGACTTGTAGCTGTAATTGCTGCAAAAGGTGGCGCTACAAAGTATTAGCGCAAGGGGGCCGAATAATATTGCACGCCCCACTTTTCAGTTTTTTATTTGTTAAAAAAGTTTAAATTATCCAATAAATTTAGTTCCACTTCACGATTGTGTCCCACTTGTTGTTGATTCTTGACAAAAAAAATAATTTTTATATCTTTATGTTTGAAGCCTGAAATGTGGCGAAATGTTGAAAGGTTCAAGGGGGCCGAATACTTTCGCAAGGCACTGTACATGCTTGTTTGTAGGCACGTATAGAACAATCCAACAATGTGGATAAAAGCATAGCAAACAACACACTTAAACTTACAGATTTCTTGGATGGATCATTTTCATCCCAGAAGCTGTGGTCGTCTGAACTTTCACTTTGCTAAAAGTTAGAAAACATTTGGATGTAAAGCCATTAATATCTTTAGAATTGAATAATCTGTAACACACCTTCCGATTGTAAAAGTCCAGTGAGTACTTCTGTTTGTCATATGTAACAAATAGAAAACTTTTAAACTCAATCACATTGTTGTCTCCAGTGTAACGCTTCAGGAAGGGAACGTTCTGCAACAAATATATGATTCCAATTACACCTTTGGTCATTTTGCGATTAATTGTGGGGCTTACATCTCGACTGAGGTCTTTGAACTGAACTTGTCCCGACAGTTCAAACTCCACAGATGCATTGGCCAGTAGAAAAGGGTCACACACTATATACATGCATTCACGCTCTGGGGTACAGTACTGTAAAAAAAAAAAAATATATATATATATATATATATATATATATACACACACAAATTGTAAATGATTAGGTTAAATCAATTGCTTTAAAAATTGTGATATTGATAGAAACTTACTGCAATATTATTTTCAGATGGAGAAGACTCATTGTAACTTTCTCTGCATTTGGTGGTATTCTAAACAGAAAATTGAAATTATATAGATATATTTTTCGTCTTTTAAGTTGACTCGATTACAGAGTCTGAGTTTACCTCCTGGACTAGGACTTGATAGTTGTTCATTTCAAAGTTGTGTTTGAGTCTTGTTGGGAAAACCAGAGTCACGGTTGCACGAAAATGTCTCCACCCGTAATTATCAACCTAAAAGAAGAAAATGTGTCTGACTTATACTATGCTCAAAACACTCACACACTCATAACTTAAAATACATAATTTTTGCTCTTCAAATTTTTTACATTATGAGCCAAGATCTAGCAAAAGCTCCTTAGCAACTGTTGCCATGACCAAAATGTCTCACAGAAGAGAAAAAGCAACATTTTTCAACATTTAACTTGTGTATTTAACAAAACAAGAAATATTTAGCATGTTTAGCAACGCATGACAGACCTTGTAAAAGTAACACACACCCCAAAATGCATTAATCCAGATTAGATCCCCCTCAGTCTACTATCTTTTTTTCATCATCTGTATAAAATCTTATGTAAATATTGAGTAGAATTGTTTCTGCAACTTGCAACTTGTCACTTTCTTGATTGGTGCTTCCAAAACATTATTCTCACGCCACCAGAGAGAGGTACAGAATTATTTTCATTTTTTAAATACATTTTTTTTAATGGCTGGGTTCAAAACAGGCGTGATTTTGTAAAGAACGTGATTTTGTAAAGAACTTGATTTCTTTCCCAAAACAAATTGTCCTTTAGTAGTATTCTGTTATAGTGGAACAATTACATCATACAGGACAGAGACGGGGTTTTTTTATTATTACTATCGTATAAGATGTAATAATGTGTATAAGATGTAATAATGTGGGGACACAACGGGGCGTGAGTCGGATCGAACATTCCCTTAACGACCTGGGAGTGAGATCCTTGGATGGACTCAAACGCGTGGAAGGATTGATTGAAGGACTTGGGCCTCACGGTGGAACCTCGTACTGACGTGGTCAACTCCGGATAACGGTGAACGGAGGGTCCAGTTCCAGTATAATTTTGACATATTGGCTTTAGTTTACACTGCCTTTCATTGAACAGCTAAAGTGCTTATACAAATTTCCCACAATGCATGTGTTGTTTTGTCTCCAATGTTTGCAGGCACCTGCGCTATCTGTGTCCTTCACATTCCACCACCACTGCTACCGGCCACTCAAGGCCGACACTGGACTCTATCTAACTCAGACTCATAACCCAGAACACCAGTTACAGTTTATTCATCGAACTGAATTTCCCCATCTGCGTGAGATAATAAAGGATTGATTGATTGATTGATTGATTTAGGTCAGAAGGGGCGGAGTCACATGTTGTGCCGATGCCCTCAACATGGATGAAGGTGGATGGAACTAAAAACAACTCCAGGTCTGTTTTTAATTAGGTTAAAACCTCAAACAAAACGATTTTCATAATACATCTCCTACTGCTTGTATCAGAATATTTACGAATGAGTTTTTGTGAAATGAAAAATATGACGATTCAAAAATGTTTAGAAAAGGACCCACAAATAAAATACATGAAATAGGCGTTTAAACAATAAAATCCTTACTGTATATTTGGTCACCACTCGTTTTGGGGCAGGATCCTCAGTGGTGAAATTCAAATAGGTGACGCTGTCTTCTTCTCTGAAAACAGAACCAGACAATGATATAAAAATAACATAAAACCGTAAACTATCGTATAAGATGTAATAATGTTTTACTTACACCAAAAGTGTCATCTTGATTTCAAACTGAACCGGGATGACTTTGACCAGAGAGCCTTTGCTTGAGTTTTGATTATCGCTGTAGACGTTTTATGTAACGATTAGAAATGAAAACGTTTTAAAGTAGATTCTTGAGTCCTTTACCTGTGTCCTGTGATGTTCAGAGATAAAGACTCGGCCCACTCAAAGTCTCGAATCACATGGAATACACTCATGAACTTGGCCTTTTAGAGAAAAAAATGTTTTTGAGTCAACTTCACCGTTCAGGATCATTTAGAAACTGTGTAGGACTTTCACCTGTGACTGGCTGCGATAAACTGGAAGACTGACGCCACACACGGTCCTGTCTTTTTTTGTTCTGTCTTCACGGCAACTGAAAAGTGGTTTGGACTTTGAATCCTGATGGATTTTAAAAAGAATAGAGAAAATGTTTATAAATCACATTTTTCATCACAATATCTTTTAACATATTGTAATAGTTATTTTCTACCGCTTTCCATAGACTTCTCTCTCCTTTATTAAATTATGTTAAGAGTAAAAGAAATTATAAAGTTTGATTCCCAGAGCAGATGCTCATCGAAAAATCCCAATCACAATTGTCTCGAGAGGCGTCACTAAACTATTGATTTACCAATAGCAGACTAGATAATCAAACATTTAAACAGTCTTTGATAAACAAATATAGATAGACCTTTTTTTCCTTCAAAATGTCTCAAAATTCTACCTGGATCTGCCAGAGAACCCAAACACAAACAAATGACTGGACTCTTTGTGAAGATGAGGTCCTGTAGTTTTGGCCTCTGATGACTAATTACTAAAACTATAAGTGGGATCCATCTCTGTATATAGAAAGATCAAACTCTAAAGTCTGCCTACGTTTCCCAAGGTGAATATAAAGGAGGGTACAACTGGTGTCCGGGGGTTGGATTTATTTAGGTTTTAAGAATTTCCCTTTCGCAGCGGAGGCGAATGTCACTGGGAATGAAATTTATTGGTATTTGTGAGTTTGGAGATGAAACTGGTCCAAGTTTTTTCCAGAATGTTTGGTTTGACTCTAAATCAGAGGGAGACATTTTCATTTTGTTTCACATTTCCATGAGTTTAGTTGACATTTGGTTTTTGTGAAGAAAAAAAATGCTATTAAAAATGAAATAAAATCAGTACTTTTTACTACTACTCTCCAATGACATGTATGAATATGGAAAAGGGACCTGAGCCAGACTCATCCTGGAGAAGGACAGTCCGGGGGGTGGTAGATGGTGAGGCTGGTGTTGTAGGAGTCTTCACCGCGGTTGAGCAAAGTCACGCTCATGTTGAAATAGTTATGATCAGCCACCAGTAAAGATGGAGTCCTGAAAACAGACAATTCAATAAGTTGGGTTCAGGTATGGAGCAGTGTTTGGTCGCCTGAATAATGGTTGTACTATAATTCACAAGTGTAGATTGTCTCAGCTTCACAAACTTGTTATTTAATCTTATGGCTTAAAGTTCAGGAACAGTGTTTTTGGTTGATACGTCCCAACATTCAGGAACTATTATTAGTATTTTCAGTTGATAGTTTATGCCGTTGATAGAAGCCAATGCCCGTTACAGAAGTACAGATCTACGTATTCTTCATGTTTACATTTTACGTACATAAAGTCAAAATCCACTTCAATTTCCGCAACGCAGGTGTCATTGCGGCATCTCCTCTCAAAGGGAACCTGTAAACATTGTGTTGAATTAGCTGTATTTTAACTTTGTTGAGCGTATATTTCTATTTGCACAAAGATATACAAAAAAATGCATAAAACTTAAAGGAGCAGTATGTAAAAAATCTGGCCAGAAGTGGTACTGCACTCTCCCTAACTCAGGTTACCAGATATGTAGACGAATCCAGCTGGGAACATAACATCTGACTAAAGAGCTTTGTCAACAACAAATCTATAACAACACCTTTTTTACAAAAATCCTGGTTTTATTCCTTGTTTTGTCATTAATGATGTCATAACGAGACCTTTTTTTAATTCTGTGGCCACATGTTACTTTACCAGTGAGATTAACTCGACGTGGTGAGTTCTGGCAACCCGGATCACAGACTTTCTGATTCATGAAAAGGTGGAGGGCGGGAAATTGAAGTGAAAACAATAACAAGATTCAGGGGCTGTAAAACTAATTTTGAAATCCAAATATCTCGGCTGAATTACTGTGATCAGTTAAAGTAATTGAAAAGATTGTTTTGTTAATACCTTTGACATATTAGGACCATTTAGTGATTACTTGACATGAAAATCGTACATATCCATCCATCCATCCATCCATTTTCTACCCTTTCATCCATTTCTGGGTCAGGGGGGTGGCAGTCAGAGATGCCACCCAAGTCTCATAGCACCAGCCCCTCACTGACCCTCTGCAGGTGGTGAGTCCACAGGAGGACGGCTGCTCTGAGTGTGAGCATAGCCTTGATCTTTCAGTGGGGGCTTTGGGAAAAGTGGGGTTAAGTGTCTTGCCCAAGGACACAACGACAGCAGTCATCAGTGAGAGTCGGTGGAGAAGATGTAGAGGTGGGAATTGAACCCACGACCTTCTGGCCTTAAGGCCAATGCTCTACCAACTGAGCTACTGTCGCCCTAAAATCGTACATATTGCTACTTTAATAGTAAATTTTATTTAAAAAAAAATTGTCTGTTTGATGAATTGATTTTCTAAAAGTTTTGTGGGGGATCAGGGGACCGTTATACCTCCACAGATGTTTCCTTGTTACTGTCAGCATTGAGAACAGCGTCTGCGTCCTCACTGTCAACTTGTGAAAAGTTCATGTTGATTTCGATCGGTGACAATGTATCAATGAAACATTTCTGAAAAATACAAAAGTTGTCTATGATGTGGACTCCATCTTATTATGCGACTGTATTTAGCTACAGACCGGCATGTAGACAGAGCGGTTGAAGCAGGTCTCTCTGTCTCTCAGTTCAACTGTTTTAATGAGATTTCTCTTTTTTGTGCTTGAATTAAAAAACCCTCTGAACGTTTGTCTCATTGGGTCGACTTCCAGAGAGTAGGAGATGTTCAGTCCAGGCTTCACGGCTCCTGCGCAGACGTGGGTAAAGTATCAAACAGAAATAATTACATTGTATTAGATTTTCTCACCTGCAGAGCTTTTTGTTGCCTCAAACATTTCAAAACAAATGGTTAAAGTGACTAGAGGTGTAAAGTCATCTGTGTAACTCGGACATTTGATTTGATCAATATTGATTTCATGAGGCTCAAAAGTAAGATGAGTGATAACGTTGAACACAGGCTTGGACCTGAAATCAGATATTTGACATGTCAAATATGTAAACGTCACTAAATGTTTGGATTATGTTCAGTTTTCAGAAACAGTTACAAACTTTAAAACTACAGCAGATCCACGTGAACCCACGAGGAGATCAGGCAAACCATCATTCCCCACATCACCACTGCCATCTATGGACTGGCCAAAGAACTGCAGTGCAGGGTGCACTTCTTCACCCAGAATCATCTGCAACAAGTTTGTTTCATTCACATAGTCTATGGTATTAAATGGTGATGTTGGCACATGTCCAGTACCTGGCTGTGTGTGCTGCGTATGCCTCGGCTCTTGTCCCCGAGATACAGATACACTGCTCCTCTGTTTTGGTTCTCCAGCGGGGCCCCAACAGCAACGTCCCGGAGCCCGTCCCCGTTCACATCAGCCACACTGGCAATAGTCGAGCCAAACCTCCCCATGACATGTGCAGTGATGTTAAAGAGGTTCATCAGCTTCATCTATGAAACAAAACTCACATTATTCAGAATTCATGACACAATATTCTGTAACAGGAATCATGGCTTATAACCAAACCACGAACCAAAGCATTTTTGTGTTGATCATTTGTAAATCATAGACAATTTGATAAGTTTCCCGCTAAAGCTTTACTGTGATTAATGTCACCTCGTCGCTCAGCCTGTAGATGTAGATCCTGCCCTCAGCCGCTCGATGTGGCTGGTAAAACAGAGGAGCTCCCACGAGCAGGAAGTCAGTGTTGCCATCAGAGTCCACGTCCACAGAGCACAGTTCTGCACCAAAGTATGAGCCGTGCTGGACATGAAGACATACAGATTTGCATATGAATATAGTCTGAGGAAGTTACGTTAAAAACAAATCCATACTAAAATATTGAGGGTTTGCTGAAGTTAGTTCTTTTGTGGATAAACCATTATGAGATGTGTCTACATTAGCTCGACATCTGTATGTTATCCCACTCATAGCAAACTGAACAAGAAAAACAATCACGGTGGTTGTACACCATTAATACCATATATTATATTATTATACATTTTATAGAAACCAACCTGCTCTCCGTTGATCCATTGAGCAGGAGCCCAGTTGCCACTTGCTGATGTAAAAAGCACAACTTGTCCCATGTGTTTGAATCTCGGAGCTCCGGCAAAATACAGAGCAGTCTTGTTCTTTTCTCCCACAGACACAGAGTAACCTAAAGCAAAGGTCCAGTGCAAAAGAGAATGAAAGGAATGGAGATAAAATCAAAATGTCACAACCCAATCGCCAAAACCATTGACAAAGTTGGCATCCATGGAACTCAAAGTGGCCCAAGAAATCTATTAACAAATTATTATAGACTAAACAAAAAAACCTGACCTGATGTGGACTAAAACCAGCAATTGTGTGTTTTAGATACATTCTGAAGCTGAACACAGCAGGTCTGAGGCTTCCACATCAGATCATCTCTGATGACTTTCAGGTGAGAAACCACTAACAATAAAACTTTGTTTTTAACATTATAAGCTGAACGTAGCTCAAAAACTCAATACACCCATTGTACTGTTGCACTTTAGTAGTTTTTATGTCACTTTTACTGCCACAATACTACTGAATAGTTCCTTTTCACATGTTTGGAGATCCTTGACTAAAAACCGCTGGTTTAGTCAAATATATAAATGAACTAAAATGCTTCATACCCAGGTAAGAGTCTTCCTCCTGCTCTGAATCCTGGATCTGTGTCTCTGTTTCATTTATGATCTCATGAAGAGATCCACGCCACGTACGGGAGCCCACGGAGCCAAACACCAGACCGTTCTGTCAAACAACACAAACTGAACTCAAGCTGTAGATGAGGATTTTTCTTTCGATTGGTTGTTTCAATCCTGAAAGCTCAGTGAAAATGGAAGTTTTGACCAAAACAAACCTCGAGTGATGCCTCTTCAGAAGATTTTTACAGAGATAACTTGTTATGCATTGGGTTGTTTCATTCATTTCATTTCATTTTCAACCCCTTTATTAGTCCATTTCTGGGTCGGGGGGGTGGCAATAAGAGCTGCCACCCAATGCTCATAGCACCAGTCCCTCACTGATCCTCTGCAGGGGGTGAGTCCACAGGAAGATGGCTGCTCCATCAGTTGTGAAGACAGCCTTGATCTTTCAGCGGGGGGCTTCAGGCAACGTGGGGTTAAGTGTCTTGCCCAAGGACTGCATTGGGTTGTTTGATTCAAAAATATGTTCTAAGTAAGTAAGTCATCTTTATTTATATTCACAGACCGGAGTCACAAAGCGCTTTACAATCGTTGTGGGCATTTGTGAACTCCACACAGAAAGGTCTGGAGGTGAAATCAAAGCCAGGACCTTCTTACTGTGAGGCAAATGAACTAACCACTGCACCATGCCGCCCAACACATTGTAAACACATTTTAATTTCTTTCTGCAGTCATTGTAGAAATATGAGTGATAAAACCTTAAATTATACGTCTCTTATAATATAGACTTAAATATCACAAACAAATGAACTGAAAAAAAATCTAAATATCTTTGGATTTAAATGATCAAAACTCATTAAAAAGAGACAAAAAGACAGTAGAAGTAATACCATAGAGACTCGTGAGTCCCAAAACCACGAGTCCAAGTCAAAAGTTCTTAATAATATACAATATTATATATAAATTATAAATGGAATACTTACTTTTCCATAGGCAACGCTGAATCCAGTCTGAGACATTTCCTCTGTTAAGTCTCCGGCCAGAGCTGCCGTAGTGCCTGAAGAAAAGAACTAGAGTATTATCGTATGTATTTATTGTGAGGAATTATTGTTTTATTTACCCTCAGTTTGAAAAATCTTTTTTTGAAAGTTTTCCAGCACTTCTGTTAGTCCGCTGTAGTTCTCAATTTTAAATGTGTTTTTGGCTTTGGGCTCTGATGCAATAACCTTCAGTTTTTCCACATCCACTTCATCTTTCACCTGTAAAATATTTCAAGACAAGTTTAGAAAAAGTTTTATTTTATTTTAATTTGCAATAAGGGCGTTTACATTTCATGCAGTAATAATATTAGTTGCCAATTAGAACTAAAAAACGTATTTCATCAAACACACTGTGTAGGTTTACTTATGCCGAGCCTCACAAGGAGACAAGGAGGAGTTGCTTGTGCCAAATTAAGTTTTTACAACAACAGAACAAGACCATTCTTGGAATGACTCCTTTTACTTACCCCAATGACAAATCGAATAATGTTCATCGAGTCGTAGTTCGTGATAGCCCCATATAATTTGTCTGAGTCACTTGGATTTCCATCTGTGATTAAAACTAACACTTTTGTTGCTTCGAGAGAGGCTCCATTCAAAGTGTTCTTCAAATGTTCTTTTCTGAAAAGGAAAATCAAAATTGTAGAGGTCTGAGGTATACATTTCACTTATATCACGAAGTTCATGTCAAACTTACAAAACAAAGTCCAGAGCCTTGTGAGTGTTGGTGGTACCCTTTATCTGTGTTTCTTTCCGTAGCAACGTGTTAGCGACACCGTTTGTGTAGTCATTAAAGGTGAACACTGTCCTGTAGTCTGTGGCAAACTGCACTGCTGCAAACTACAAATCAAACTGTGTTACCCTCACAGTAAACAAAGATCATATTATTCTTAGGTTTCGTTAAACTGGCCAGTAGGGGACGAATGAGCTGAGGTGGGACATCTTAGTTTTGCTCTCATTGAAAACCATGTAAATCGTGTCTGTTTTGGAGTCAAAAGGCTCTCCTCCTGTGCGGTGTACGGTTGTTGTAACAGTCTTAATCGAGAGGGGGCACTCAATTCTAAGTGAGTACCAAAAAATATTTCTCAAAAGAGTCTTGATTTCGGGCTTTTTTGAAAAAAAAAACAACAACAAAAAACAGAAGAAATTGCTTCGTTTCATTCGGGTGGCCTGCAGGGGGCGCATATCTAGGAAAGCCTTGATCCACCTCGCCTTGAGCGATTTTTTCAAAGTGTACTCCATTATATGAGACCGTGGAACACGGATAAAACTCTTGTCTTTCTCTCTATTGGCGCGGTTGCTACAAGCGTACACCGCACAACATTCGAAATTTCCCCACTGTGGGACGAATAAAGGAATTCTTATCTTTTCTTTGACAGCGCTTCTTCTTCTACTATATCTCCGTGTATAAACCCGGCAGACTGCACCCGCACGGTACGTCAGGTCCTGTCCCACGTTTGTTATTTGCGCCACTGCCCTGACATATATGTCATGATATGAAACCCAAGAATTAACAATTATGGACAGTGCCAACATGGCTACTTTAAGTATAAATACCTTGATAGAAGTGTTTTTAAGGTTTGACATGATGTCCTCAATGAAATCCTTATTTGATTCAAACTCCTCTTTCTTCATACTTGTTGATCCATCAAACAGAAAAGCGAGGTCCACAGTCTTTTTGGTGCAACCTTAAAAATTATTTACATTAAAATAACCAAAAAACATTGCTGTGAGAATGTTTTATACACTCCAGGACAAAATATCTCAGCTTGTGAATGCTTTTATCCTGGTTTTTAGGGGTTTGGGCAGCTGTTTAGAATGAATCCCTGAGTGCGCTTTTAGCACTTTAAACAGTTAAACGTTAAGTGAGGACAGCTTCACGTCTGCTGCTATCATGTTGGATCCGGAACAAACCTCAAGACCACAAAACAAAACAAAAACAACAAGCTTCTATCTGTCGAATAGCGCCTCAATGACATCTTACCCTCCCTGTTCTGTGATTGGTCCCCAATTCCATGTCAAATTTTCAGCCAGGGTTTTCTTGCTTTTGTGCAGTTTGAAGTTAGGGAGTGCACACAGCAGCATGGGTATTCCAAGCTTAACAGTATTGTTGTTTTTTTTCCTCTTCTTTTCTGGTTCAGTCTTTTAAACCTAAACATGATTAATCGGCTACAGAGCTTCATGCAACAGAGTAGACAAATCAATAGGACTTTGGATCTTTTTTAATCAAAGTCAGAGATTTTATACTTCTTTATTATGTTAAAGGATTGTTATACTTAATTTTTTCCTTCTTTATTATACTGAAACTGAAACATTTAATTTTATTTCAGTAAAGTTCTCTTATCTTGTTCTGTGTGCTCCTCAATCTTACTGTTCTGTAACTGGTGATGCAACACTGACATTTCCCCAATGTGGGATCCAATAAATATGAATACATGATATCCAAATCTTAATCTAAAGCCAAGACAATAATGGCCTATCTATTTGTCATGCCCTGTATTTTGTGTACTCTTACTACTGTCCTGTATGTGCGCTGCAATACTAAAACTTCCCCTTTACTGTGGGACAAAAAAAAGGTCTCTTACCTTAAAACTGCCCCCACCGTATTTGACAAAGTATAGTGATAAAGTAGTACTGACCTTTATAGACAGGTCTGTGGACCAACTGTGGCTGTAGCTGCTCTGAGAGACTGTAGCACACACTGTTCATGTAGGAGTTTTCATGACATATTTTCACCACATTCGGACTGCAAACCTGAATAAAAATATATGTTTTAAGCAAAGAAATAATAATTGTAACATAATAGTAATGAGAGCTTACAGTGAAGTGAGACTGTGTCCTGTCCTTGGCCATTGACAACCCAAAGTGCTTGATGGGTAACTCCTCCTTCTCAACAAGAACAACTGAAACAAAAAAACAAACCTCTATGTGACTATAGTCTGAATTGTGTTTTTGATTATTCATAATTTCAAGAAGTATTCATGTATTTGAGGCTATCTAAACCCAATATGGCAGAATCCTAAACACAGCTACTGAGAGAAAGTCTGCAAGTCTAGAAAGTTGATGAACCCAATGTTCTACTGAAAATGAGAAATCTTTGTTCTGCATCTTCAGAAAAAAAGGAAGTGTGCTGCTGATATAACCCTTGTTATCTTATGTTTGTGATAAAACTGGACTTGTCAACATGCACTTAAAAAAAAAAAATTGTGGTGAATAATTAGAATGCGTGGAACAAGTGAGGGATGACTTAAAAACTTCTAAAAATTCAAACTAATTACGATTCCAAATGTTCAAGTTGGGAACAAGGCCTTGAAGAGTATAAGTCAGATCTGCAGAAAGGGGTTGTGTCCTCAGTAAAAATTCAGGTTTTTTAAAGTTTCATGTCATAAAGTGGAAAAGTGGAACATTCTAAGGCAGATATAGCATGTCCATGGACCGTCCATAGACTATAATATTTGTTTGTAAATACTTATTTGTTTATTTAAAAGTAACATTAAAAAGGGGGTTGTACCAGATTAAGAAAATAGTTATCTGTAGTTCTTATCATAGGAGTGGAAAATGCCTGCAACACTTCACCGAGGAGACGTCCGGGAGGCATCGAAACAGATCAACTGGCACCTCTTTAAGTGGAGAAGCAGTGGATCTACTCCGAGCTCCTCCCGTGTGACCGTGTGACCAAGCGACCTATCTCTAAAGGAGCGCCACACGACTCTGCAGAAGAAACTAATTTTTCTCGCTTGTTTGGCCGATCTTGTCCTGTCAGTCATTTCCCGAATTTCAAATAGTAGGAGTCAAACGTTGGCCATGAGCACTTCTCTGATTAGGCTTCATCTAGATACTGGGTGGGCAACATTCCTTCTGTATTAGCCTAGAAAGGTTACAGGTCCCTTTAACAATAGGAGTTTTATTAATAGCACTAGAACTGATTACCTTTAGGTGTGAACGGAGGCGGTTCGAGGCCTTTCCCGCGAAGATAAACTGCCCCAGTCCCATTCATGTATAAAGGAGCAGTCACTACAATCCTATAGAGGAACAACATTTAATACAGAAGAAAAACAGGATTGTGTTAAATATGTATTGTGGTAAATCACAGAAATGTTACAAACCTTACCCTTTATTGTCCTTGGATCCAATCTGTAGCACTTTGAATCCAAAAAAATCCCTCTTGTCTCCATCATAAACTTCTGGCTGCCTTAAGTCGATGTTAAAGGCAGAGGAAATACTCACTGCTACGGAGATAAAAGATTAAGCTTTTTCTACAGTGACAACTAAAGACTGAGATATTACTTAAAATGTACAAATAGGCTGATTAGGAGTAAAAGTTAAAAATAGTAATATGTAAAATGTCTTGCCGCCTGTTTTAAATAAAAGTTTAAGTTGAATTTTAAATTTGAATTTCATCACGAACTGATTAATTGACAGTTCATAATCAAGTTTGGCATCATTTACTACTAAATATTGTTTTTTTCAGTTCAACATTCAAAGTTCATTATCATTTATATTGTCATTTATGTTCTCTCTGTTTTGGCCCAGTTTGAAAGGTCACATCCCTCGGACAAGGAAGTAAATAAAATAGGAAGTAACCAACATGACTAAACATGGACAAACTGCAATGTCATTTTGAAAAACTTAAGCAAATCTTTTTCTAATAATCTTGACTGTGTTTTGTGAAAAGTAAAGTCCACACAGTCATATGCACTTTAAGTCTGAGGAGTATCTCGTTTGACCCATCTCCAGAGAAATCTAATCTCTTGGAGCTGCCAATTGGGACTTCCGGCAGAACGGCCCTAAACACCTTTAAGTGGAAAATATATGATGGAACAAATATGGAAGTTGAAGATCAGGAAGTTACATAAATCAGGTTCCACTGACAGCATCAATAACTACAGACCCATTTCCATTATCAACAGTAATCTCAATCAGGATTTAGAAAGCATTTCAGTACAACTACTGCCCTCCTGAAATGTACAAATGATGTGTTTTCTAGTTTTGACAAAAGTATGTTCACTGGTGCATTATTTCTTGATTTGATGAAAGCTTTTGACTTGGTTGACCATTATTTACTTTTGGACAAACTCCACAGCATTGGCCTCTCCAGACCAGCACTTCTCTGGTTCAACTCCTACCTGCACTCTCGTCGCCAGTGTGTTTCCTTTGGGGGCAGCCAGTCCAACTTCACAGTCATTGAAAAAGGCATTCCACAAGGCTCCTCACTTGGTCCTCTTCTCTTCTCTATCTTTATTAATGATCTCCCGACTATCTGTTCCAACTGCACTATTGAACTTTATGCTGATGACACTGTTATTTACTGTTCCAATTCTAATATCCCTGACATCTGCAACTCTTTACAACACAACTTTGACATTGTTCAACACTGGCTCCTTTCTAACAAACTTCTGCTCAACAAAACCAAATCCTACTCCATGCTTTTCAAGAAGACCAATAAACCTCTCCCCGATTTAAATCTCCACTTTCTAGATCTGTCCCCAGTCAAATGTGTGGACAACCTTAAGTATCTTGGTCTTTGGCTAGACTCAAATTGTTCTTTCAATACCCATATTCACAAAACTGTACACAAAATTAACTATTCACTGAAAACACTTTATCAATCCATTGACTGCTTTAATTTATCTGCACGGAAAAGGATTATTTCACAATTACTACTTCCCATATTAGACTATGCAGACATAGTTTATCAAAATACCACCTCCACTTCTCTCCATCCTCTGAGCACTGCCTACAACAGCCTGTGCAGGTTCATTCTGCGCTGCCCCTACAGGACCCATCACTGTGACATGTACCAGCAGCTGTCCTACACACAGACCTACAGGACCCATCACTGTGACATGTACCAGCAGCTGTCCTGGCTCTCTCTATCCCAAAGACGTCACTCTCACTGGTTGTTTTTCATTTATAAATGTTATTTTTTGGATTATCCTCTTTATTTAAAGCAATATTTAAACCCTTTTAATTCCTCTTATAATCTTCGTCACACAAACCAGCTTTTCTTTCACACTGCTCGTGTGAAAAAAGAACTTGGCAAATATGCTTTCCAATATAAAGCCCCAAACGACTGGAATCTCCTTCCGGCCTCTATTCGCTCTTTAACTTCTTTTTCTCTTTTTAAAGTTAGTGTACAAAGGCATCTGTGTAATGTTTGTAACTGCTACTGAACTTTCTTTTAAATATTATATCCTTTGGTTTTCACTGTCCTAGTTTGAGGAGTAGGGTGACCTCTGAGAGCTCTGTGTGTGTGTGAGTGAATGTTTCTGTCCTTGTATTGTTTTTTTTGTTTGTTATTTTATTGAATTTATTTACTGTAATTTGTTATGTTTTTTATTTGTTACACTTTAGTGTAACTGCATTTATTTGACAACCGCTGCTGTTACTTGTGTTGCTATTTTTGAGGACCCTCCTGAAAACGAGATGATGCATCTCAAGAGGCTATTCCTCGTAATAAAGATATGTTAAAGATCGCTTTCCTGCGCTGAGTGTGATGTCATAGTGGTACAATGACATCATACTATCACAGGGCTGAGACGGGAGCTTTTAGTCAGAAGGGGCGGAGTAACATATTAAGATTAAGAGATCCTTTATTTGTCCCACATTGGGGAAATTTCAGTGTTGCAGTGTTTCCAGTGTTCCTTGAGCCTCGGAACAGGAGGAATGAGAAGCGCACAAATAAACAATAACTCTATACTAAATAAAACAAAATGTCTAACTTTAGCATAACAGTCCAGCAAATATAAAATCTCCAATGTTATCAAAATTAAGAAAGAATTAAGTACAAAATTTCTGACTTTAGCATAATACAGAAGTATACAATCTCAAAGTGACTACTTAAAGCAAGGGTGTCAGATCCAAGGCCCAGGGGCGAGACAATTTTTAGTGGCCCCCAAAATTATTTTGTATTATTATTAACTAGCATCATTGAAGGTAATGGGTGACCAAGGCAGGTTATAGATCATCCATTTTATCAGGAAAACAACCAAATTGAGTGTATTCTGACATTTTACCCCAATAAAACATAACTGGAAGTTAAATAGTTATTTTTGATTTGATACAGTTTTGGTTCAATCTAAACAATAAACGCATTTTGTTTTCTGAAAAATAAACCAGAAAATAACAGTAAAAATCATGTCACATAAAAGTTATGTTAAAATATCTTCATAATGTGAAAAAATATGACAGGAAAAGGAAATATCTTCTATTGTTTCGGCCCCGACCAGTTCTTTTTTAATGGCCCATGATCGAAATGAGTTGGACACCCCTGACTTAAAAGTGACAGTGGACAAATGTGATTCATACGTCTTCTTTCACATTTCATAATCATATTTTAACTGGCAGTTTGACGGTCGAAAGTAAGACAAGAAAGTACTTCTATTTGAAGAGAACGTGTGAGACAATAATTTGTAATCAATACATTTGGCAGCTACAAGTAAATCTGAGCCATAAAAAAATATTCTTTATGCGATTGGTCTTCATGTGATGCATGTAATTTGTTTCCAGATTATGATCCCAATTAATACTTATCACGCATCGCAATATAGTGAAAGGGGAGGGTTTTTACTGAGCTGTTTGAACTACTATCTTTCTTGAGAATCAGGTGCAATGCAAGAAGTCTTCTATTTGTGGTTGATGCAAGAAAGTTGTGATTTCCTGTACATTTTTTATGACAAATGTAAGAACACATAAAAATAAAATACTGTGTATTATTTTTCATTCATTTTAAAATAAGAAACTTACATTGGAATTACGTTACATTTGAAGTTGTTCCATTTTAAGTTGTTCCATTTTAAGACAAAAGTCTAAATATTTTCAAACTTGGAGTGATTTGGTCTGTATGAGATAATACATGGACATAGTAGCTCACGCATTATGCAGTCATTTGTAAATTTGTATTAAAATATTTAAGTTCAAACTGCAAAATAATTTGGGTAACGTAGCATTCTAAACACATTCTCAACCACTTGGGAGCTGGGGTAACATAACTTTGAAACCACAAAAACTGTTGATCCAGTTTTCTCACGCATACATTTTTAGCTTCAGCTTTTTCAGTCAATCAGCTCTCAATATTTTCATTTCATTTTTCAATTATTTCCGGCAATGGCACAGGTGAGTAAATAAGGTAATTAAATGCAGTTAAATAATATAAATCCTATAGTGTAAAAAAACAAACAAAACTCAATAAACAAAAAATGTATAAACAATAAATGTACGGTAAAAATATGTAAAAGATAACAAGATAACCTTTATAACGATACACAGAACAGAATATTACTTAAACCACTATTTCTTTTGAAACAGACAAAAAGTATTAATGACACCCAAAGACAAGTTTAGAACTCCTAACTAACTTTGCTCAACATCTGACAATAATGTTCGACAATCTTGCCGCCTGTAAATGTAAGTACTTAATAATGAATATTTCTTACCGGTTGTGCACATGTATAGAAGGAATAAAGGGTTTGTTTTCCTCATGTTCTTGCCGCGATGCGTCTTTGCCGGCGGTTTAGACATGTGTGACTCTCATTTCCTGTTGTCGGCCGGGCGTTTTCTTTACAGGTGGTGGAGGCCTATCACAGGATGCTCACAGCAAATGTTTTATGATAACTTCCTCTTTCAGAGAGGATGTCCTAAGTCTTTTCTCTCAAACTTTGACCGCATGGTTTTGGTAAATAACCGCTCCCTGTGAAACCATATTTACTCCAGTATCCTAACGCAGCCGAGGATCAAGATCTGGAGATGGGTCCCCAGCCGCAGTACAATCCCTGCTCCTGACAGGTCCTTGTGGCACTGCTGAATGGGTCCCTACAGGAATCAAGAAAATGTACTTAAATGCGTTAAAACTCAGAGCTAAAAAAGGCAAGTGGATTCCCTCTGCTGTTAAACTGCTGAATAATGAATTGCCCCGCATGGTTCTTTTTTTTGTACTTTTTGCATGATTGTACAAGGGGCATTGCACACTTCCCAAAAAGCTCTGCTCAAAGTTGCACAATAAACGGCTTTAAGGGCTTAAAATAAAAACAATTGCAGCTTGTGTAGGGCTCAATAATGCAATAATGCAGACAAGTTCTAAAACTGTAGCTTTTGTCTCACATTTATACAGTGTTTTGTTTTTTACTATGGATTCTATAGTGGTACTTTGTCTGCTTTTTTATAGTGAAAGTGTCTGTTCTCCATCAATGCCTTCAAAAATAAATAAATAAAAGTAATATTTTGTGTCTGCTGCCAAAACAGGAAAAATGTCAAACAAAAAGCACGCAAAAAATTACTTTTTATTTTCAGTTTTTTACACAATTTTAAACTGAACTATGAAACTTGTAAAAGTAATAGAAGTTCCTTAAAGCCACAAACAGCTATAAAGCTTTACAGTTTAGTTATAATATATATATACAGAACATACATTACACATCCATAATTATGTCCATCTTTACAGTAACTCAACAAGCATTCTCAATTTGTAAATATTTGCTTTCTGCCACTGAAATTAATTACAGCAATAATAATTACGACCACATGAACACATATTTTTTTCTCAAATGTTTGGATACAAATGATTATAATCCCTAAAAACCATGAATATTTTGCTATAAATGCTATATAAATTGTTGGGAAGGTTTTCTCTGGAAGGTTTTCTCTGACCCCTGCACCAGAATGATTGATCCTGGATCCAAAGTGAATATACAAAAAAATATACAGTTTTTTGTTTCACATAAAAGGTTACATAAAGCCTCTTTAATATAATGCCAACTATACTGTAACCATGTGTGCTAGACCATATGCTACGTCTGACTGTTTTTTGTGTTTTTTGTGTTCCCGTGTTCACGTTTGTGTTTACGTTGGATTTTTGTCTATACTATCATTAAGTAATATTATTTTACACTTCTGCATTTTTGGGTCCTTCTTAGTTTTTAACATGTGACATGTGTCTTGATGATCCACCCAGAAGAAGAAGTTGCACGCTGACCTCTCAGTGAACGACCTTAAGAGAGAAGTCGACCACAGGGCAGCCCTGAGTGATGCAGCCCAGAGATATGATGTCGACGTGGGGAGAGCAGAACTGCTGCAGGGTGTCTGGGTTCACTCCTCCACTGGCCTCGATGAGCAACGATGGAAAGTCCTTTTTTAGCTTCTGAGCAGCGGCATGAAGCTCCTGGACATAGTACAAGAGGTCTGAGCTGCAGTACATGAACTGGATGATTCCCAACGTATGCAGTGAATGAGCTTTGACCACGATTTTAAAAGTTTATCTATTTGTCATCCGTGAATACATAATGATGCTGCTAACTACAGGGTATACTCCAATAGTGTACTTATTCTTGAAGTGCAATTGTAGCTTCAGAGATTTATTTTATTGATTTATTCTATTACTAATTATCTTACATCATAGATCTAGGCTTATCTTATATTATCTTACTCATTAAATGTATTAATAATACATAAGTGGCGTATAATATTGCAGAACATACAGCTGAAATTAAGAAAATAACAATATATTTTCATTTATTTTTGTATAAACTACAGAAATAAATGAAAAAAATATATTGTTATTTTCTGAACATATGAAGCCAATAAGTTTGTGTAAGCTCTCAGTCGTACAGGGATTAGTCAAAGCAAAGGAAGGTTTCTCACCCATCATCTGTACTTCTTAGCAAGTTTTCCCGACGTTTCGTCCTCAACCTAGCGGACTTCTTCAGGGAATGAATTCTCGGACCGCGCGTTGGAGATGCTAAGGAGTTAGGGTCGTTAGCCTCAGCAGGGTCGTTAGACCTGCTCCCTTCTACATCAAGCAGACCGTAGATTGTTTATGAGTTAGTATCAGGATTAGGGTGTGGCTAACCACACCCATAGGTTATAAATCTCCAACGCGCGGTCCGAGAATTCATTCCCTGAAGAAGTCCGCTAGGTTGAGGACGAAACGTCGGGAAAACTTGCTAAGAAGTACAGATGATGGGTGAGAAACCTTCCTTTGATATGAAGCCAATATGATATAGACTAGTCCATGCCAAGTGTCATATGCAAAGGGTTTGTTGCATCTTTTATGATTATGGCAGTCTAGATACAAAATATCACAATTTTCTGAAATGTTTTTCGGGTTTAACACTACAACAAATAAAGGCTTGATAATATCTCACTTTGCCTGTAATGAGTCTACTGTATATTAGTTTCACATTATAAGTTCAATACAAGTACAATAGTCCCCTGACTTTTGTACAATATTCTAATTTTCCAAGGTTCACCTAAAGTAATCACCACTTATAAAGCAGACAAATAATCAAATATAAATACTGTATAATCATCCACTCACGTACCTCATTAATTCATTCTATCCATTGTTTAACGGAGTTCCTAGCAATCTCAAAATCTGGAATAATCTGCCTGAAGATGTGAGACAGGCCTCCTCTCTGACAATGTTTAAAACCAGGTTAAAGACAGTTCTGTTTAGCTGTGCATACAACTGAGGGATTGTATATTTTTATCTTTCTTTTTAATGTTCTGTGATTATTTATGATTCTAATGCTTTCTTGTTTTGTTCAGCACTTTGAGTTGCCTTGTGTATGAATTGTGCTATACAAATAAACTTGCCTTGCCTTGCCTTGCCTTGACTCACCCTGGTGTGGTTGTACCTGTGGTTGGAAGTTGTCCAGCATCACGATGTCGGCTCCAGCAGCTGCTGCCTCTGAGCCCTCCTCCACAAACCGACACTCAACCTCCACTTTACTGCTGAAGCCGCACACAGATCTGGCTGCTCTCACTGCCTGTGCAACATGGACACACACAAGATACTTCAGAGGTCTAAAAAGGACAAAGTCAGGTGCTCTCAATTGATCCATAAATCCATAGAAGCAAAATAATGAAAATATGTAGGTATTTTAACAAGTCTAAAATTCCATTAAGGACAGGTACAAACCAATTCTCTTTCTCTAACACAATGTAATATAGTTAAGTTGTTTAGGTATGATACAACAAAAGTAATGGTACTTGAGAACATTCTGATTAAGTGTTTTCTATTTTGCCTTAGACATAGGGAGAGACGACAAGCATAGACACAAGATGAATGTCCAAACCTGCAATTATGATTAAGGTGATTTAATGAATAATTCTTCCACATGCTCCACAGATGTTTTCCACAAAATTATCCAAGTTCAAAAGAACCAAATCACAAATTAAAGCCGCAAGCGGCGTCGAACGGCCCTCGCCGCACCGCGCGCACTCCCCGCACCACGCCGCCCCGCACCAAGCCGCCCTGCACCATGCCGTCCCGCATCACGCCGCCCCGCACCAAGCCGCAACGCGCCGCTCCACAACGCCCCGCACTACGCCGCACCACACCGTACCACGCAGCACCGCTAAAAGGAGGTGGTCCCGCCGTGTGATGATTTGTGTCCGTAGCCATAGAAGAATGTTAGTCAAATCGTAATGAATATGATAAGTAGAGCTGGTTTGGCTCCCCATGTAAACTTTGACACAGTCTGTAGGGGGCGCTAATGGGCCAATTTCCAATATTTCACTTTAACCTGACCTAAACCCTGGAATTGAACAATGGATTAAAGTTTTGTGCAAATCAGACTTTGTTTGTGCAAACAGGAGCAAAATTAATGTTGTCAAAAAGAGCCAAAAAAACCCTCACATTTTGCCGCTCCGCTGCTCAAACAACGTTTCACGGATCAAAATTCCCTGAAGTCATTTTGAAGGTACATGTGTTGAGATGATGTGGAGCGATATTGAGGTGAATCGGTGAAACGGCCGAGGCTGGTTTGATGTTTGTGTGAGGTGTACATTTGCAATGAATGGGGAGCGTTTGTCGTCGCCACGGCAACAGGGTAAAAAATAAGCCTTGGACCCTATTGACTTTTTGAATCAAGAGGGCAAAGCAGATTTTTGTGCAAAATTTCAAACATTTTGAAAAAACTAAATTTGAAAATGCCCATCTAAAACTTTGAAATAGTCTGTAGGGGGCGCTATTGTGTCAATTTGAATCATTTGACTTTCAAATGACCTAGACCCTAGAGTTGAACAATGTATTAAAGTTGTGCTATACAGAGTTTGTTTGTGCAAACGGGAGCAAATTTTATGTTGTCAAAAACGGCCAAAAAAAGGTCACATTTTGCCGCTCCGCTGCTCAAACAATGTTTCACTGATCAAAAATCCCTGAGGTAATTTTGAAGGTACATGTGTTGAGATGATGTGGAGCAATTTTGAGGCGAATCGGTGAAACGGCCGAGGAGGAGTCGCTTTCCAACCGACATGTATGAAAACTTTTGCTGTTCATTTTTCCATTTTGCAGTGAGATTTATGGGCTTCCTGTTTGTCAGACGGCGGAGCCATAATATTTTTTTCTTGTCTTGACTTGAGGAACATGTGTACTGAATTTCATGACTCTACAACAAACTTGATCTTCAGAACTCCCATAGGGGTATTATTTTGGCTGTTGTAGGTGGCGCTGTTCTGGCATTTTTTGAATCCCATAAAAATAAACACCAAAATATCAAATTTTTTGCCAGGTCTGATTTTTGGGCAAAATTTAACAACTTTTCATGCATGTTCAGGGGGTGAAATTAAGGCTCAAAGGGCAGAATTTGACATCTCTCGAGCAAAAACAATAGTCCCTTTCCCCGTTCGGGGCTCGGGCCTAATAATACCCCCATGGGATTTTTCGGAGGTCAAGTTTGTCGTAGAGCCATGAAATTCGGTACACATGTTCCTCAAGTCAAGACATGAAAAAAATGTTATTATGGCCCCGCCCTCTGACATACAGGAAGCCCATAAATTTCACTGCAAAATGGAAAAATGAACAGCAATCATTTTCATACATGTCGGTTGGAAAGCGACTCCTCCTCGGCCGTTTCACCGATTCGCCTCAAAATCGCTCCAGATCATCTCAACACATGTACCTTGAAAATGACTTTGGCGATTTTTCATCAGTGAAACGTTGTTTGAACAGGGGAGCTGCAAAATGTGACCTTTTTTTGGCCGTTTTGGACAATATTAAATTTGCTCCCGTTTGCACATACAAAGTCTGATTTGCACAAAACTTTAATACATTGTTTAACTCTAGGGTCTAGGTCAATTGAAAGTGAAATAAAAGAACTTGGCTCATTAGTGCCCCTACAGATGGAGTCAAAGTTTTCAGAGTTTTTCATACTAAAAACTCTGAAATAGTCTGTAGGGGGCGTTAATGAGCCAAGTTCAATTATTTCACTTTCACATGACCTAGACCCTAGAGTTGAACCATGGATTCAAGTTTTGTGCAAATCGGAATTTGTATGTGTAAACAGGAGCAAATAGAATGTTGTGAAAAACGGCCAATAAACACTCACATTTTGCCGCTCCGCTGCTCAAACAGCGTTTCACTGATCAAAAATCCCTGAGATCATTTTGATGGTACATGTGTTTAGACAATGTGGAGTGATATGGAGGCCAATCGGTGAAACGGCCGAGGAGGAGTCGCTTTCCAACCGACATGTATGAAAATGATTGCGGATCATTTTTCCATTTTGCAGTGAAATTTATGGGCCTCCTGTTTGTCAGAGGGCGGAGCCATGATAACATTTTGGTCGTATCTTGACTTGAGGAACATGTGTACCGAATTTCATGGCTCTACGACAAACTTGACCTCTGAAACTCCCATTGGCTGTTGTAGGTGGCGCTGTTCTGGCATTTTTTGAGTCCCATAAAAATAAACACCCAAATATCAAATTTTTCACCAGGTGTGATGTTTGGGCAAAATTTTACAACTTTTCATGCATGTTCAGGGGGTGAAATTAAGGCTCAAAGTGCAGAATTTGACATCTCTCGAGCAAAAACAATAGGCCCTTTCCCCGTTCGGGGCTCGGGCCTAATAATCTAAATGTAATACACAAAAGCAGTAGTGCAGTCAAAAACTGTGTACCCCCAGGCTAACACCACTCCCTAAGGTGCGCCCCCAACTGGCTATTTAAGGCATTGCATCTAAACAAATACCTGCCATACCACAAAAATAAATTAATACAATAGTTATCAATTAAACTTAAACTAAATTAAATAATTAGAGCAAATTATAGGACAGTAGTAAGCAACTAAATTAGCTGCAACACTGATGCGGTAGTATCGTTACCTCTGTGATGCTCCCAGAGGCCCACACATGGTTGTCTTTCAGCATGACCATCCCACTCAAGTCGTGTCTGTGTGTGGACGCGCCTCCCACTAACATTGCGTACTTCTCCACCAGACGGAAGCCGGGGGTGGTCTTCCTCGTCCCGGCCACCTCCCCACTCCATCCGACTGCAGCCGCGGAGGCGTGGAGCTCTGAGCAGCGTGTGGCAATCCCAGAGGCCCGGGCCAGGCAGTTCAGAGCCGGCCTCTCCCCTAACAGGAGGCCGTTCGCCGGACCCTTCACCACAGCAGTGAGCGTGACCGCATCTGCACCTGCTCACAGTATGAGATTAAAGATCCAGGCAAACTTCAAGGTAAAATCGTACTTTGATGGACGATATATGCTGTGTGTAAAACACTTCACACATTCAATTTCACATATAACAGTAAGAAATGTTGTTTATGAATAGTGAAATTGTTTTCTTTTTGTGAAGATTGTGCAATTTTGTTTTGATTAATGTTGCATCTTCCTTCTATGATCCTTCCATCATAAAACTTCCTGTCTTTACTTCCTGTAATTTTTGACATATTCTGTATCCGTATCCACATTAAAATTCACAAGATAAAGTGATAACGCAGACCGCAAACTATTCTGGTATGTGTCTAAACTATTTACTCTGTCATCCATAAATTCAAATATTCTCACCGATCCGATCTCCATCCTGAAATCTCCACTCCACAGAGCAGTCCACCTCCTGGAACACAGCAGTGAAGAACGGGCTCCCAGCCAGGACACTGTTCGGACTTTTACACAGGAGTTTTGCCTCCACTTGTTTGTTCCCTACACACACTCCGGCCGCATCGAAGTTTGGGGTGTCCTCTTCCAGCCACTCACGGGCCAGACGCCTGAGGGCATGGGGGGGCAATGAGTGAGCCAGGGCAGAGTTTGCACAAGACATCCTGAGAAGAGATGGGCATATCAGATTTTAGATTTGTCAAATTATGGAAGAGCACCCAGTTATTAAAGCTAGGGTTCCTAACTCCCCCCCCCTCTCATAAATAACATTCTATTTGCCCAAAATATGTAAATGTTTTGCAAAAGTATTGTTTTTTGTGAGAAGAAAGAGCCACGAGTCACTATTTGAAAACAGATGGCGGGGTCCTCTCATATTTGTCAAATATATTTAATAAAAAAATTGTCATTTAATGTGAGAGGAACATAAATGTGTACTTGAAACTTACACGTGCATCTTTTATTTGTAAAAATATATATATACATTTTAGCATTGAAATGAAAGATTAGCCACTAACACTCACCACTATGAAAAACAGTATGTTATAGCAATAGACTACTGTAGCTATTCAAAATTAAGAACGAAATGTTTAGAGTAATATAAATGCTTTTTGTTGCACCTGAAAACCTGCTTGGGGCCTCATCCCGCTTTTTAAATAGAAATGTTGTTCTTTCTTCCACAAAATTAAGTGCATCACAATTTCATTGTTAAGGTTTATTGTTACATCTCTCCAGTATAATTTGCTTGTGTCTGTGCTGTTGGAGGTAGTTTCTGACATTAGCTTACCTTGTGACTTGCAGCGGTCAAGCTAGCTGAAGCATTGTGCCAGAAAATTACCATGGATGTAGCAAATTACACATTAGAAAACATTCATTTGAAAACAAATACAGTTTGAGCAAAATTATACATTGCCTCAGACTAAACAAAAAACACGCTAAACATTTGACAATGTACTTATTTTCTTACTTTTGCAGCAGCTAAAAACACGCTGCCCTGAGCGGTAAACTTTCTGAACACTAGATGGCAGTGTTGATTACTATCTTCACGAAAAACTTTCATTTATTTTAGATAAGTACAAATAAATTATTGCCCTTTAAGTTCATTCTTTACCTTTAGTTTGTTTTGGTCCAATCCCCTAATGGGGAAATTACCTGTTAAATGAAAGTAATCCTTTGATTAAAAGGCCTCCATAATGTAAACAAAAAAATAAATACAAAAAAAAGAACCAAATGCGAACTATGAGCTTGAAAAAAATTTCTTTCCATCAAATTAGCGGCTTATTTGTAGCTCATACGTTTATTAGTTTGAGAATTTTAATGTTTCCCAATATTCAAAATAGTGTATTTCTGTAAACTGAAGGTATATTTTTCAGCTGTCCTGTTGGTGAGAGGGTCCTGAGTAAACCTGGCCGTACCACAGCATCGTACAAATTTCATTTCGTACATGCAGGGAAATGATAATTGACCAAAGTTTACAGATGGCTAAGGCCAGGCTCGTCCTGAGTGGGTCCCATCTCTAATATGTAATTGCTGTAAATTCTATTATTGATTCCTGTTTACAAGCTTGAAATAGTACCTAACTTTGAGACCACATAAAAATCAACACTATAATCCACGCAATAGCTTTCAGAACGTTTTGGTTCTATGGACAGTTTTCATGCATGTATTTTTGGTGTCACATCTTTAGACCAGCTTTTGCACTTAAAATAAAAGTTAAAACAGCCCTCACTGCAGCCAATATATAACATCTTTTCTAACAACCAAAAACAGCATGTTGTGGTCTGATTTGTTCATAGAATATTACCCACACAAAACTCTTTCTGTTGAGACAAACAAAAAAGTAATTTATGAAACATTTTTTAATAATAATCTTTAGTAATGTGAATGTAAATAATACAAAGCAACCATCTGTGGCTACATATGTTTAAAATAAAACATATTTCTGATATTACTTATTACAGTTTTTATCGGTCGCTTTGGTGCATTTTTCACATCGTTCTTCACATTTGCACAACTGTTGGTGCATTTCTCAGAACAATTAGTGCAAACTGCAGAACCTTGTGGAAAACCTGCAAAAGTGCGTCACTTTCTCAAAATCAAAAGTTTATTCCTCAAAAGCAAGTCCAAATGTCAATGAAACTGTCTATGTCGTCTAAATAATATGTCCTAACAACATTCAATCAATCAATCAAAGTTTGTTTATTTCGAGTAAATATGTGTACAGAAAAACAAAAGTAGAATATCAAAGTTGTGTATAAATAACCCTGAGCTATATCTACATTATACAAAATTATGAATATTATATACACAAAAGAAACACTTACAGATACTCGAAAAGGAGTGGGAAGAAGAAAACTTATTTAATCCCACCCCTGGTGCCTTAAAGAAAAAACAAAACAAAACATTATTCATTGAGCTTCCCATTTGCTCAAGTACAAAAACAAATCAAATGGCACATTTGAATCAACTGTTCAGGTTTTTTAAGTAGCAATTAACGGGTTTTAAGGACATATACACACAAGATACGTATTACAAGGATGCAAAACAAATGCATAAGGAAAATACCAGCAATGGTAAAGACAGTAAATATCAATATGGTACATAGGGACAGCAAATACCAACAATGGTAAGGAACAGAAAATACCAACAATGGTAAGGAACAGAAAATACCAACAATGGTAAGGAACAGAAAATACCAACAATGGTAAGGATACAGCAATGATAAAGAAACAACAACAGGGGCAATTACAAACATACAAGAAACATACATACATGGCAACATGAAGATATATTCAAGGCATATTCCCTCTATAGTCAGACCAAACATTGTTTTTGTACAGTGATTTAAATCTATGAATGTCTTGGCATTTTTTTAGTTGGAGATCAAGAACATTCCACAATTTCACGCCACATACAGTCACACAGAAACTTTTTTTACGAGTCGATCGGAATTTTGGAAGTTTGAAGTTTCCAAGACCTCTTAGATTATATGTTTTTTCATTAAGAATAAAGTATTGTTGTATTTTACATGGTAGCAATTTGTTAAATGCTTTAAATAGCACAATTGATGTGTAGAGCTTAACAAGGTCTGGAAACTTCAATAATTTAGATTGGGTAAAAAGTTCATGAGTGTGTTGTAGGTAGCTTGCTTTGTGAATGATTCGCACAGCTCGTTTTTGCAATAATAATAAAGGTTTTATTGTACAATGGTAATTGTTCCCCCACACTTCGACACAGTACATTGAGTATACATTGAGTATGAACATCACAGTCAAATGACTTAGTCATGTTTTCATTGTGACACTTCACTCTCTCTGTGTTTTCAGTGTAAAAAAAAAGTCAGATCTCGGTAACACTTGAGCACGACTATGAGCACACTATACACGACCTATACGGCCATTTACAGTAAAAACTACAGTAAAGTTACACAAAGACTGTATTTAGAGACGTAACTGACATTCTGTAACATATATGTATGTACTGTATGTATGTGTGTATCTATGTATGTATGTACTGTATGTATATGTATGTATGTATGTGTGTATCTATGTATGTATGTACTGTATGTATATGTATGTATGTGTATATCTATGTATGTATGTACTGTATGTATATGTATGTATGTATGTGTACTGCATATGCTCTTTGTATTTTTGTTGCACAATGCTGTAGAACTGCAGGCACATACTGTACATGTACAGTATATACATAGAACAAACATACAAGAAATATCATTATGGTAGAACTGTGACAAAAATAAACAATAAAGCACACCTCATGAGTGAAGTTGAAATTCACCTGAGATAAATTGTTCAATTTAGGAAAGATTTACAGGAAAAAAAGATGAAGGAATGTATGAAATTAGCTCGACAGTTATGATTTTGAGAACTAGTTCAACTATTTTGTATGTGATGACCAAAGCGATGAAATGAGGACAGTTAGTTTTATAGTGAATGACTATTCAGAAGTGATAAGTATGTTTCATTTTGACTGACAGGACAGAAGCAAATGATAAGGTTAAAAAAACGCAGAGAATTGTATGAAAGTTATTGATACATGAACAAAAGCATTTGAAATGTGTTCAGAGGAATGAGAAACTGCCATGATGATGTGCACCAATGACCCAATGTTGTGGAGGGTGAACTAATAGTTTTGAGAACTTTAAGTCTGATGTGAGAAATGCACCAAAGCGACTGAGAAAAACTGTAAAAAGGCAGATTAATGGACTTACTTGGAGCAGAGTTCCTGGTTTGTGGCACAGAAAAAAAATGTGTGGAGTTTGACCCTGAGTTTGTGTGTTGTGTTTGCGGGCTGTCTGCAGCAGAGAATGGGGAAAGCAATGAGTTAATGCATAGATTAGAATTACAACACACTTCAGACAATTATCGATTTTTTAAGTTAAAAAACAGTTTCATCAAGATACGGCTCCACAAGAGTAACTTTTGATTTGCTGCTTATTTCCATATTAAAGATAGTTTTTCTTTGGGCTCTTGATTTTAAACTTAAACCTGCAGAACTCCTGACTGAGTTTTGTTTATTTGGCTTGAATGTTTCTAAACATTGTGAATAGTCTATTACCAGACATGGAGAATGGACTGTGGCAAAAAATCTACAGACTTTTTTTTCAATCTCAATTATTGACAGGTGGCTGAAGAAAAGTATGCATTTAGAATAAATAACTGAGACAGGGACAGGCAGCATGCTTTTACCTTTCCTTATCTGCATAGTCTCATTCAAACCCAGCCCCAAGGTTGTTAAAAAATAAATATATTATATCAAATATTATTTAATCTGTTTTGAGAACTATTATGGATGATCCTACAAATTACTCTGCAAATTAGTTCATATTGGCTTGAATTAGGCAATATTTTGACAGTTTTAAAACAAGATTTTCTGATGTAGTGACTGTGACATGACTATGTGTTATGTGAGAAATGGTTTGTTTTAGTCTTAATTAAAAACAAGACAGTTTTTGTTCAACAAAAAATCGTATAGATAGATAGATAGATAGAAAATAATACAATACTGCCAAAAAAGGAATGGGCAGAAGCAATTCTTATTCGAGCCTATCCTTTTCTACGGCATCAGTGTGTGGTGTACCATATTTAAATCACTTATCATATTCTTTAAATATTTGAGTATTTAAGTTTTAAATTGTAACAAATAAGTAAAATTTTTTCTCATCTTTTGTTAATTGATTCCATAACTCCAAGCTCCTCTCCAAGAACTAAACTGAAATCATCTATCCATTTTCTACCCTTTAATCCATTTCTGGGTCAGGGGGGTGGCAATCAGAGATGCCACCCAAGTCTCATAGCACCAGCCCCTCACTGACCCTCTGCAGGTGGTGAGTCCACAGGAGGACGGCTGCTCTCTGAGTGTGAGCACAGCCTTGATCTTTCAGTGGGGACTTCAGGCAAAGTGGGGTTAAGTGTCTTGCCCAAGGACACAACGACAGCAGTCATCAGTGGGAGTCGGTGGAGAAGGTGTAGAGGTGGGAATTGAACCCACAACCTTCTGGTCAATGCTCTACCAACTGAGCTACTGTTGCCTGACTGAAACTGAAATATCGTCTGCAAAGTGTTGACGTCATGCGGCTGTGTTTGGAGGCTTCAGGTGTTTGTGTGTATTTCTGCAGTATGTTAACCATAGAGAAGTGGTGCAACAGCAGCAGTAAACTATAGACCGAGCAGCTGTTGGTTCTGCTAAAGTGTAGGTCGTTGCTCAACCCTGTGCTGCTTTTAACTTCACACCACTTTACCTCAACCATGTGGATCTTACTACGTCTATTTTTCTGACTTTTATTAATAAGTCTTAATAGTCCCACAATAGAAAAAATAAAATAAAAATGGATACCAACATTTCACCAGACCGGTTAGAGATGATGTGTTGGCCCCAAATAAACCCTAAGGCCATTAAACAACTGCAAGACATAATAATGATTTGCTGTTGAAATATGTGTTGATGTGTTGAAAAAACAGCGCTGCACTGCAATATTCTGTTACCTGAATCATTTTATCTTGTGCTCTTTATAATTTAATTGGTTTCATTCACTGATTCACTGATGCGAGCAAGATTTCCATTAATAAATATTTCACTATTATTGACAAAGCTTTGTAGTGGTATCTTTACAGAGATTGCACTACATTTGCATAATAGCATTTTTGCCTCCTGCACATACAATATACATACTACAGTGTCAGTATTTATAACTTTTTAATATTCTAAATATCCAAGTTTCACCTGTATTACACATTTAATCTTTCTTTTTATTTATTTATTTAACCTGCACAATACTTATTTTTACATATATCAATACAAAAGACAAATAAACTGATACCTGGTTCGAAAAGGGGTTGGACGAAGCAAATTCTTTTAGTTGTTAGCGACAAAATATTGTAAAATGCTCTCAAATGCACCACAGGCTTTCTATGAAATATAATTTCTGAGCACCAGATGGAAGTATTGAGTTCCTCTTTACAAAGAGATAAGAAGAACCATCCTGGATGAACTGGTAGGATGTGCAATCTGTTCTCAAAAGGAAATAATCAAAATGCTTGACAAACAAAACACACATTTAAACAAAAATTCTTCCAATTGAAACAAACAATTAAAACAACAGTGAGAAACCTTGGAGTAATCACATGTCACCTGAATGATACAGAAATTAAACATTTGTTCACAGTCAGTCCGAATTAACTTTAAGCTAACCAGAAAGGACACATTTCGCTTCATTTGTGAAACCACCTAAATTACTTGACGACTGGAACTGGATTCACATCTCCACAGGAAGCATCATGCCCTTTCTGGTTCTCCAAAGTGAATTCTAACTTGTGAATGCAAAGACTTAAAACCATACAGTGGAAAAAAAACTAAGGAAACATTGCCAATGGAACAAAAAATTAATCACTTAATAAAAATACATCTTCAACCTGCAATTGTGCAATGAATAAAAAAGTTAGTGTCTCAACCAACAATAGTATGTGAGAGCAAACAAAGACTCGCCGGTCCAAAGCCCCTGTGCCTCAAACGACTTTTTGTTTTCTAAATATAAGTCGCCTTTGGCTGGTTTTTATTATGTCAAGTTTGAGTCATCTCATGCATGACTCATCTATTCAAATATTAAAAAGTTACTGGGTGGTGGCCTCAGCTTTTTTTGATATGTATTATTGTTTATTTCCAATATCGTAGTCTAATCTATTCTTTGATTCTGTTGCCTGTGTGTTTTCTTTGTATTTAGACTGTGCATATTACACCAGCTGATGTGTTCATTATGTGCTATTTAGACTTTCTCAAAAACACAAGGATATTTTCACTGTTGTTGAAATAAGCATAGCTCACCAGAGAATGTATAAATACCCGGACCTGAACCATCTCTTTTGGGTTTTATTTTTCCAATGGAGTCAAACAGTCCACAATGACAGGAAGAGCACAGGTTAGTTGTGTCCACTTGAGTTGTTTCCTCCCAAAGCTTTTGAAAACACTGGGTATCCCAAGCGTCTGCAGCTTACAGTAATGTGTAAAACTCCAGAACATTCATTGAGAGGTTATAGATATAGGTTTTATGCATGGATGTATTATACGGTTTAGAGGGTCTCTTCCAAGGCACTCAGCTAAACTCACAGTGCGGACACATCTTTTTTACTTTGCATTTTGATAAAAGCCCCTATTATACAATAATTTTTGTTTTAAAAGGAAAGTTACCGGGGTTTTAGGCAAGATTTATTAGGAATGATCACCGTGACAAAAAGCAAAAAAGCTTTTATTTGATATTTTTTATTCTAGAATATAAAAAATAGAACTCTAGTAATCTAAATCCTAATCTAAAAAGGTTAATGCTTTCACTTTACATTTATTTTTCAAGTTGTTGTGACTATGTATCATTTACATATTCATATATTTGTGTTTTAATTTTTGAATAAAAAATTAAGACCTGAAAATAAGAGAAACGCACGCACGCAGACAGGCGCACGCTTTTACATACACGAATACACACATGTACACACACATTCTTGACACGGTCATTAGCCAACGATTATGTTATCGATCATTACTCTGGATTTACGCTTACATTAGCATATTCGATACATATTTTAGTAAACGTATCGATTCATTTATATAAAAAAAAATAACAATAATGTTTAGTCTCTGTGTTTGCCTTTTCGCGTTAAATCAAATACTTTTATTTATTTTTTATTTTTTTTAAATACACTGACGTAACTGCGGCGCGCTCCCGAGGCCCAGTGTGCGCGCCTCCTCTTCACACCAGAACCAGGAAGTGAAAGTGTACACATGGAGGGTGTGTCGGTCCTTCCCTCCGCTCCTCGTCCGATGCGGTTTTATTTTTAAATTCGCAGTCCTCCTCCCTGCCTTCAGTCATGGGGGACTCGGCCAGGACCAAGCGGCGGGAGCAGCTGCAGCGATGGGCTGGCTCCAGCACGGACAAAGCCCCGGCCGTGCCCCGGAGGAGATGGCGGGGCGACGGGGAAAAGCACCCAGAGGCCAGCCACCACAACAGCGAGGATCCGCCAACAACAAGCAAGCCAGTGTCCGAAGAAGCGCCGCAGATCAGTCCCTACACCAAGAGACGGTACGTTTTAATTTCGAGTTGTATTTTGATACTTTTCCAGCATTGCAATCTATTGGTGACTCTTCGATTGTATAACTGGCTAAAAATGAACACTGTGCGTAGGTTTGGAGAGCGTGTAGGCAAGCTGTGAAGTAGCTGTTAGAAAGAAGCTCCATTATTATGGCATAAATCATTATCTTCTCTTGATTATATGTCTCATTGTTGGAATCTGGCTCATTGCATTTCTAAAATCAGCTTGTAGATGATTGTATAGACCATATAATAGTGATGTTTTCTTACATTTCTCTTTTATTTGCCTACCTGTGCATTCTGTGTTGTAAGCACATCTCAACACAATCAAACCATCAAATGTATTATTGTAATCAATTAGAACTGTAGTGAAATCTACTTTACAAAAGTGATGAATTGTGAAGCCCAAGAGACTGATCAGCACAGCAGCTGCAGCCCACCAGCGGAATAACAAGCACTTATTTCTGTCAAGTGCTATTGTCACAAACCAAAATAGACACTGGTGTAGGCTGTGTTGAAATACACACTGGAATTTGATTATTATTTTTTCCCAATCTTTGGTTACCTAACTATTTAAATGTGGAAATGGAAAAACTACATCTGATTTCAATATTTTAATTTCTTATCAGTCCTAAAGTCCATATTCTTCTTCCCAGATCTAAAAACCTGTGTACTATTGAAAACTGAGAACTTTTCTCAGTAAAACACTATTTAAACATTTGATGTGCATGTAAACATGTGTAAACATGTGTCATCTGAAGCTTTTGTCATTTAATACATTTCGCAATGTGTCATCTGTGTCAAAAGTAAAACAGGACATGAATGAATATAACAAGAGTGTATTTCTGTGTCACATTTGTCATATTCCTGTATCTTTAACATAGTTTACTAACCTTTCTAACATTGTTACAGCAAGGGTAATGACTAAAAATGCAAAAGCACTATCAATATTAGATTCAATATTATCAATGAATGTTTTTGTGTCTGAATTTACCAATTAGTGATTAGAACTGAAAAACATGTAGGTTTTTCCAACAATTTCCTCACTACTGTATTGGTGGAAACACGGGAAAAATCATTCAAAAGTTATTTCTGTAATTCAACTTAAAATGTGGAACATACCAATGTATGATAAACACTTGTGCAACATGTGCCAAGTCTTTGTTTGTTATAATTAACATTACTATGGCTTAAAGTCCATTTCAAATATTCAAATTTTCCTAGATGTTTTATTTGGAGTTTTTACAAGCTGTGAGCCAATTATCAACATTGCAACAATTAAAGTCTTTATATGGCTCTCTTTGCGTGTGTCATTTATTAGTTTCACATTGTAAGTTTAAATACAGAAGTAAATGGACTTGGAGTTTCGACTTTTCAACTATATTCTAATTTTGTATACAGTTTCACCTGTATATCTGAAAGAGAATGATATGGTAAGGTTTAGGTGCATTTACCGGGTTGTGGTATGACAATTAAGTTCAATTGATTTAACTATAAACCAAATAGTCGTCTTTTCAATATTGTAAATCAGGTCAATGATTATGATGGAGAAAATGTAACTCACTTTTTGCAGTACTTATAAATCACCAGAAACATGTTTATTTTTAGGAAACGTGTGAGGTTTGACAGAGCGGCTGAGTTCTTGGCGACATGTGCGAGCGGTGACACAGAGGAGGCGCGGGTGATGCTGACGGAGGCGCGACTGATGACCAGAGAAGACGGAGAAGACGCACAGGACATTATCAACTGTTCAAATGCAGACGGAATAACTGCGCTGCACCAGGTAAAGCACGTCCACATCCTGAATCCTCACAGAACACACTCGGGACCAACTCTGGAGTCTGTCGAACCAGAAACATGGCTGAAGTTGTATTGCAAAAGGAATTTCCTTTGGGACAAAATTTCTGTGTCAATCCATCTATTCAAGCATCTTAAGGCTATTGTAGTTTTGATACTAAAAAAAAGTCACCAAAACTGGACAAGATGTGACCATTTTAGAGGTATTTTCTATCTAAAGCAAACCTGGTGTACAATCTTGAGGTTTATTGAAAAGTGTTGATATTTAGTTATGACATACATAATGACATATAAAAACATTTTTATATCATAAGTGCGGTATTGGTATTGTTTGCTCCGCGGGTAATATGTTTTATATACATTAAATTGTAATATAGTGACAACACTACTAGGCCTGATTTGGCTTTAATTCTATTGCATGATCTTCATTGGTGTTTTAAGTTTAGTTTTATCCCAGTTGTTTGCGCTTAATGATAAAAGGAGGCACCACATACATGTTTTTAGTTCTGTCTAATGTTATCCCTGCTCAGTTCATTATCACAAAACAGCTACACTTACAGTAATTTGATCAATGAATTCAACATGGATTTTTCCCTCCTTGTGCACAGGATCAGGGAGAAAAATGGAAAAATGTGTGTGCGTGCAGTTTTCTCTCTGCTTATAACACAGGTTACTAATTAATGATACTCCAATGTTGTGTTTTTAAATTCAAAGTGGAGATACTCAGAATACAAAATATGTTTGATTGGACTTTGATCATCAGTTTTAGTCCATGAATAAATCAACAGTACAGATGAAGACTAAACTGGGACAAACAAAAGCATGCACTGCATCATGGCTTATCCACCACTACTATCGATAACTGCCACCTCATTTTGAGACTCACTGTAATTACATTGATACATTGATTCTAATGCGATCCTGAAATAACACTCTCCTGTTGTCTTATCTGTTCAAAGGCATGCATCGATGGGAGTATGGAGATAGTGACGTTCATGCTGGAGAATGGAGCCAGTGTGAACCAGGTGGACAGCGAGGGATGGACGCCGCTGCACGTGGCGGCCTCCTGCGGATACTCAGAGATAGCAGAGTATGTCCTAACACGACCTTAAAGGGGATTTCACTTTCAGCCACGTTATTGTTGTCATTCAAAGGTTTATTTAGTGATGCATATTTGAGTAATCCATAATCATCTGTCAATAGATGGGTCCTGTGAAATGCGATCACCAATATGCAACCATGATTCTTAGATTCAATGGTTTTATTTTGAGGGAAGGTAGCATGAGGAGCCCCCTTTTCTTGTATTTAATGATTCTTTATCACAGTAAGAACATATTGTCTCTGTGATTTAGTACTTTATGTATGCTTGTTTTGATTTATATAATTATCATTCTCAAAAGAGCAAGGGAAAAATAAGTTTTAGATCAATACATTAATTTTAAATTCATAGCTATCCAAAAACAAGCAGGGCAATATGTCCTTCTAAACGCACAGTTCATTTTGTTACATATGAAGGCATGTAGTTATTTTGCTCCTAAATAAATTCATTCCCTTTGGGCTTAAGTTAGTGGAATAGTGGCCGGAAATCTGGGAGGACAGCAGGGACAGACATTTGGCAAACAGTTGGAGTCCAAATGCAAACCCGATGCCAAAATGAGATACAGTCACTTATGTAATGCTTGAGGTGTATTGCACATATCAGAAACATTTCAAAATATACATGTTTTTTGTTGTAAAAATCACCAAAAGCACATCATACTTTCAACCTAAATAGGGGATACAAAAAAAGAACGTATGGGAATGAACATTTGTGACTATGAGAAGTAGCACCTGAAACTATTTCCTGCTTGTAAACAACACAACCGCTTTCATACTGCCCAATTCCACATTCATCATTGTCCATTTGCTTACATTTGGTAGAAAGAAATCTAATCGGAAAGAAAAATCCAATCCAAATTTCAGATGCAGCTTGTGTAATGCTTCTTCCAGTGATTTCCTCCTTAAGTTTTATATCAATGTTTCCAAAGAACAGAACTATAATAACAACGCGGAACTAGTTTAACACACAGTTGATAAAATGGATAGTAAGAAGGTATCAAGCTGCGTCGCACATGTTTTAGTAATATCCAGCAACTTTACGGACATTTTCCCCTCGTTTTGTCTTTGTTTTGCTCTCGTACACTGTGTTCCCATGCAGCCCTTGACTTGTGGAGTCTTAATATGAAGCCTCCACTCCAGTCACTATAGCCTCTTCTGTTCGAGGAGCACAACAGCTGCCTAATAAAGGGTCCGTTGCCTCTGTGGGGACGTCACAATACGGTGTGGGTGCCAGGGCATTTCTGCATTTAACAATACTACTATTGTTGTCGCATTTGGCAGGGCAACAACTAAGCCAAGACTAGGTTGGCTTGGCACCGTAATGCATGTAAGGCAATTGATTTTAAAGAATCAATGTGCATTTTTAGCTTGCATTGTCGGGGAAAGCTCCAGGGGTATTAGACTCGTCCTATTTTTAAAGTGTGGCAAATTCTTGGAGCTTGAGAATCTGTGTTTATTTTTTTGTGTGGTTGTTGTAGGTACCTCCTGCAGCACGATGCCTGTCTGTCAGCGGTGAACTGTGACGGAGATGTTCCTCTGGACATCGCGCTGGACGAAACCACAGAGTCACTCATTCAGAAATTCACCATTAGACAAGGTGAGGTGAAAATCCTGTTTTCCGAGGGGTCTCAAGGTGTAAGTGGGAGTGTGAGTGTGGATGAATGAGTTTGTGTTTATCCATCTATCCATGTTGGGGTGATCACATTGCACACACACATACTTACTTTATAGATGGTCAAAATTAATGATTATTTAAAAACTGTAATGAATTAGGGCACATTTTGTCTTAATTAGCACATTTTGAAGACCACAGTTCAAAAGGGACTACAGAATATTGAATTTGGGGAAAAGGTCTCTTGATTTGAGTATATTTGAGTATATTTTGAAGGTTTATCAATTGAAAAAGCAAGTATCTTTTATCTTGTTGGACAGAAGCACTAATTTCTTATTTGAAATTAAGCTTGTCATATTTTTCCATCCATCCATCCATCCATCCATTTTCTACCCTTTAATCCATTTCTGGGTCAGGGGGGTGACAGTCAGAGATGCCACCCAAGTCTCATAGCACCAGCCTTATATATATTTTTCCTAATTTATATAATTTTTTTAAATGTGTTGTACTACTCCGCGATAAGATGAGATAAAACCGTCTTAATTCAAGCATTTGTATGTATTTAACATTTGCGCATTGTCGTACTATTGTTTAAACATTGTGGGAATTCTGCAAGAGCTTCATATATACACTTTATCAAATGTATCTCTCAAGAAGGTATTTTAGCTTTTTAAACATGCAATTGAATAATTTGCCAAAATCGTGCAGCCTGTTTATGAATCCTTTTAGGAACCCATATCCTTAAACAGTATGTCAATATTGTATCTATATCTTGATCTATTGTTTTGACTCATACACCAATAGTTTCTTAGCCTCTCGTCTCTGATCTGCTCCATAGTCATTTAGGCAAAACAAAAACGGTGCTTAATTGTTGTCAGTGAATGTTTTCTGGTGTATCGCTGACTAATCCCACTTTAATGTTCAGGTGTGGACTTGGAGGCCGCGAAACGTGTGGAGGAGGAGCAGATCATGACAGACGCTCGGGCCTGGCTCACGGAGGGACCACCGGCCGACGTGCGGCACCCCAAGACTGGAGCCACACCTCTGCATGTGGCCGCGGCGAAGGGATACCTGGAGGCTCTCAAGTGAGACACTAGTGGTGCAGCTAGAACTTTAGTCATGATGTGGTTTTAGTTTTGTTTCTGTGCTAAATCAGCCTGGAAACGTGTATATAAACATACATTTGCCATGTCCTTCGCTTAGAATCAGTTTTCACGCCCAGGCAGAAATGTCAATGTTTTTTTTGGGCCATATTTCAGAGATTATGAGTGTGCTGAGTGGTTAGCCCTCTCGCTTCTCAACAAAAAGGTCCTGGATTTGATTCCCCGTCCAGACAGAGCCTTTCAGATTAGAGTTTGCATATTCTCCGTGTCTGCATAGGTTTCTTCCAGGTGCTCCTCTGCCACTGAAAGCTCCCCACTAAAATTTTGAAATCTCAGTAGCTTAAAAAAGTTAATAATGCATATTTTCCTCAATAATTTTTTGTGGTTTTGTAAAGACATTTAGTGTCAAATAAACTAGGTTTTTTTTTCTTTCAAATCCTTAACAGAAACTACTGACATGACCCTAATTAGGCCCGAGCCCCGAACGGGGAAAGGGCCTATTGTTTTTACCCGAGATATGTCAAATTCTGCACTTTGAGCCTTAATTTCACCCCCTGAACATGCATGAAAAGTTGTAACATTTTGCCCAAACATCAGACCTGGTGAAAAATGTGATATTTTGGTGTTTATTTTTATGGGACTCAAAAAATGCCAGGACAGCGCCACCTACAACAGCCAATGGGAGTTTCAGAGGTCAAGTTTGTCGTAGAGCCATGAAATTCGGTACACATGTTCCTCAAGTCAAGATGAGACCAAAATGTTTTCAATAATTTTCATACATGTCGGTTGGAAATCGTCTCCTCCTCGGCCGTTTTTGACAACATTAATTTTGCTCCCGTTTGCACAAACAAAGTCTGATTTGCACAAAACTTGAATCCAATGTTCAACTCCAGGGTTTAGGTCGGGTGAAAGTGAAATATTTGAAATTGGCAAATTACAATTTGACTAACGTTCTACTATGCCTACAGCAACAAATCATCACACGGCGGCCCCACCTCCTTTGCGCAGTGCTGCGTGGTACGGTGTGGCGGGGCGTTGTGGAGCGGCGTGCGTTGCGGCGTGCTGCAGATCCGCTTGGTGCGGGGCGGCGTGGTGTGGGGCGCCGTTGGGCGGGGCGGTGCGGCGAGGGCCGTTCGACGCCGCTTGCGGTTTTAATTAGAATTGTACTTACCCAGGTTGCAATAGCATGTGTAGCCCCTTTTAACATCTATGCAAGCTTGGAGTCTATTGTGATTGATGTTCTTTATCATAAGACGGTAAAGCTGCTCATTCTTCTTGGCAAATAGCCTCCAGTTCTCGTAAGTTTCTTTCATAAACCACACACCCAAGATCAGCTTTTACATAAAATAAATATATGAAACATGTTTATTTCACACGATCACTAGTGAGGGGAAAACTTGTTTGTGTTATCTTTTCTTCCTCTCAAAATATGCCCAAAACAATTAAATCCCTGTGTGTGTGTGTGTGTTTGTAAACTATGAAGCGCAACTGTAGATATTTTAGGATATTTTTCATTTTTCTTGACATAAAACTGTAATAATGACCTCTCGTGCTTCTGTCCTTTGCAGAATTCTGTGTCAGTGTGGTCTGGATGTTTCGGCCAAAGACAATGACGGCTGGACGCCTCTCCACGCCGCAGCGCACTGGGGCCAGGGCGACGCGTGTCAGGTTTTGGCCGAACAGTTGTGCAACATGGAGGCCCGCAGCAACTCTGTAAGATATACAATTCTAGTTCAGTTTTTCATTCTAGTCAAATTCAAGTTTTAAGAACGTTTATGTTTGACGTTTTCAGGGCCAGACGCCGTTTGATGTTTCAGATGAGAGCGTGGAGGAGCTCCTGGAGGATTTATCACAGAAACAAGCCAGTGTAAGAAGCAACTTTTTTACCTTTAAACTTTATAGGATTCACAGGTTAGATCACAGAAAGGCCGGCCCATAGATGCATGGATCAATAGTAGTGGTTACTAAGTGCTGTTTTTGTTGTGTGAAAAGTAGGGCTGGGCGATTAATCGATTTTAATCATTAATTCGAGTTTTACGTTTAGGGCGATTTCTTTTTTTAAAAATTCGATTTTTATTTTCTCCAGCGCAGAACTACAGCGCTAACGCGCTAACCGCGGGTCTATGGTGTTGAGCAGTCATTTTGAAGCTAACCTAATGCTAACAGTCTCCCTCTGGCCTGAGGCTCGCTCTCACAGTTGGTGCTGTTGCAATAACACTTCAAACGTTCAAGAATCAGACTTTATTTAATCGGCAAAACACACACACACACACACACAGGCTCCGGTCGTACGCCACATCTTTCACGCTCTCTCACGCTCGTTATTCCAAAGCGCACTCCCGTGTCCGTGGCGCGCACACACTCGTGTCCCACTGAGCCGCTGCACTTTGGGGAAAGACACGTCTCACACATTGCTCTCATTGCTCTGATACAAACAACGTGTTCCCCGCTGTCTGTTAGCTACAGTAGCTGCTACAGTAGCTGCTACAGTAGCTGTTAGCTACAGCATCAGAATGTAAACAGGAAGCTCGCACAGTCACTGAAGTTAGTATTAGCGCCACCAGCTGGACCGAGCGTTGTACTACAGCACAGTTACTCAGGCACAGTTGAAAGAACAAGCATGAAAACCCGAGGAGGCTTTTGGAAAAGACTGTCTGTTACAACATTTCTATTTTGAGTAATCAGTTTTAAAAATGTGATATTTCATGTAAATAATGCATGTGTTTAATAGGATTGATATATTTGCGATGGGCCTTGTTTGTGTGATTTAAGTTATTTTGAAGGTGCATAGTGTCATTGTAAGTGAAGTTATTATAAAACTGTTAAGCTACATTTTCACTGTTTACAATGGCAGAGCCATCTCGTTTACAAGCATGTTTTAAGGCTTAATTCCTGTTACACTTATGCTCCATGGGGATTTAGATTAAACTGCATAAAGGAAAATCTATTTCTTTGTCAGTTGTAGTTTGTTTTTAAATAGAAAAAAATAAATCGATTAAAATCGAAAATCGGATTTGGTGTGAAAAAATCGGAGATTTTTTTTTTTTGCCATATCGCCCAGCCCTAGTGAAAAGTCTGAATAGTTCTGTCAGTGCACAGCTCTCTTTACATTTTATGCAAGATTCTATCGAATTAGGCAATTATGTGGTTTTGCTTCTTGGCAAGAAGGTCTTATGTCTGTGGAGTTACCTGTAGGTTTTCTCCTGGTGCTCAGATTTCCCACACCACTGAAAACATGTGCAATGACCCCTGCGTTTTACAATTGACTAAATATAACATAACCTGAAATAATTAAAACTAACTAAGTAAACACGTGTGAGAAGTGACAGGACAAAAGAAGCCGTTCTAACGTGGAAGCTCTTCTGACCCTGAACCCTTTAGAACCCTTTTTCAGAAATGTTGTGTGAAACAAATGGAAGATTGCGACTTTATAAGAGAGATAGTGGACAATTAAAATCAATGATGGAAAAAATTAACTAAGTATATCAAAAAACTTTAGGTTTGTGCAAAGCCAGGTCACTGTATACATAGATTCAGGAGCTCATATAGAAATTCTACTACTGTACTTGGGCGCCTAGAGGGTTACTGTTTATAGTGAAAGCATACTGAAAGCAAATACCTTTAAAAGATACTGTGTTATGTAGTATTCCTGGATTGAGGCTGATAGCTGCGTGTTAATTACAGTGGCGTAAGGAACAGTCCATATTGGATCGACAAAACCAACCAGGCTCCACTACGCCGACCGCTCAGAGCAAACGGAGGCGGTGAGTTAAAAATCATTCGTCAGACTTGTTTTTAATTCAGATCACAGCTTTTTTTCTTTTGCTTGACTGAATTGACCCCCATCTGTTGCTGTAGGAGCTCCGTGTGTCGGATGAGCAGCAAAGACAAGATGAATGTTCAGGACCAGTCTAAAGAGAGGGGCGTGTCTGGAGGCTCGGAGTTCAACGAGGAGGAGAGCAGTCCAGGTGAGTTTATGATGGGGCGCCTTCACACTTGTTAGTCTGGTTCACTTTAACTTGGCCACTTCTGGTTCACTTTAACTGGGCCACTTCTGGTTCACTTTAACTGGGCCACTTCTGGTTCACTTTTTGTGGACCAGTTAACAAAGGTGTGTCCAAACCTTCTAGAAATAATTCTTGCCCACAATAATTGTTGAGGGGCCAACAACATAAATTATAAAACTCTTTCAACTGAAAAAGCTCTGACTTTTAAAAATGAGGTCTGACATTGGAGCTGAAGTTGGCTGAATGACAAATGGACAACATGTGGCTGAGTGGATAGCACTCTTGCTTCTTAGCACGAAGGTCCTGGGTTTGAATCCTGGTTGGAACAGGGCCTTTCTGAGTGGAGTTTGCATGTTCTCCCTGTGTCTCCAGATGCTCCAGTATAGTTATGAATGAAATGAGTGGGCGGCACGGTGGCTGAGTGGATAGCACTCTCGTCTCTCAGCAAGAAGGTCCTGGGTTCGAATCCCGGCCGGACCAGGGCCTTTCTGAGTGGAGTTTGCATGTTCTCCCCGTGTCTGCGTAAGTTTCCTCCGGGTACTCCGGTTTCCCCTACCACTAAAAATATGTACAATAGGTCTGGCATGCGCCTCCTGTTCGGCGACCCCGCTCCCATCTCTGTGTGGAGTGAGAGGACAAGTGCCCAAAAAATAACATTTGTAAACCCCTTTGTGACTCTGGTCTGTGAAAGGCGGTATATAAATAAGCTTACTTACTACTTACTAGAATGGATGGTGTTGATTGGGGGATTTGATGCCAGTGTGTTTGGAGGCTCGCTTCAGTCTTCACCGTGTGTGGAGCGAGTGGAACAATATCTGAACCCTGAACATTGTAAAGCGCTTTGGGTGACCTTGGTCTGTAAAAATGCGCTATATATCAGGGCCCCATAACATACCACACAGTGCCACAATTGGCCCGCTGGCCTTAGATTTTGTACATGCCTGTGTTAAAGTGAACCAAACCCACAAGTGTGAACGCACCCCTAAATGTATGAACCTAGTGATGTGAACCTCTTGCACTTTTGGATTTCTTTGTTTCAGAAAGCTCTGCAGTGTCAAGTCCAGAGACTGAGAGCATGACCACGACTACAGTTAGTCCTGCTGAAAAGGTAAGATAAGATAATGCAAAATATAGTATTGAAGATTTTTTGTTCATGGTTGGAAGGGATTGGGTTTTCAGTTCACCAGGGGGTAAATGTTTAATTTATTTAATATTTAAACTGGAAGGGAATTTAGTAAATGCCCTACCTTGTACCTTAAATACTACGACTGAGGATCTATAAAGTGAACGCATGTGGCTTAGTTTCCTCCTGTTTTAGTCGCTCTTTGGGATTGTTCATGTTTATCTAAATTCATATTTTGTATGAAATGTTTGCAATGAAAACCTTACTAACTATTCAAGTTAATTTAGCCAGTAAAAGTTTATCAATAATTAAAATTGCTTCAATAATCTTGTTCTAGATTACTTCATAAATGTATCCTCCAGTTAACTTTACTCTTTCACTTATACAAGTACATATTTATTTGCACTAGACGCAGGGGTGTCAAACTTATTTTGGTCAGGGGCCGAATGAAAAATGAAAGGGCTGGTCAGGGGCCGAAAGAATAAGTGGGTTTCATTTATTATACTTGTTTATAATATGAACTTGTTTCACATTATTTGGATTGGATATTCTTTTCTAATTAAGATGAGTTCAGTTACTGTGGACTGAACCAAAACTGGACCAAATATTGAAGGCATTTAGGAAGATGTTCTACTTCCGGGTGGATCATCAAGACTATTGGTCTTCCCAACTGTCAATCATTCTGGTGATTTGTGCTTGTCAAATAAGACCAGAGACTTTTGTTCAAAAAGTGTAGAGGGCAATTTTTTCCTAAGAAAATTGGGGAATCCTCCTTCATATCTTTAATGTAGAAGACTCGTTAAAAGCATAACATAACAATACTAACTTCTACTTACATGTTGGCTTAAAATTTCTTATGGAATAACATTTTTTGGTTGTTTACTTGAGAAAATTAGTACTGGATAACATGCCATTGTCGCCTATTACCATCAAAACTGCTATTTAATATAATAATTCAAAATCATCTCAGAGGCCACTGGTAATGGTCTCGCGGGCCGGATCTGGCCCCCGGGCCTTGACTTTGACACCTATGAGAGTATATTGGTTCATACATTATATAGGCTTTATACTTTTCATACTTTGAGGTTTAGTCTGATAAAGATTTTGTTTTGCTTTTCTAGTAAAGTTTGCTTATCTTGTGTTATGTGTTCCTCATTCCTGCTATTCTGTAACCTGTGATGCAACACTAAAATCTCCCCACTGTGGGACGGATAAAGAATCTTTTAATCTCAATCTTAACCGGAAAAAAACTTCAAAAAAACCCCTCTTTACCTTATATTTGTTCCCTTAGGTTTTTGAATTATGACATTTTGACCAATGGAATTCTAAAGGCAAATACTCAGGCATGGAAAAGTTAAAATAAAATAGAAAACCCATAATCTCTTCAATACATTTTTGCAGTGACTAAATTTCCTTTTTTTCCCTCTTCATGTTCAGACGTCTGAGGAGAACCACGAGGAGAAGGAGCAGGACGACAAGGTGACGCCCACAGCACGAGTCCAGCCCACTCCACAGACAAAAGACTCTCCGGCCGACAGCCCCAACACCCCCAGCTCCGACCGCCGAAAGTAAGGCCCATTCAGAGACGCTGCTTTTCACCATCGCGGCAAAAGAAAAAAAAAGTTCTATTTTCTCTATTCAATCAATCAATGAATCCAATCAATGAAGGGAGGGTGGTTGTCATTGTCGTAAATGTAATAACAGACAGCATGTATTGATTTGGCAGTGTTTTCTTTGAGCAAGGCCCTTCCCCCAGTTGGACCTGATTCAATTTAGTGTCAAGATAAAGAGCGATCGCCGGTAACAGATTTTGTTCTGTGTAGTGGTGCAGAATGTGTGTGTGTGTGTGTGTCCCGGTGTGGATATGTTGTAAAGCAGAGTCGTGTTTTGAGATACTGGAAGTGTAATGCTAATGTGCTAATGTGTGATAAAGTACAGATTGCTAGTTTTAACATTGTGCTGGTCTCTTAAAGTTCTGGTGGATAAATGCTTTTAAACAATTTGCGGTGAATGATTAGGAAAAGGCTTTGAGGTTTAAAAAGAAGACTGTAATAATCAGGCAAGACCCCTTTAGATAATACCCAAGTATCAAGTTTAAGAGCTTGCTTTACTACAACAAAATGTGCATTAGCAATGTTTTAGGCCCTTAGACTAGTTTTAAAATGATGTACAACATGCTATGGGAGCCAACTGAACTTCTTACAGGGTGCTTGTGCAAGTCTTGAAAGTCTCAAGTCTGGAATTGTGTACCTTGAAAAGTCTTGAATTTTGTGCGAAAGTCTTAATAAAGTATGGGAAAAAATGGATGGTAGAATTTTACAGTATGCTCAAAAGCATTGTGAAATGAGAAATAGGAAGGTAGCCTAAAATAACTATAATTTTACTATATAACTGGTTATGTACTGTACTGGCCCATGTCCAATCATCGCTTGCTTAGCCTAGTCTGGCACATGTTTGTGATGTCACTGCTGAGGTCTATTGACACATAGCTAGCCTAGTGGTCAACAGAAATGGATCGTTGCGTGTTTTTGAATTTATGGTTTTCGAGTTTAAAGGTCTTGGGAAACAAATCAGTTTTAAAAAAAATAATAATTTGGAAAAAGGTGCAAACACCCTGTTCTTGCTATCAATTTTTTGCAAGTTGATAAAAGCAATTGAACATCAGAAGGGTTTTTATTTGGCCTCTGGAGTCAATAGAGCATGTGTGATGTGTAATGAATCGCTCCACATGCTTTTGTTTTTACTTAAGAGCATGGGTCAGCGCTGAAGCTTCACAGCCAGAACGTCCTGGGTTTGAGTCCACCTCCAGGCCTTTCTGTGTCAAGTTTGTATATTCTCCCCCTGACTGTACATTTCCTTGGAGTGTCTGGTTTCTCTTTCCACTAAAAACATGTACAATAGTCTCCTGTAACACCATCTGCCCTGAAAAAGAGATTATGTATGAGGCATAAGGTTTTATACATGGGGTTGAAGACAGAGCAGCGTGTGTTGTGCTGTGTTTGCAGAGAAGTTTGTTTTTTCGTTCCGCCTCGTCACCTCCATCTGCTCTGGAAATAATACTTCTTTGTTCAAACACTAAATACTGAAGTTACAGACTTTACTGCATGTAGGTACAGCGCAGAGCGGGAGAAAATCTTTTGTGCCATTGCTGAGGTTGCCCTAAAATGTATCCCTGAACCCTCTCATAACTTTTTGAGCAGTAGACAATCACATAACCTGCAGCCAGAGGTAATAATGTAGTTTTCCATTTTAGAATATTCTTTACACAAGACACATTTTCAGGCTCAGGTAATTGTAGCAAAACATGAAAAGAAAGAACACACATTTATTTCAATTCTATTGGGCTGCCCGGTGGCACAGTTTGCATGTTCTCCTCAAGTCTGTCTAGGTCTACAACTAAAAACATGTACAATTGGTCAAATCCTCCTGCTCTGGTAGTCCTGACCAAGCCAAGCATTAACGTCTAAAGATGGGTCTCCAGGCGCTGTATGACTGGGTAGATTAAGATATCCTTTATTCGTCCCACAGTGGGGAAATTTCAGTGTTGCATCACCAGTTGCAGAACAGTAGGATCGAGGAGCACACAGCACAAGATACATGCATAATGAAATAAAATCTCTATAGCATAAAAAGCAGCAGCTGCCTGGTATCGACCACAGCTCCTGACTAGGGTTGCCGAGATTAACCGGTTTTATGGTAATCGCGATTATAAAAGCCGCGGTACATGCTTACGGTAGGTTAACCATAAGGATTTTAGATGGCACGGTTTACAGCTGGTCCGGAAAACACTTGCGCGAGTGCAAATTACTGCAAAGGATTCTGCAAATATGAAAGTGAAAGTTACACCGGCGAAAACACTCACACGTGTGGGGAGAGACGGACATGTAACAACTGCTTTGTTATTAAAAGGTAATAAATTGGATATTGTGTAATAGTATTGGGCTATTGATCAGAAGAGTCTAGAGTCGGCTGCTGGAGGACAGGCTCAGTAAATGACATAACAAAAAGGTAAGTTTGAAGTAAAGTGTATTATACAAATATAAGTGAAAACAATGAACAAATATTTACAGTGAATACAAGAATACCGGTAGCAACAAAATAAATAAAATCAAAGTTCAATAACCCAGGGGTGTTAGTCCAAAATTTCAGTTATGAGCAATAACTGTTTGGTTTGAGCACCACAAAGTCCGTAGGAAGCTTATGGTTGAGGTTGCTTATGTCCAAGCGCGATCTTATTGAGTGGTGGTAATGTGGAGTGGTGTCATTCCTTACAACTGAAGGAGGGGAAAGAAAGAAGGGAGACTGCTTAGCCTCCCACCCACTAGGAGTCGACCAAACACAGGAAGACAGTTTCAGGCTCTCTAGCTCGCCATCAATTAGGTCCCCAGCAATGGGAAACCTGGCCTGTATAAACAAACAAGGCCTCTGTCATGTGCACAAAAGTCAAATATAAATCAATGGTACCATATACAAATCAACAGGCGTTTATGCTAAGCTAAACAAATCAGTCAAAATCACATGGATGTTGGATATCACACATTAAAACCAAAAACTAGCATATCAGCATGCTAATTACAATGACATTGCATAATAATCTGTGGTTCACTCACCAGTCCAGATTATCGTGCGCACACACACAGGAAAACTGTCTGTGTTTAGTCTGTGAATTAAAATAATGCAACCATTAAGTTTGTTGAATGTATACAGAGTAAAAGGTTTAAAGTGATTCAAAAGACTTACCTTGCAGCTGCTGTCTCCTCACACCACACACTCAAGTGAGCAGCTTTTAAACTGTACTAATTAGGGAAGCGTGTACGCGCGTGTGTGTGTGTGTGTGTTCTGGGACAGGTGATAGGCTGTGGCTAATTACCAGAGACTGGGAAAACCAGGGATGATTGTATGGATTGAGTTTAACCCAGGGTTACAGACAGTACGCACGTATCCTTAGTTAACTGAACAAATGCAGACACCTAAACTACAAAACAATTAGGCTTTATACATTCCTAAATTAATTTTTTACAATAAAATAATGTAAAATATTATATGATCTTAATTTCTTCATTTATTGTTTTCCAGCAAAAAAAACTCTACAAAAACATGTTTTTTTCTTTCATAATGTCAATAATCGTGATTAATTGTTAAATATTTTCTCACAAAAATTGTGACTCAAATATTTGAAATCGTGGCAACCAGAGGCTCTACTGGCGATGCAGGATGAGTCAAAGGCAGAGGACAAATTTCCCTTTGGCGATAAAGCGTACCTTAACCTTAACCTAATTTCAGTGGTTTGTAATTGTTCAGAATATACATGTTATAATCTTGTCCGACCATTTGCATGATTTCAAGAATGTTTTGTGTTTGCTTTTAACTCTGTAGGTTCCAGGCTCCAGTCAGAGACGAAGAGTCCGAATCCCAGAGAAAAGCTCGCTCTCGGCTGCTGCGACAGACGCGCCGCTCCACACAGGTGCCAAACAGATTCCATTTTCCATTATATTCTTGGTTACAAATTATGTCTGCCACTATTGTTTTCTTATTTGAAAACTATATGTAAAAAAAAAAATGGGACTATAGTATAATGAGATTTGCTGACTAACTAGGAACTCATCATCACATACCTCCATTGTGTTGTGTTGACACCTTCCTTATTACAAGAATGAGATCATGTGTTTAGTTGTTGACAAAAGAATGAATATACTAAGGCCGTATTCTGCTTTTCACTTGTAAACAGCCTGATGAGAAAAAAGTCTTCCACTGTCGCCTACGATGTAAACAAGAAAAACAACCTGACTTTTGACTTTGTTCGCCAGAGCAACAGTATCGGTTGTATCAGATAACATTTTTGCTTTCAGTTGGACTTGTCAGAACATATTATTGTTACAAAGGAAAACTGCTTCTCCTGAATGTTGTTGTGTCAAACTGGCTGCTCCTCTTTTCTGTAGGATTTAGTCAGTTTTGTTGACGGCCTGAATATGAATCATGCCGAAAATGTATTTTTAGTTTTCGGATGAATTACATAATCAACACAGTCAGGTTTGACACTTCAACTTCCGTGTTATTCTTGTGCGCTATTTATTGTGCACTTTATATGTTTATATATTGTGTTGTGGAGGCTTCTGTTTAAAGAGGACGTGGCACATTTCTGTCTGCTTTATGTAGAGGGTTTGGGTATATACAGTAGTCTATAACCTTTCATTATTATATTTATGTATTAGTACATTTAAAATCTCAGGATTGAGCTTGAAACATTGTCACAAAAGGGACAGTACTGCCTCTCTTTATCCTCTGGTCAAAAAAATTACCCGTCACAGTTAAAGTAGCATTAAATGGCCCCAATATTTCAAAAGGTATTATTAAATCATGCTCTTTTCGAATACATCTTTAACTGATAACAGTAGTTCAGCCGAGATATTTGATTATCAAAATTATAACTTTTACGAGTACGACTCGTAAAAGTTATTGTTTTCATTTTGGCGGCCTACCCTTTGCCGCTTCGCGAATCAGGAAGTCCCATGGAAGTCCGTGATTGGGTTGCCAGAACTCGGCTAATCTCACTGGTTAAATAACTTGTGGCCGCAAAACTAAAAAAGGTCTTGTTATGACTCTCAAATCATTAATGACAAAACAAAGACTAAAACGAGGATTTATATCTTTGAAAAATTGAGACAGCGGATAAAACTTTTCGTGTGATACAAAACTTGCTGCTTGAGCCCATTCTGTATCCACTATTAGCAATCTTGTGAGACGATGGTGTAGTGGTTAGCTCGTTGCGCTTGCACCCCAGAGACCCAGGTTCGAGTCCAAGGAGAGTCCTTTTGAATTTAATTGCATAATATCACATTTTTTGACAGATTGCTCAAAAAACAGTCAAAAACCAAGATCATGATATTTTTTGCAGATTATATCTTAATTGTAATAAGAATCATTTGAGACCACATGTACCCCAATTAAAATAATGTTTGTCTCTATTTGATGTGGGACTTATACATTTCTAAAAAATAGGGAATAGATAAAATTGAAAGGTGATATTCACTGGAGGAAACCCTGATGTTGATGCGCTGAAGAAATACGTTCCAACATCCATTCTTCCCACTCCTATTTTGGACATCAATGGTTTTTTTATTTTGCATAATCTATAATTACATTGCTTTTATTTTGTTTTTGATCAAAACATTGATTCAACATTAGCATGCCTCATGGCAATGTGAATGAAGACATACAAACAACTGATAAAATAATTCCCTGTGTTTGCTGCTGGATTTGGTGTGTATCTGGCAACCTGAGGCAAGGAGAGTGGGAGAGGACTACAAAATATTGACTGTGACTGCAGTACCACTTTTGGCCAGATTTTTACATATTGCTCCTTTAATAAAAAGTAGAGTAAAAATACCTTAAATTAGGGTCTAAAATGGTTTAAATGACCCAAGTGTGGTCAAGTTAGGAAAAACCATCAAAATTCAGCTTGATTTTTTTTAAATTTAGGGTATTTTTTATTATTGTAGCGAGTCAATTTAACATTAGAGAACTGTGGTCAAATCAAAGGCAATGTAATTTATATATTTTTCCTTTGTGCATAAGTGGGCCATCATCAACCATCTCAATATCCTTAAAATAAAATAAAAGTAAGACTGGTGGAAACTGTCAACAGAGCAGTGAAATAACATCTCAGACGCAAACATAAAAGATTTCTCTCACTATTTTAGTTGGGGATAATGTGTGTATATTATTTGAAGTTTTGTCGCCCTAATAACAAAACAAAAAAAGTGTTTGTCTCCTTTAATGCCAGACTTTGTCCAAATCAATCCAAAATTATGTTTAAATGTGTTTTCAGGGCGTGACTCTCACAGACCTTAAAGAAGCAGAGAAGAATGTCCCCAAAACAGGCGATCCGACTCCTCCGGTTCATCCTGTGAGCCCCATCATCACCCTGACCCCCGCAGAGAGAGGTGAGGCTATTTTCACCAAAAAAATTAAACGTATTTTTTATTTTTTATTTTAATACAAAAGTTTATGGTTATGGTGTTGGTTTTATTTATGACACTCAAGGATCATTATATTTATTTTCAGCTTTGATATTCAGCTAAAGCAACTTCATAAAACTAGTTTGCTAACTTTTGTGTTGAAAATTCCCCTATAGAATTTCTCTTAATCTCTTTCCGCTACAACACTGTGAATTTTGTCACTACAAAGTACCGACATAGCAGCAAGACACGGTTGTGAGTTGTGACTATTTTTACCTCCAAGAAGTTGAAGCGGCGAGTTCTTCATATGAGTCTCTATGTTCATTTAATGTCCTTATTCACTGATTCACATGGTCCAGAGGCTGCTGCTGAATAACTGAGACATTGATTTGTTACTCTACAACCAGAGCAGAACTAGACCAGAGGCAGACCATGCCTAGGGCAGACCATGCCTAGGGCAGACCATGCCTAGGGCAGACCATGCCTAGGGCAGACCATGCCTAGGGCAGACCATGCCTAGGGCAGACCATGCCTAGGGCAGACCATGCAGGCCTAGGGCAGACCATGCCTAGGGCAGACCATGCCTAGGGAAAACCATGCAGGCCTAGGGCAGACCATGCCTAGGGCAGACCATGCAGGCCTAGGGAAGACCATGCCTAGGGCAGACCAGGCCGAGAGCAGAGCTAGACCAGGCCAGACCTAGAGCAGTGCCAAATTGTGCCAGACCTAGAGCAATGCCAGATCAGGCCTAGTGCAGAGTTAAACAAGGACTAGACCAAATTAAAGTTTGTCTAAATCTTAACCAGGACAAGACTAGAGCTAAACCAGGTCCAGACCAGAGTAAAGTCTAAGTCTACACCAGGACATGTATGAGCTTATTTGACCGCAGCTTGAGAATCGTTGGTGCACATTTCTCTCTGCACTGATGTGTTGTAACTGATAACAGAAATGTGGTAATCTTGGCGTCGCTCTCAAGCCTCGACACGCTGAAGTGAGACTGCGATGAGCACTTCCTGCTTCTCAAAGATTATTCCTGTGAGCGATAGGCCGCCATCTGCACAACCGCCACCGTCGCCCTGTTTCCTGGACTTCATTTATAGACCCCAGGAACTCGGACTCGTTGTGTATTGTTTGTTATGACCTGCTCGCAATAAATCTAAAGGTTCTTTGTTAGGACTGCAGTGTGATTTTGAGATTTTCTTTGTTATTTTATACATTTATGGTTGCAACTAAGATGTATTCTATCTCAAGGCTGTCAAAAGTATCAAAAATGAGTATGTTCGTATGGGTGTCTAGTTTAGTTTCAGGGTTAGGTAGGTACTGACCAAAATTAAATAAACATGACAACATTTTACAATTTCTTGAGTGTTTTTTGCTATTTTCTTTAATCTGAGAATTTAGCTAAGTGTTATTATTTTGAGTTGAAAAGGAAATTGTGTTTTAAATAATCACAGAGGTATAGGGCGGATTATTCATTTGATTCATTGATTAATGGTTTGGATCCAAATGGTCTGTAAAAATGGGATCTTGAAGTAGATTTGACAAAATGGCCTTAAAATCTGTATAAATTTTATTTATTTTTTCCTGTCCTTTTTGATTTTCTGATTTGTTTTTTATTGAAAAAGGTGTTTACAAAAAATATGATACATTTTCTTTTAGACGAGCTATATCAAAATGTTATCGTTCATTGCAGCCATATCATTCCGTGCCGCTTGTTTGAAAATGGAAACGTTAACACCAGCACCTGTTTGTTTACCCGTGTTCCAGACTCGGACCCAGTGAAACCAGAGGAGCCTGAGGCCGAGAAGAAGCTGGGCGTGCGAGACCGGAGGCGAGGGCGGAAAGAGAGGCGCTCCACGGGGATCGTCCAGACCAGCGAAGAGGTACAAGTCTGAGAATGGTCATTTTGTCTGCTTTAGATATAGCTCGAGCTGGAAAAGGAGAGACACGAATCCTGGATGTGAACATGGATCAGCCCAGAGCCACACAGACAAAGATGCATTCAATATTTAGTGAGAGTAGACAGACAGAAGCCAGTTCATCACCAGTTTTAGTTATTCACTTGAAGAGGGTCCTCAATTATTAAAGCACCACTGCGTATCCGTTTAGCCAAAAAATAGATTATAGAAGTAGAATACTAAAAGGACTGAAAAACCACTTTGTTTACAATGTTTTGAAGACAAAGTTAGTTTTTTCCGAACTTATAGTCTGTACCACAACTCGTTTTTATCATTTTAGAAAACATTACAATTTTTGTAATTTTCCAAAACCTATAATAAACTTTCACACAGGTCCAGAATGTATAAAATCACCAAACGCATATTTATATTTAGTGTGTTTGGGGATTTTCTTTTTGCTGAAGATTACAGTATTTTAATCTGTAGCACTTTGAGGTTTCCTGGAAATTCAAGGTGCAATATTTAAAAAAAAGTGTTATTATTCTATTGACTTGGAGCAATCTTTACTTGATCTTTCAGTGGGAGCGAAAGCTCCCACTGATCAAGGCTATGCTCACACTCAGAGAGCAGCTGTCCTCCTGTGGACTCACCACCTGCAGAGGGTCAGTGAGGGGCTGGTGCTATGAGACTTGGGTGGCATCTCTGACTGCCACCCCCCTGACCCAGAAATGGATTAAAGGGTAGAAAATGGATGGATGGATGGATGACTTGGAGCACAGGGACTGGCCTCCTGCTGGTAGAGTCAGAACTAAACATGGGGAGGCAGCATCTGAGATTCATGCTGCTAAAATCTGGAACAGTCTTCCTGAAGAGGTGATACAGGCTTAATGTTTGTATTTCCCTGAATCACAACAGTAGTTATCTCAGAGGACTTTACAAACTTTTGAAATCGCCAACACAGATCAGAGAATCAAACAGTTCAAACACACAAAAAATGCAATGATCAAAAACACAAAGCCGTTGGTCCATAAGAAACAGATGACCAATGTCCATATCTCTAAATAAAAGTATACTCAGCATTGACTGTTTTTAAATTGGATTGGCCAATATTTTTGTACGACAATTATTTTTCTCACTTGAAACTCAAAAAAGCATATTGCTGTTGGAGTTAAGACTAACATTTGTAAAAGAAAAATGCTGCTAAATTCAAACTAATATAACTTATTTTTTGCTATGTATATTAATGATTACTGCATCGTGCTTGTTTAGAGCTTTTTGGGACACTCAAAGCTGCTTAAGCATTTCATATTTTCCCTTTTTTCCTTTTGATTGTTGAAAAAACTGGATTAGATGAAGTAGTAGTAGTAGTAGTAGTAATCTTTATTTATATACCGCCTTTTCACTGCACATCGGAGTCTCAAAGCGGTTTACAATTGTGATTTTTGGGAGTGGGGGTCGCCGGTACAAGAGGCGCATGCCAGACCTATTGTACATATTTTTAGTGGTAGGGGAAACCAGAGCACCCGGAGGAAACCTACGCAGACACGGGGAGAACATGCAAACTCCACTCAGAAAGGCCCTGGTCCAACCGGGATTCGAACCCAGGACCTTCTTGCTGAGAGGTGAGAGTGCTATCCACTCAGCCACCGTGCCGGCATGAAGCATTCTGAAATACCAATTGCGTTCAGGGGATCTTTGCAATTTTGATTGTTGCGTGTTTTGGTCTCCTTTTTACACTTTTTTTAAATTTATTGGAGCGTTATATCTTAAATCCACTTCCTAAACCTGGGCCAAACCATGACTCGATAGTTACAACTAACCAAAGTAAATGTCATAATATAAATATCAACACCACTCTATTCAAACCACATGCTTGTAACGTTCACTCAGCCTTTTGAACTGTTGCGTTTCCAGAACGAGAATGACGACGACGAGGCTCCTCCAGAGGAAACCAACGGAGACGACGCGATACAGTGAGTCTATTTGATTTAATGCGCTCATTTAAAACAAGACGCAGCCTGTAGCCTTCGTGGCCCCTGGGGAAAAGATTATTAAAAATACCTGCATGCAAAGTGTTCTACTGCACCAAAAAAGAAAAAGGAGGAATGCATTGTATTCCATTAAAAGGTTAAAAGTACTCGTAATAGAGCTGTGTAAATAAACGCAATAAAAAGCTTACTTTAGCTCTGTTTTAGCTTTGGCTACATAAGTTACGTGAAAACAAGCTGGTGTGTTTATACAGAACCATTAGCCTGGATTCTCAAAGGTCCTTTCCCCCCGTGGTGATCGGAGAATGGAACTCTGGGGCTGGCATGTTGGAGTTCAGAGTTGGGAGTGCATTCCGGTTGGCAAGAAGGAAAGATTAAAGATTCTAAAGAGATCCTTTATTTCTCCCACAGCGGGGAAATGTCAGTGTTGCATCACAAGTTAGAACAGTAGGAATGAGGAGCACACAGCACAAGATAAATGAATAATTGCTCTATACTAAAGTGAAATAAAATTTTTGACTCTAGCATAAAAAGAAGCAGAGGAGAGGAGAGGCATTAAAGCTTTCAGATTAACTTTCACCAACCATGTTGAAGTCTTTTTTTTTTATTTTTTATTCCAGACGCAAAACATTTCTCAGTTTCCAAGTTGGAAAATTGAGTTCGGTGGCTGTCCGTCTCAAATTTACAAGTCGGAACTCGGAAATTCTGACTTAAGTGATTTCAGCGTTTGGACTGTGCTGTAAAAGTACAAACACACACACTTTTCACATCAGAAAAACGATCACACAAAAAAAAAAGAATGACATTGATGTAGCACATTTCATACAAGACAGTGACCCACTCAGTTTTGGTCACTGTCTTGTGCAACAAATCAAAAATAAATACAAAAGCAGACACATCTACAGAGCTACGGAAAAGGAAGTCTAAATGAGTTCAGTGTCAGTGCTAACGGTTGCTTCAGTGGATAGTTGCAGCCTTAAAGTCCCACTGGTTACACCAAAAGATAAACGATCTATCCCTTGATTTAGTAAATAATGACAATAAAGGTAAAAAAAATAATAATAATAATGATAGTAAAAAATAAAAATAATAATTATAATATAATAATAATAATAATATGATTAGAAAATAATGAAATAAATAATACATTAAAAAATAACAAGATAAATAATATAGCACTAAACAGAAAACCGATGAATATCAAACAAGCGGAGGAACAAAATGTAAATCAATGAAAAACAAGGATAAAAGTTTATACAATTATCAGACTGCTGACTCACAAAAGTGTGTTTTGGGAGAGTTTTAAGTTATGTCACAGAAATGTCCTACCTGAGCTTTATTATCCAAGAGGTTTATTATTGTCATCTCCTTGATTCTTTTAATAATTACTGGTTGTGAAAATATCCATAGAAACATACAGGTGACTTAAAACCTGTCTCTTAAAGGTCCTACAGGCTGAACTGTTTATTCCGCCTGTAGCATTTGTAGAGAAACAATGGTGTTATTGTACTAAAGTCTTGTTTTTTTTGCTTTTTTCCCCAGAAGGAATAAATTTGACGACTCCTCTGCGGACTATAGGACGGTACGTACCACGAGCATAGAAAGACATCTGACATATATACGTCTACTCTGACTGGAATGACTTGCTTCAGGAACGTGTCATGGAGTTCATTGCTTCCAAACGCTTATGTAACGTGTGTGTCGCCCCCTAGCTGTACTTCAAAGTGCTGCAGGAGAATCTGTCTTTGAAGGACCGGCTGCAGGAGACGGAGAAGCTGCTGAGTCAGAACAAAGTGGAGCTGGAGAGACTGCGACAGGTTTGATGCTAAACCTTTTAACTTCAGCCTTTGTGGGCAGAGGAGCCAGCCGTGCATTTGAACAAGTCAAGAGGTCACATAAAACGCTCTCGCCAAACCTCTGACTGTGTGCTAAAGGGCCTGTTGAGGATTTTAAAGCGGTCAAAACAACATCCACTCTCTTATTCCAATCTTATTTCTAATTTTTTCACGCTTTCAAGACTTAAGACATCATTTTATGGGAGCTGGATGGTAGAGCTAGTACATCACTATAATCCGTAAGATTTTTTTAGGGACCGTTTTACGCAATGGGGGGGAGGGGGGAGGGGGTGTGTTGGGAAAGGCTCATGCTGTTTATTGTACTGGACGTATGAAGTTTATTTATGTACGTGACACACCTTACAAAAAGCATGGAGGTTGTCGATATGACTGGTTAAGATGCATGTGAAATGTAGCGTCCAGCTTTGTTGAAATTCACAACTGTACTCGTTTCTTTGCCACAAACTGTTGGAGTGGAGTTTCCGTTTCAATGTGTGAAGTGAATGGAGCCGATTGAACTTCATCCATGAGCACTTCCGTATTGGGCTTCATGGAGATAGCGCGTTAGCATTGTCCCTTCAAATACAGTCCTGAACACACGATCGATGTGTTGAGCAGAAGACTCTGAAATCAAGATTTTTTCATTTCAAGTCAATATAGCGAATCGTCCTAGCATCACAGATCCAGAAAGAAGGAAACTAAGAAGAAAGTAAAAAACATTGGGGTTTTGGTGGTGGCAGTAAAATATGGATCATCTGAGCAATTGTGGGAAGTACTCGAGCCTGCCTGAGTCCATCCAAATTAAACTTAAAAGCTACTAAAAGTCTATTTTTGCTCCGTTATCTTCTAAAGTCAAATGTAATGGCTTAAATCACATTATCAACTTTAGCCAACAGAAACCGCTAACTGCGCAACTATTTTTTTCCACATAAACAAATTTTTGTTTTTTTTCATGGCAGAGTCAAGAGGGAACTACTGACCGTCCGGCGCTGCTCGAGCTGGAGAGATTTGTAAGTCAATTTAATCTTTATATTTTTTGCACAACACATGTCAAGAAATTAGCTTTACCCTTTCCTTGTTTATGTGGCATATACTGTACATTAGAATGTCACGTAAGACTGGAGATTAATTAAACTTATTTCATTGAAGGCTTTTAAGTCAAGATTGGCATGTAGCAGTTTTAATAATCTGTACATTTTGTAATTGTGTGTAACTTTTGCTGCCTCTTGTCCAGGACTCCCTTTAATCTCACTGAGACTTTCCTTGTTACCGTATTTTTTGGATTATATAACGCTCTGGAGTATAAACTGCACCAGCCAAAAATGTATTATAGAGAAAGAAAAAAACATTTGTAAGTCACACTAGTCAGTAAGTCACATTTTTCTGGGACATTTCTTTGATAAAATCCAACACCAAGAAGACATTTCCTCTTGAAGGGCAATTTAAAGTAAGAATAGAATAGAGGACAACAGGCTAAATAACTGTGTGTTTTATGATGCAAATCGAAAACGGCAGATGGTCAAATTATACACGTATTACTCAACTTTATAGCCCGGGCTATTATTTGATATTTTATGGTAAATGAAATATAAAATGTTATAAGATAGATAGATAATATTTATTTCAAAACCTGCACAAACATCATCGCAAAAATCAACAATCAATCAGACTGATATACAAGTGCATGGTTACATATAATCACATATAAATCGCACCCCTGGCCAAACTATGACAAAAACTGCAATTTATAATTTGGAAAAATAAAACGGTAAATAAAGGTTAAAAAAAACTTGATTTGAACTTGTGTCTGTTTATGAATATGGTTTTAACCCAGACTCCTGCTCCGTCCTTCGGTGCGATTACAGTTTCTCTGCTCTGTGCCACAGGAGAAGATGACTCTGCAGCGGAGAGCGGTGGAAATGGAAGATGAACTCAAGGTAACAACGCGTTCGTCTTTAGGAAACGATTGAACGTGTGGGCTTGTAATGGGTTCGCGTCCCGGACAATGTGCTGCTCTCGCTCGGGCAACAATCGCTCTAATTGTATCAGATTGATCCGCAGCCTAATGGCCTCTGCAGCACGATCGATACTCGCTGTAGTAACCGCTCGCATCACAGAGAGGCAGCTCTGTGGACGGATGACTTTATTTAGGCAGTGTTTCATTATATCACAACATTGGGTTTAAAAGGTGAGAATAGACATCAATGACTGTGAAAAAACACACAATAATGGTTTGATTCAGGGTCATTCTTATTGATACAGAAAACGTAAACGGTGCTTATAGCCAAAGCTAAATCGCAGCAGTTATTCTCATATTTATTTAGATCCCCATTAGCTTCCACAAACATTTAAAACATTATAAAAAACATTTACAATACAAAATAACAGACTGAATAAACATTTCACATCATCCTTAAGGGGCGTTCACACCGGACTTAACTTCGGCGTCAAAAGCGTCAGGTTTCCATTGAAAGTGAATGGTGAAGCGCGTCAGGTGAAGCCGAGAGCCCCGGCGTCACTTGACGCGCGAAACGCTCGCGTATCACAACAATCCCTTTGACGCTGAAGCTGAGCAAAGCTGAGCTTTTGAAGCTTTGACGCGGGCTTCAACCAATCAGGAGACGAGGAGCAGCAGCAGCAGAGGGTCTGTCTCTGTCATGGAGAGAAGTCATGTATCTGCTGCTGCTGTTTTATTGTCATTATTGTTATTAGTAATATTATTTGTATGAGTAGTAACATTCTGAGTAACAAAAATCATTGTACACAACAAGAACAGGCTGACGATGAGTCTGGCTCAGAGCAAGGCAGCTCCAGGCGGGCGAGAGCCGGGGAGAGGCAGGGAGAGGCGAGCGAGAGCCGGGGAGAGGCAGGGAGAGGCGAGCGAGAGCCGGGGAGAGGCAGGGAGAGGCGAGCGAGAGCCGGGGAGAGGCAGGGAGAGGCGAGCGAGAGCCGGGGAGAGGCAGGGGGAGGCAGGGAGAGGCAGGGAGAGGCGAGCGAGAGCCGGGGAGAGGCAGGGGGAGGCAGGGAGAGGCAGGGAGAGGCGAGCGAGAGCCGGGGAGAGGCAGGGGGAGGCAGGGAGAGGCAGGGAGAGGCGAGCGAGAGCCGGGGAGAGGCAGGGAGAGGCGAGAGCCGGGGTTTGAGAACTCAGACTGGGCAAGTGACATGCGGAAGTACCGCTGAAAGCGAAACTCCTCCGTACGCAGCTCCTGGAGTAAATGACAGAACTCTGCAAACACTGCAGCCTCTCAAGTCTGTGGTGAACCCAGAACATGTTTTGTTGAAGCCCTACAACAACGTTATTTTGCTTTATATAACAAATAAAGGCCCGCTGCTCATTGAAAAATCCACCGCTGTCCTGACTACAGACAACAGAGAAGCTCCTCCCACAGACAACAGAGAAGCTCCTCCCACCGGCGTCAGGCGCGTCACTCGCGTCAAAAGCTTCAAGCACCAAAATGACAAAACTATCCCGGCGTCAGTTGAAGCGCGTCAAAAGCTTTTTGAAGCTTTTGGTCTGAACGCGCCTTTAGACCTTCATTTAATATATTTGACATACAGTATATATTTAACTGTATATACAGGGATAGTAATGCATAGTAATACTGATTTTTGAATAATTTTCTGATACTGGATAAATGGCTTGTCTCCTGATCAGGCCTTCCAGCTGATTTTATTAGATGTTTTACTGACTGATATTAACCCAGAAAGTCAAAGATTTGTAACTTGCATTTCAATGTATTGTTTTATAGCCCTACATCACAACAGCATTTGTGTCTGAGCGCTTTACAAAAACAACAGTTCAGAGAGTGCATTTCCTGTTCGAACACAGGAAATGCAATGATTACAAACCCAGGAGACATTGGTCCAGAGGGAGCAGGATGTGACCGCTGTGCACAATGTTATTGCAGAAACACTTATGGACGTTAGCAATAGTCAGTCTCTTGTCTGCTTCATAGCGAGAATTTAACAGGTTATTTTTTTTGCTGATGTGTGTTCAGTGTGACACCTCGACCACCAATCGTAGCCATTTAGACATTTATGAAGTCTTTAGCATGCGCTGCTCTTTCCTGGATGAAGTTGTCCATTTTAAAAATATGTTTGAAAAGTTTTAAATGGCTCCGGTTGGATGATGAACCATGTTATATTCAGTTTTAGTGGGATTCCTTGGGCTCCTGGGTGCATTGCCATCTTGACCTCAGAAGATTTCAGATATTTAAAAATCTGTTTGTTTTGGCCCTTTTATATGGACATGTCTGAGAGGCTGCTTACACAAGGACGCTGCAGCAGTAAAACGTTAGAGTTGGGTGTCAGATTGGCGCTAGAACTAAATTGTTTTCTGTCGTCGTGTGTACGCTGAGCACTTCGAATCTGGAGCCTGGTCGTTTTTGCTTTGCAGCCTCTCCATCTAAACACATTTACATTTATACCAAGTAGGCCTGTCGCGATATTCAATAAATCAATTAATCGCATGATAATTAAAATTTGCTCGATAGTTTTCCTGGCCTCGATGAATTCCATTTGCATGCTTTTGTTGGGTCAGAGAGCCGTAAAGTGGTCACGCGTGACGCGAGCAGACTGAAATAACTCAAAAATACAAAATACAGCCAAACCAGGACCTAAATCAGGACTAAACCAGGACTTAACCAGGATTGACAACGGGGGACACAGTAGTTGTTCTCATTCAGGCTCTAGTAGTGACTAAACTAGCACAGTTAGCGTTACCGTGTTCGCCGATGCAGAAGTACAGTTTAATAATAAAATAAACTTATGACGCACCTCCGTGAACACATACTGCTGTTATATAAAGTCTCTGGATGGTCTCTGGACAAAGAGACGCTGCAGAGCTGCATTATTGGCAAGAACTTTACACAAAAAGCCGCTACCGTTAGTATCAAGCTGGTGGTCTTTAAAAATAAAAGTGTATTTCTCTTTGAAAAGGTGTACCTGCATCATTATCATTGTATTAGATGAAAATGATCTCAGAACGATAATACTATCGCCCTATCGCAATAATTTCTGAGACAATTAATCGTCCAGCAAAATTTGTAATCGTGACAGGCTTAATAATAATACAGCAGTTGCTCTCAGCCTCTGCCTCCTCACCAGCAAAAAAACGTATGCTTCGACCTTTTGGATAACCAAGACACCAAGTGGGAAAAGTCATGATTACTGTTGCATCTGTTGCAATGCTAAGTTTGAAGGAAAGACAAGATAGACTTTATTGATCTCACACTGGAGTATTTTACATGTCACATTTAGCATAGACAGAATCACTCAGATTGTGTCAGTGTGCAACATGTTAAAAGTGGCAATAAAAGAGAATAGCAGTGCAGTTTTAAAGGAGCAGTATGTAAAAATCTGGCCAAAAGTGGTACTGCACTCTCCCTGACTCAGGTTGCCAGATATGCAGACAAATCCAGCTGGGACAATAAAATCTGAATAAAGAGTTTTGTCAACAACAAATCTATAACCAACACCTTTTGCACAAAGGCCCCAATAGAAATCCTGGTTTTATTCCTGGTTTTGTCACTAAGACAGTTCTGCGGCCACATGTTACTTTACCAGTGAGATTAGCTCGATGCGGTGAGTCGAACTCTGATCACGGACTTTCTGATTGGTGAAACGGTGGAAGGCGGGACATCAAAATGAAAACAATAACAAGATTTAGAGGCTGTAAAACAAATTTTCCATAATAATAAATAAATCCAAATATTTCGGCTGAACTACTGTTATCAGTTAAAGAAGTCTTTGAAAAGTGCATGATTTATGAATCCCTTTTGGCAGATTGGGGCCATTTAATGATGACTTGACATGAAATTCTTACATATTACTACTTTACCATAATCGTAAAAGACACAAGACACACACACACACATATATATAAGACACACAAGATCCTTACCATAATCAACCACAACAGCAACATTTGTGATTTGCGTCTCATTTCTTTGTGCGACATTAACCTTCTTTCTCCTCAGATCTTGGGAGACTTGAAAGCTGACAACCAGAGACTGAAAGACGAGAACGCGGCGCTCATCCGCGTGATCAGCAAACTCTCCAGATGAGCCATTGACAGTATGTAAATATGCACCGGAAGAAAACGCCAACTCAAACAACTTGGAATCCATCCGGGTTTCGTCCTGCGCCAACGTCAACTTCTAAATGTGTTTTAGCGAATCACTGGACCTGCTGTGGACTGACGAGGTGTTCATACGACATCCACTTTTATATTTTTATTGTTGTTTTTTTTTTTAATGGGATATTTTATGTGTAATATTTTAGTTGCCACAGTGTGAATGAATTTGTATTTTAAAGCCATGCATCTGTAGGTCTGTGTGTGCGGCCTGTTGCTGGGAGACAACATATGAAAAATGTGTTATAAAAATGAATATTATGTGGAAATGATTCGTTCTAATTGCAATTCAGTCACATGTGGAGATGAAAGTGAGTGGGACCATTGTAGTTAAGAATTACAAATAGTAACAAATGCTTTGTTTATTTTTGAGGAAATAATTATTTTTAATGTTTTGACAAATTTAATTTTTTTTATAAAGATTGTGGTTTTTTTAGTAAAAGAGGGAAAAGTGTATTTTTTGATGAGTGCATTTAGAATAGGAAAATTGTCAGTGCAAATAAGTTTTGTAAATGATGAAAGAATCTTAAGTCATTATAAAGGTGCACTGTGTAACTTTTCTAATGGGGTCCGAGATGTTCCTGCTTGTCGCCATGACGATTACTTCTTGGTTTGAAATACATATGGTTTTGTATTTTGTTTAATTGCCGAGGTTTTAAATGCTCAAAGACAGAATTATTTACACTGGAGATTAGATGACTTTAGCTCGCCTCTCCACAAACATGGCCTGTAAGTTGGCTTAATGATGTCACTCACTTGTTTCCCATGTTGTTCACAATCTTTTAATTAGTAACAATTTATTGATAAATAATGAATACAAAATTGTCAATAGTACTCAGCTAGTACTTTGGAATTTTGTCATTTATTTTTATTTAGAGGTTGAATCAAAAAGTAAACATAAATAACAGACATAACAGACACATTTTTATAAGAAAAAATATATAGAATATGAAGAAGAAAAACATATAAATCTTCTCTTGAGCTTTTAATCACATTGTTCCAGATTAAATACCTGGAGTTGATTTTAGCTCCATCCACATCCAGTACTTCTGTCTTTATGTTCCGGTCTCTGTTCCAGTACTTTATTACTTTATCATAAATCTTCTAGAATATTCCAGACTGTCCAGAGCTGAGTTTTTTCCTCCAAATTAGTGCATTTTCTCTGGTGAAATTGTTTTTTTTTTTTTTCAACCGTTGCTGTATAAGGAAATTCAAACCTGTCCTCCTGGTGGTAGAACTGTGGAATTACATGCTGTGATGATCTTTTATACATGTCTATCCATATATATCCTACTTTAGAGATTATTTCACTCTTGAAAAAAAAGAATTAAATTAGTAAATAGTGATTATAATAACATTACATCAGTGTTATTGTGTTTAGGGGCCAAACATAAAGCACATATTTCTTCTCATTCCAAACGAAACAACACAAGATAAACACGCAGTGGCGGAACCTGCACATGAACGTTGCACAGTGTACCTTTAAAGCTGGGGTACCTAACTTTATTCTCCATAAAAAATACATGTTTTTGTTCCAACAGAAAGTATTGTAAAAGTAACATTTGTTAACAACTCGGACCATATTCTGTCCTTGTCTTCTTAGACCTTTAAAAATAATTTCCTCAAAGATTCATGTGAGTTAAGTTTGATGCTTTGTGCTGAGAGCTGATTGGCTGAGAGTGAGAGGACCTCGCTTTTTAAATCTTCTCCTTAGGCCAAAAATACATGCATTTTAAAAACTAGCGATGGAAGCCAGTTATGAGAGCGATATACTAGTTTAATGCTTTTTAATACATAGTAAATTGTTTAAAAGTTTGGTACCCCAGCTTTAAGTAAATCTTGACTTTTAAGGCAACATTCTTGTTTTGTATAGGACCAGTGTGATATATATTTTGAATCATTTGGTGAAAGAAAATGAACTATATCGCAATAATCCAGTTCACCTTCACCATCTCCCAGCAACAGGCCCGTGGAAAGAGAACGGCGTATTGTGCCAAAAACGTTGGGAGTCCTTTTGGGAAAGACTGGTCAGTATTGTTCTCAGGACTAAAGATCTGTGACCGATTTCCAGCCGACTGTTGAACCCTGGACCAAACGCTGCATGCTCATCTCTCCCAGTGCTTTTGAATGTTTTATTTAATTGTGTTATATATTTATGTACAAAAACACCTGTCCACGTGTAAAGGGTATGAGCGGACAGTCGCGGGTGCTAACTAAGGGAATTTTATTGAGAAAGTTTGTTACGATCATCTCACGTTTCAATGGAGAATGCTTTAAAGATAAACGCACTTTTTTGGATTATTTCTTTCAGAAAGGAGTATACTATACAGGAACCAGGTCCTGCCTGGTGTGTTCTTTGTCGTCATGGGTTCTCTCTGGCATTTAAAACAGAAACCCTGAGACTATCAAGAAGACAGGTTCATTTTACGGAGACTTGATTACACACAGGTGCATTCTATTTTATCACATGCAGTCATTATAGGACAACATTGGATCATTCAAATGATCCTCACTTGAACTTCTGGAGTGAGTTATGCTGACACCAGAAAGTAAAGTGGGCCGAATAATATTGCACGCCCCACTTTTCAGTTTTTTTATTTGTTAAAAAAGTTTAAATTATCCAATAAATTTCGTTCCTGCTTCACGATTGTGTCCCACTTGTTGATTCATGACAAAAAATTAAAATTTTATATCTTTATGTTTCCAAGCCTGAAATGTGGCGAAATTTGTGAAAGGTTCAAGGGGGACGGAATTACTTTCGCAAGGCACTATATATATAATGGACTACGGGCTGGACCGTGAAGGGAAAATCTGTGTGTTGTGCTGCACGACAGAACTGCTGATCTGGAGACTCCATTTAGCACTGTCGGCAAAGTTTTAAAAAATAACCATAATACTATGAGTGTAAACTGGACTTATGTGAGTCCTGAAGGTGGAGAGTTACTCAAGTATGAGAGTAATAATATATAGTATATATTTGTGTATGTATGTTTTTTATGTATTGTAGGTATGTTAATGTATGTAATATATATATTACTCCCCATACACACATAACTTGTGTGTGTATATATATATGTGTGTGTGTGTATTATATATATATAATATTATATATAGTTAGATACTTCATGATCCTCTGTTAGAGAGTTTCAGGTGTCCAGCAGGAAGGGGTAACAGACAGCGCAGAGGTGGAACATCCGCTAATTGGAACAGGACACTACCACAGAGGGGGAGTAGCCGCTCAGTGGGGCTGGACGGGTCACAGCAGCTGGGGTGGAAAGGACCAGTGTCACAGCAGCAGGTGGGTGTACCCAGGACCCTGAGGCAATATCCGGCAGGGGGGCAGGTTTTCTGCGGTGCTGTGACGTATCTTGCAGCGCTTACGGGTTTTGCTTTGCATACATGAAATATAGTCAATGACTCCACATGGACTAGAGGCCCACCGCGGTACATCAGTGTAAGTTAAATAGTTTATTTTGACTCCATAGGCTTCGGGAAACATTGCCAGTTTGTTTATGGAAGTTCCCCACATTATCATAGCTGGGTCTAGAAATATGTCTAAAATGCACAAATAATCTTCTCACACTCATATAAACCTGTGTTTGTCTGTGTTTTAAGCCCTGACTGGATACTTCACTAAGTAAGACTGTTCGAGTGCAGACATCAACCCGATTGGAGGCATCAGTAAAAACAGACCTCATGAGTTTTCTGTCGTACTGTGTGGACAAGTGCCAGCTTACTGCTCTGAAAAGGGTGAGAACACAGGTGAAATCCCTACCTTCTGTTCGTATGAAGCTAAGTTTAATTTGGATTGCCTCTTCAGCATCCTCTGGGGCCCCTACAGCTGAACTCGAGCCACTGACAGATGGACAGGTGTCACAGACTGTTGAGGTAACACCCTCCATGTATTATCACCCATTGGAGCCTCAGCCGACTGCAGATGACATACTCGTACTCATCCGTTGATTCTAAAGACTCTGTCTGGTCTCTAGGCCGTATGGGGTATGGACATACTCGGAGTTGTCTGTGATTGGTCGGACTCCGAAAGATTTCAAAGTGTGGTCCTTTCGTATGTTGTAAACTCATCCACATGTGGAGGAACACTCTGTCACAGCAGAGGTCAGTGCAGAGCTCTCACCATACAACTTAAACATAGGACATTTGATCAATTGAATGTAATTTATAAAGCACAGTTATTACAGTGGCAACCAGCCTCCAGGTATACATAACAGTCGTATGAAAACATTTGGAACCCTAACAATTTATTTTTAATTCTTTATATATAAATATTATTGGTAGACACACACATTTGATTATGTGAGAAGTGTTAATAATGTTTGTATTATTTCACACAAAGTTTTGCAGGGGGGGGGGGAAATTAAGCAAATTTGGCATGTACCTTTAGCTCACATTTTTGGAAACTCAAAATTGGTTTTGAAACTCAGTGGACCTTTGACCTCCATACACAGGGTGAATCCAATTAGGGGAAAGGTTATTTAATTAGACCAAGTAAGTTTCCCCTCCTTTGCATCTTCTCTGAAGAGTGCAACATGGCCGTCTCATCAACCACTCTCAAATGCATGAAATCGTAATATTGTTCAAACCATCACTGTTTAGGACAGTGTTTCTCAATTATTTTCTGCCAGGCCCCCTTAGGTAGAAAAAACATTGGTGCCCCGTCTCCTTAAATCTTTAGATTGGCTCAGAAAATCCTCTCTCAAGCCAAAAAGTCAGATATAACTCTCAGGCAACTGTTGTGGTCTGTTCTGTTGTTTAAAATGCAATTCTAATGAACTGTATTCTTGTATTTCCCTAAATAACAAAAGTAAGAAATCTCCGGAGGACTTTACACAAGGTTGAATTTGCTAACAGATCGGAGAATCAAAACATTCAACACAAAATATGAACACGGAAAAACACACGGTATAGGTCCATAAGTATGGAAGGCCCATAGTGCCATGTGAAAATAGGGAAAAGAATACAAGAAATCATAATTTTGAGTTTTAAAAGTCAAATTACGAGTTTAGAAATGAAAAAAAATGCGACTTCATTGACTTTTTAGTCTGCTGTCGTGTGTCCTTGGCAAGACACTTAACCCACCTTGCCTATAAGACGACGCGGAAGTGATGTGCGCTGCTAGCCTTGATGTGTATTTGTATACAGTATGTATATGTGTATGCATCAAACTGAAAGTTCCCCATTGTGTGTCAAAAAAAGGACCCTCTTCTTCCTCTAGGTGCAGGGGTTCCCAAAGTTTTTAGCCCGCGACCCCCATCATTAATGCCCTGTAACCGCGACCCCCCCAACAGCCCTTTCTGTCACTTGAATTGAGCATGTATTTCCTTGATACGGAGTAACGCTTTCTAGAGACTCACGCCACTACCGAGCTAGCATGTCTGCACCAAAAAAGGAGGCTAGCATATTTTTACTCATGTAGTGACACAGTGATGGGCTTGAGGGCTCCGTCCTCAGCAGTAGTGGAGCGCATTTCTTGCGGCTCGCCCTCATGTTCTCTACGCGTAAGTGGGCCGGCTTTTCCGGAGTCAGCGGTAAAGAGGTCGCACATTAAAAGCGGTGCATGACGCTTTCTGCTGTTATTTATGCGGTTCATCCCCGCGGCTTCTCTTCCAAAGTTACTGTCAGTAAAGGCATAATCCGGCCACCCGCTTGTAATGTGCGGATCCTCTTTACCTTTGACTCCGAAAGCCGGGCATTTTAACGCCGCTGTTCTACCTCCTCCTCCCTCCGACTGCCTCTCCTCCCTCCTCTGCCCTCTCTCCCTCCGATGCCCTCTCTCCCTCGTGCCCTCTCTCCCTCCGCTGTCCTCCCTCCCTCTCGCTGCCCTCTCTCCATCCTCTGCCCTCTCTCCCTCTCCTTCGCACCATCAGCCTGACCCCTGATACAAGTGACTTTTCTCCCCCCTCCGGGTTTTTCGTGTTGTGGATATTAACCACGTGTCATTTTAAAAGCAGGTATTATTTATTTGTAAGCCTCCAAACACCTTTAGGTTTTTGCAAACAACAGCAGGACACGCTTTGTCGCTGCGCATGATGTGAGCTGTGTTACGTGATGATTTTGATTGACTGTGCATTGACTGGGACAAAATTACTAAGTTATTAAAAAATATTATAGTCTCCAACACAATTTAACCCAAGTAGTCTTTTGAAACTAAAATCAAATGCTTAAATAAAATATTTATGGGATTTATATTTGCTCAAAAAAAATAAATATATTTTTTTGTTGAGCAAAAAAAACCTTTTTTTTGTGTGTGGAAATCATTTTGCGACCCCCCCAGGGGTTACCGCGACCCCCCGGGGGGTCGGGACCCCCACTTTGGGAACCACTGCTCTAGTGGCCATGTCTCCACTGGAGTAGGACCCACTCGGCAACGTCATGAGTTTTGATTGCTGCTAATCAATCCTTATTATTTTATATCTGAATCGCTCCGGTTGTTGTGGTCTTTGAGGGTTTTTTTTATAGTCCTGCTTCCTTTTTTTCTACTTTTCACTGCCTTGTTTTTTGGAGTGTGATGTAATAAGAGTACATTTTCACATGTACCATATGTGTCCCCAGTAACCACCTCTGTTATGCAGGTGGCTGAGAAGGTGAAACGGTTTTTCAGGTTGTATTCCATAAATCGCACAAGATGGCGACGATGACTCCCTCCTACCAACGCGGAGGTCTACAGCCCTGATGACAACCGCTTCGCCTGAGGCAGATTGTCTACAACCACACGCTTGAGCTGGGGGGGGGTGGCAGTTCAGGGCCATCGCGCACCAGGTACAGGGCCCTGCAATCTGGAGCCCACCATCACAAGCCCCATCTGGGCTTATTCTGCTCTGCTATGTTAGTATTTCATTTTGTGTATTACATAGATTATTCTGTTTTCAGAGATACATGAATACAGCTTCAGTTCTCGTGAAAGGTCTGTTGTCATTGTACCACTATGACATCGATATGCCGATTGCAATCACGTGGTCAAAAGGGGGATTGGCAGGGGGCCATAAAGACAGGACGTACAGGATATTTGTCCTTGGCTTGATATTTCAAACCGCTTGATATAACTTTATGCGGAATAAAAAATTATTATCAACCACAGGTACGCCTTGCTATAGTTTGAGTGAGCTTCAATATTTTCAACAATGAGGAGGAGTAACGGGGTTATAGTGGCGACCCATTGGAGATTGCCACTCCGGGATCTACACAAGCCAGTCCAAGATGAAAGTTTGATCAATAATTTATAATACATGGGCCACAATATTACTGTTACACATTTGAGGTTGAAATATTATGACCCTTTGTCATTGAGGTGATTTGTTTATCTGTAAATAAAACATTTCTGAAACTAAATCTCTATGGGAAGTCGCGGAAATAAACATGATCAAGCCTCTTTTAAGATAATGGCCAGATGTAAATATATCTATGTTAGAGGACTTTTAGTTTTTTATTGAAGAACACTTTTGTTTAAGGACATTTAAACATGTGTTTAGTTATTATTTCCCGGTTAATATAACTGGTTATACTACACAAAAAGACTGCGTGTTTCTTGAAGGTCAGCGAAGTGACTTCAGAGGAAAACGTCGTAGGCTAATCCATTCGCTAATGCAACACCCGTTAGCAGAAATTTATTTTAGCACAATAGAGTCTACAATAGTTTCTTAACTTGATACGAGCAGTTGCCCCACTGCACCTGCCACGAAAAGAGCATTTTGACTTAGATTCAGTGAGATTGACATGGGTCTTGATGGGTTGATTAACTTCCTGGCCCTCGGAGGACTTTTGCGTCACTGCATGGTCAGGTGGCCTACCACCGATAACATCCCACTTCAAAGCAATTTTTCTTCCTTTAAATCAAAGTATTGTCCATAAATACTTTTGGTCATTTGGTCAGAGAAATTAGGTTATTTATAATCACAGTGTTGCAGTCCCGCCACGGCAGCGTTCTGTTTTGTTCCACTCTGGAGGCCGTTTCTAAATGCTTGGTTTTTCACCCCCCTGAAACAGTGTCTGTGAACAGAAGGGCCAAATCGATACCCAACTCTATCGTTTTTACTGTCGCAACATCTCCGTGTAACAGCCTCTTACTGTTTCTTTCTTTTCTTCTCGCAGGTGTCTCAGTCTCTGGTCCGGTGCACATAAACGGGAAGATTGAACTGGGTCAGTGACCTCATAAGAGAGTCTGGTGTTCTGTGATCAGGATTTGTGGTCGGTCCTAGATTGTGAAAACCCTTTTAGATTTTTCTTCTGGAACCAGTGCGAAGACTAATAAAGAATAATAAAAAATTGGCATTCAAGCTTTGTGACTTTGGGTAGTCAAACACTGATAGTGAGGAAAAACAAATCATACATCAAATTGTTGTAGATCCGTAGTCCTGCCCATATGTATGTACTGTTTCTATGTATTTATGTGACCCAAGAGCATAGGGAAAGGAGGTAGACCTGGGGGGAAGACTGAAATTCCCCCGTTGTACAGACACCCTGAGGCCAACGTCCCATGGGAATCGGCGTTTGTGAGCAAGCGTTTACGCGAAGAGCCACCAAATTCAGGATCTCTTGCATGACTGCGGGGCGGAAAGCCTGGCAGGCATGGCTATCCCAGTCGAGGTCGGGGTAGAGGGTTCCGCTGCCCAGACGTCGTGGGTAATGCTCACAGCATTGAGAGGCAGCAGAGAGAGCTTCATTCTGGTTATGGAACAGGAAGAGAGGAGTTTAACTGGAAGCAAGGGGGAGCTGAGGGGCAGTGGACTTGGCACCACTTATGACCCACAAATGTTGAGGGTGTTGTGGTTCAGGTTGAAACACCAATGATCTTTGGATACCCACCTGACATCGCTCTCCTGGCCAAGGCGACATTCACCAAAAAAGTGAATGAAGGAGAAGCATCTGTCGGAAGGTTAATTGTAGTCATTAGATATATAATATATTAATATATTTATTCTATAATGGACTACGGGCAGGAGTGAAGGAATATCTGTGTGTTGGGCTGCACTGACAGAACTGCTGATCGAGAGACTCATTTAGCACTGTCGGCAAAGTTTAAAATATTACCGTAATACTCCTAAGAGTGTAACTGGACTATGAGGGTACCTGAAGGTTGAGGAGTTACTGAAGTATGAGAGTACGAAGGATTAGAGTACTGAGGCAAAAGTGTAAAGCCCCCGCAAAGCTCCTGGCCCGGTACCACGTGTCTCCGGCCATCTGAGATACTCGCCCAGGGGGCTTACTCTGTGTTCGCACTGACATTTTCAACACCTCTCTGCCCAATGGTTTCCTGCCATGTCCCGGCGCTTATAATCCTCCTTCATTGTCCCCGTCCCGAAGAAGACCAGGATCAACAGGACTCAAAGGCTACAGACCTTTAGCACTTACGTTGTCGTCATGAGGTCATTTGAACGCCTGGTCTCTCCCATCTCAAGTCCTTCACCTCCCCCCTCCTGGCCCCTGCAGTTCGCCTACAGAGCCAAAAGATCGTAGAGGACTCCACCTGGCCTCCACCCACCTTCTTCAACACACCTGCCATGGATATTCCAACCCACTCCCCTCAGGCAGGAGGCTGCGGTCCATCAGGACTAGAACCTCCCGCCACAAGAACGTTTCTTCCCCTCTGCTGTTGGACTCTTGAACACTTCTTAACCTGTCCCCCCGCCCTTTATAAAGTCACTTTATGCCCATCATACGTCACTTTACTTCACTGTACTGCTGTCACCTTACATTGTGTGCACCATGTGCACTTGTATATTGTAAATAGTAACTGTAACTCTATTTTAAATTTAAATTTATTCTTTAGAAGTGTTTTTTATTCTTATTTTGGATTATCTCATTCTCTATTTCTGTGACTTTTGCACTGAGCCAAAGATTCTGATTCAATTTCCAGTCTTACGGTGACTCTACTTTTGGCAATAAAACTGTAAGGGCCATGCAGATACATTCATTTTAAACGGTTATGTAATAACAAACGTCTTAACATGTAAAAAGTAGAATTACTTTGGAATAAATGAGACAACATTTTTGTGTTTGGACAATTAAACAGGGTGCGAGATGTTCCGCTGGCAGAAGGTCAGCGGGTATTGTTGCGTAACTGGGGGGTAAAGGGCCGTTGCAAGATTAAAGACATGTGGTCTTCCCAACCTTATCTTGTGGTGCGTGTACCACCCCCAGGGGGCGCGGTCTACACGGTTGCTCCAACACATAACCAGACTCTTCTTCGTCAGATCCACCGGTCTTCCATCAAACCGCTATATGGTGGGGTTCCCAGTCCTCCTCCTTCGGGCCCACCGCCACCAGTGGCGCCACGTGCGCCGGAGGAGCTGCCCGAGGGGGATTTGTTCATGGTGGTACCAGGGCCAGCCCCTCGTATCGAGTCTGCCGCCCCAGCCGCCCACTTACCTCCACTTGTGAGGGATGGTTCCGTGGTTCACCCACCCCCACAGGAGTCGATTGCTAGCTTTGTTTTACCGGTCGGGAACCTCGAATTGCGCCGGCGAGGCGTGCTACTGCAGGTCGCCATCCAAATCCCCATCGCTTACCTCGAGCCCCAGTGGCCGACCTGCACTCCGCTGCTTTCATTTAGGGCTAGAGTGGGTTGATCGTCGGGGCGACGATTCAGGGAGGAGGGGCGGAATGTGGTGGTACACCTGTTTTTTGTGAGCGCTCCTATCAGCGCTCTGGCTCGCAGTATTTAAGGACAGCCCTTTTCCCATGCACTCCTGTTTTGCCTCGCCTCTGACGTCGGGACGCTGCTCGCTGGTGGCGTCCAAAGCACCTGTTTGCTTTGGATCCAGCCCCTACACCGGCTTTGTGCCCCAGCGGGCACGCTGATTTCAAACTGCGTTCCGGTGAGTGCTTGCGGCCGGCCTTGTGGCTTTATTTGGCACAATATCTTAATGTAGTTTCTTTTAGATTGTCCATGATCCCGGCACAGCTGTGGAGTAGGGACAGAGCGTGGCGATTGCGCAACCCCTCCACAGGTGCAGCGCTCTGATCTCTTGGTGAGTGTTAGAGCCGGCTTTCTAACTTTGTTTTGAGTCGTTATTGAAATGTAGTTGTTCTTAGGGACACGGGCAGGCACCCTTTACTGCAGACGCAATCCTGTTCTAGTACTGGTAAGCATTTAAAATAAATCTAGTTCTTATTGTCACCTATAATTATATATCCTGTCTAGGCTTTGTATGTGCGCGTCTCGGGCCTCTGTGGCTCCTAGTGGCTTGTACGCGGGATCCTTGGAGTGCTGCATGTGGGTATACTGCACCACTCATATAGGTTTATTATTTTAATTCATATCAAATTTAATTATTTCATTTAGCTCTGCGCGGGTCTCCCCTTCTGGAACCTGGAGAAATGCACCACCCTCACTGCTACCACAGACTATAACCACGCGCGCCTTACGGGCCTCAGTGCGGGGTCACGGAGGCGCGTGGGTTCTTCGGAGGCGTTTGGGCCTGGCGGGTGCTGCTGCGGGATCGCTGCTGCTGGTTGGAGCAATGGGCCTCTAGTGTGGCCAACGAATAATAACTGAGTCACATTTTACAGTGAGAGTGGAGATTCCGGCGTCGTTGAATGATCTGTCCTTTAAAAAAACTGTCAAATAAATTGTGTTTTTGTACTATATTGCCTCCTATTCCTATCAGTCCACGAATCTGTGTGCCCTTTATTATTTCTGTCCTTAACGGGTCCCAGTCCCCGTATACTGGGTGGCGTTGCTAATAATATTCTATTTAATTAGGCTAACTTCCCAAATTCATAGTCTCGACTATTACAATAATAACGGCACAACCATTCATTTGAATAGGGCGCCATCTTGGATCGCCGGGGCTTGTTTTTGTCACATTAAAACAGTATTTTACTGTAGCTAGCTTGGCTAGCTTTTCTGCCGTGTAGTAACAGGCACTGAAAGCTCTTTGTACTTTTATTTTTGTCATGAAAACATGAACAAAATTCTGAAAAGCTCTGTGCACCTGGTTTAAAGATATTCCTTTTGTCTGATGACGTATCTGGTGGCATCCAACTGCACAGCATTGCTCCGGCATGATAGGAAAATCTTGCTACTACCTGTAGTATCACCGGCGGTTTTGCATTTCTACACCGTCAAAATGGCTGCTCCAAATGGCGTGACGTCACGCGGGACGTCCCTACTCCATACCTTTTCATTACACAATAATTACACAATGTTTAGGGTAAAAAGGAAATTAGAACTTGGCACTGCTTTATGAGGCTGCGAAAACTCTTGAGGCAAACGAAAGTAAAAACAAAAGGTATTTTTTTGTCAAATATTGTTAACTGTCCAATTCCTCTACTGTTGGAGCAGATGGGATTGCTTGTGTGGCAAGCTGGACTTGGCCACTATATTTCTGTCCAGTAGAGTGTTTCCCGCGAGTCCTGCTTGTGGCCATGCTGTTCTGTCGCTTTGGTGTCTGGCCGCCCTCGTTGCTGCGTGGGCCGCCTGTGGGTCTGGGCCTTTAAACCGCCACCCGTCAAGGGTGCGCGCTCAGCGTTGGCTGTAGAGAAGTAGGCTTTAGCTGCACACACTAACAGCATTGTGGGTTAAGCTAACAAACTATACTTTTACCCATAGGCTGGGGACTGGCCACATCGCGGCCCACCGCTGTTTCTCTTGCTTCTGTTATTCTGCGTTTCTTTCCTCGTAGTAGTAGAGGCAGTTCCACTTCCACAGTAGAGGCCCTCGTTGCTGCGTGGGCCGCCTGTGGGTCTGGGCCTTTAAACCGCCACCCGTCAAGGGTGCGCGCTCAGCGTTGGCTGTAGAGAAGTAGGCTTTAGCTGCACACACTAACAGCATCGTGGGTTAAGCTAACAAACTATACTTTTACCCATAGGCTGGGGACTGGCCACATCGCGGCCCACCGCTGTTTCTCTTGCTTCTGTTATTCTGCGTTTCTTTCGCATAATCTCCTGTGTTGCTCCCGAGTCCATTGTGACAGGAAATGTGTGTAATCGAAGCTTAGCCTTTCCAGATACAAAATAAATCAAAGTAACTTGATGTCTGCCTGTGCCTCTTAACTATGATTTACGAACCTGTGCGCCTTTGAGCGCTTTTTATTTTATTTTGGGCACTCTGCCCTGGCATTGCTGGTTTTTCTTTCTTTAATTAATTAAATTATTTTAGAAGCGCGTAGCAGCCTCCACTTGCCACACTTGTTTTCCCAGAAGTCCCTTGTCCTCCCCTGGTTTTACCTCTTCAGTCTCTTCCTCCTCTTACACCATGGCATGAAGTTTTCTCTTGAAGCATCCCAACTGCAGTAAAGTCAAATCGTAATTGTTGAAAGCCTTTATTCAGGCCAGGGTCGGTTATGATCACACATTGATGGACAAAAATCTCAGTTTAAAGTTACCCAAATAGACTTCATCGTATTTTTTACAGTGACAGTTCCAGTTTATCATTCCCAAATAAGCATGTCAGCGCACGTCATTTTGGCCACTTTTGAGCTGGGACCCGCCTCCACTGGTTTTGTCCCAATTCAAAACAACATAAGTTTTGGACAATACTGTATGTTTTAAGAGGGAGAAACTATTCTGAGCGTGATTTCATAGTTGTACAATTACTTCACAGGAGATTACAGAAAGAAGGGGCGGAGTTACATGCTTGTTTGTAGGCCCGTATAGAACAATCCAACAATGTGGATAAAAGCATAGCATTCAAACAACACACTTAAACTTACAGATTTCTTGGATGGATCATTTTCATCCCAGAAGCTGTGGTCGTCTGAACTTTCACTTTGCTAAAAGTTAGAAAACATTTGGATGTAAAGCCATTAATATCTTTACACCTGAATAATCTGTAACTCATGTAACACACCTTCCGATTGTAAAAGTCCAGTGAGTACTTCTGTTTGTCATATGTTACAAATAGAAAACTTTTAAACTCAATCACATTGTTGTCTCCAGTGTAACGCTTCAGGAAGGGAACGTTCTGCAACAAATATATGATTCCAATTACACCTTTGGTCATTTTGCGATTAATTGTGGGGCTTACATCTCGACTGAGGTCTTTGAACTGAACTTGTCCCGACAGTTCAAACTCCACAGATGCATTGGTCAGTAGAAAAGGGTCACACACTATATACATGCATTCACGCTCTGGGGTACAGTACTGTAAAAAACAAAACAAAAAAAATACACAAATTGTAAATGATTAGGTTAAAATTGATTGCTTTAAAAATTGTGATATTGATAGAAACTTACTGCAATATTATTTTCAGATGGAGAAGACTCATTGTAACTTTCTCTGCATTTGGTGGTATTCTAAACAAAAAAATTAAAATTATATAGATATATTTTTCATCTTTTAAGTTTACCTCCTGGACTAGGACTTGATAGTTGTTCATTTCAAAGTTGTGTTTGAGTCTTGTTGGGAAAACCAGAGTCACGGTTGCAGGAAAATGTCTCCACCCGTAATTATCAACCTAAAAGAAGTAAGTATCAGATCTATACATGTTTTTAGTGGTAGAGTAAAAACAGGAGCACCAGGAGGAAACCTACGCGGGCACAGGGAGAACATACAAACTCCATTCAGAAAGACCCTGTTCTGACCGAGATTCGAACCTATGACCTTCATGTCTGAAGGTTTTTTTAAATAATTCAAAAACATTTAGAGAAAGGCCAATTAATAAAATACATGAAACAATAAAATCCTTACTGTATATTTGGTCACCACTCGTTTTGGGGCAGGATCCTCAGTGGTGAAATTCAAATAGGTGACGCTGTCTTCTTCTCTGAAAACAGAACCAGACAATGATATAAAAATAACATAAAACCGTAAACTATCGTATAAGATGTAATAATGTTTTACTTACACCAAAAGTGTCATCTTGATTTCAAACTGAACCGGGATGACTTTGACCAGAGAGCCTTTGCTTGAGTTTTGATTATCGCTGTAGACGTTTTATGTAACGATTAGAAATGAAAACGTTTTAAAGTAGATTCTCGAGTCCTTTACCTGTGTCCTGTGATGTTCAGAGATAAAGACTCGGCCCACTCAAAGTCTCGAATAACATGGAAAACACTCATGAACTTGGCCTTTAACAGAGAACATTATTTTGAGTCAACTTCACCGTTCAGGATCATTTAGAAACTGTGCAGGACTTTCACCTGTGACTGGCTGCGATAAACTGGAAGACTGACGCCACACACGGTCCTGTCTTCAGTTGTTGTGAAGACAGAACAAAAATAAAGTGGTTTGGACTTTGAATCCTGATTGATTTGAAAAATAATAGAGAAAATGTTTATACATCACAATATCTTTTAACATATTGTAACAGTTATTCTACTGCTTTCCATTCACTTTGAATTTAAACACTTATTTGTTTTCGTCCCCTATTGAAAACAAATAAGTCATCACCTTTATCACATCATGTTCAAGGAGCAGTATGTAAACGTCTGGCCAAAAGTGGTGCTGCACTCTCCCTGACTCAGGTTGCCAGATATGCAAACAAGTCCAGTTGGGAGCATAATATCTGAATAAAGAGTTTTGTCAACAACAAATCTATAACCAACACCTTTTTCACAAGGAGAGAAATCCTGGTTGTATTCCTTTTTTGTCATTAATGATTTGAGAATCATAAGGAGACTTTTATTCCTGTTGCCACATTTTACTTTACCAGTGAGATTAGCTCGACGTGGTGAGTTCCGGCAACCCGGATCATGGACTTTCTGATTGGTAAAACGGTGGAGGGCAGGACATCAAAAAGAAAACAATAACAAGGTTCAAGGGCTGTAAAACTAATTTTGAAATGCAAATATGTTACTGTTATCAGTTAGAGTTACCTTTTGACATATTACGAGCATTGGGAAAGCCTCGGGAAAGCATACGTTGCCCGAGGTGAATATAAAGGAGGGTAGAACTGGGGGTTGGATTTATTTGACTATAGAATGACAACTATTTTAGGTTTTTAAAATTCCCCTTTCACAGCGGAGGCGAATGGTATTTGTGAGTTTGGAGTTGAAACTGGTCCAGAGTTAAAACTGGTCCAGATTTATTCCAGAATGTTTGGTTTGACTCTAAATCAGAGGGAGACATTTTTATTAGTTTCACATTTCCATGAGTTTAGTGGACATTTGGTTTTTTTGAATAAATAAATAAATAAATAAAATCAGTACTTTTTACTACTACTCTCCAATGACATGTATGAATATGGAAAAGGGACCTGAGCCAGACTCATCCTGGAGAAGGACAGTCCGGGGGGTGGTAGATGGTGAGGCTGGTGTTGTAGGAGTCAAGTGCGATAAAGAGCTCCAAACAAGAAAAGCAGGAGTAAAACATTTTGTTCATCCAAACAGAATCTCTGAAGAGGACAAGAGTTTTGGATCATTGAAGTGTGGATAACGAGCCATAAATTTTAAACTGTTATTAAAACTAGGAGACTTGAGTCTTTGCCGAAGAAGCTCTAATGTCAAGACTGATAAATGTTCAGCGTGCCTCAAGTTTTTTAATTAAACCAATGTCATTATCAAACCAGATATTTTAATTTCCAAAAATCTACAGATTCACATTCATCTTTTATTTGGCAATTTTGCAGTAAAACCACATTGGAAACCATGATCAGAAGTCCCCAGTGGGCACCAACAAGTCATAAATAAAAACAACAACAAAATGTCTCAGTGAAACCAATTAATAAAAACCGTTTCAATACAAGTGCAAGATACAGTCCTTTTTTCAGCCTATCGAGAATGTCTGCAACCAGCAAACAACATCTTCTGCCAAAGGAAAAGCTTGAACATGGCTTCCCAGAGTCTGACTAAGACAATAGTTATTTGAAATCTCGAATTCATAATAATTTTCTTTAAGCACCAAACCATCTGTTTGTGTCATCCACAATGGCCAACGCATGGAAGAAGCCTACGTTTTAAGTGACCATAAATCCCACAGCTGCTCCTCACCAAACCGCCTCCAGACGCTCAAGGGGGCGCTGATGCTTAGGTCACCGGCAGCATGTCCCAGGGAGAGCGCCTAATGAGCCGTCTGACCTTAATCATGCAACTGGTTCATCCGGTTGAATCAAGGGCATGTTTGAGAGATATTCTACTTAACGTTTTGTTCAGTGGAGATGCATCATCTCTGGCCACATGTATTCTGAAGATGCGAAAGACAGGGCTGGTTTTCAATCAGAATCAGATTAATTTTATTGTTCGTCACAAACGAAGTTATTATCTCCAAATTAAACAAGTTATGAGATTAAAAGACAAGGCATGCAATAAAAACAATAATCCTTAAATTGTCTATATAACAAGTACACAGTAGAAGTAAGTAATGGAAAATACATTTAATGAGTTTTACACCAATCAGGAAGCAAAAAAGTGTAGAGAAGTTGGAAATGTGATAATATTTTATTACAGTTCAATTCAATGTATTTTGTGTAATCATCCAAATCACAACAGCAGTCGGCTCAGAGACATCACAAAGTTGTCTATAAGCCAACAACCAGATCAGAGAATTCAACCGCAATCTACACATTGTGACTCACAAAGCAGTATGTATGTGATCCATTGGGCCTGGGTCATTATTGTTATCAAAATCCATCTACACCAGTGATTTTCTACTTTCAGAAACGTAAGATTGAGCAGTGGCCAGTGCTCCTTTGCATCTACTCCACAAATTGCCTCAAATAAGAGCCTTTTCTATTTCATTATTTATACTAAGAGAACCTCTGTAATAATGCCTTGTACATGTATAAACACTGGTTGTTGTTCTGACTGAGCTTTTTTAGCACTGAGTATCATTAAAATAAACATAGATGACTATGATATAAAACTGAAAAGAAAAAGTCAAACTGAACTACGTAACTAACCTATTGAATATCTGGTAAGCTGAAGGCTGTACTGGCCATATGGAGGCTAATGTCGAATGTGCATCAATACAGATACTTTAACCAAATGGAATTGCTCTTGTTTCTGATCTATTATCGTATGTTATTCGTGTTGCGCTGCCTACAAGAGTAATAACGTATACAAAACAGGGAATACTTCACATGCTATCATTTAAAGAGCAGATGTAAACAACTGGCCAAAAGTGGTACTAGCACTCTCCCTGACTCAAGGATTGCCAGATAAGCAGAAGAAAGCAACACACATCTATTCTGGGTTTCATTAACTGGCCCGTTGTTTTAGGTGGGCCGAATGAGCAGAGGTGGACAACATCAGTTTTAGCTCCCACTGAACACCATGTAGAATCATGTCTGTTTGAGTCAAAAGGCTCTCCTCCGTCAGTGTACTTGTATTTGTAACATCTTAATCGTGCCACTCAATCTAAGGGAGTAACTAAAAAAATATTTCTCAAGAGTCTTGATTTTTGGCATTTTAGAAAAATAAACATAATAAATTAGTTGCGTTTCACTTGGGGAGGCCTGCAGGGGGCGCTTATCTTGGAAAGCCCTATCCTCCTCGCCCGCCTCATACCAGTATTTTTTACCAAGTGTCCTCCTTTATATGAGACCACAGTAGGAACACGGAACAAATCCTTGTCTTTCTCTCTATTTGATGCGGTTGCTACAAGCGTACACCGCACAGAAAGATGGCATTTTTGAAACAGTACTTCTTCTTCTACTAAACTCCGGGTATTAAACCCGGCAGACTGCACGCCAGGAATACTACACGTCCTGTCCTACGATTGTTATTCGCGCCACTGCCCTGACGTCATATGAAACTCAAGAAAACTCCTTTTTCACAAAGATAGAAATCTTTGATTTTATATTAGTTTTTAGTTTATACCAAGGCCGGACAATACAACACAAGAATTACAAATAAATCCATATACAAAGTTATACAATATTACACAATCATACGAGAAAAGGAGAAACAGCTTAAGGGCGTGGGATGAAGACAAGATTTTTAACTCCCACCCCCATGGAGTTTATCCTTATTTGTTCAATTATAATGTGAGAAAATCATAACGAGACCATTTTTTAGATCAGTGGACACGATGTTACTATTATCTCTCTCAACAACAAAAACGGAGGAGGAGGAAAGAGAGAGATATAGTCACATGATAACCCAGAAATAAAAAAGGTCTCGATATATTCACACATTATAAATGAAAAACAAGTATAAATACTCCGAAGGTGGGGGTAGTAAAAAATCTTGTCTTCATCCCACGCCCTTAAAGCTGTTTTCTCTTTCTCGAAATGAAGTGTTAAGATTGTATAACTTAGTAATGTATTTCTTTTTTTCTTGTGTTTGTATTGTACCGGGCTTGGAATATAACCTAAACTAAACTAAAAACCAATGATTTCTATCTTTGTAAAAAGGTGTTATTCTTGAGTTTTCCATATGAACGTCAGGCAGTGGCGCGAAAAACAAACGTAGGACAGGACGGACGTAGTCCTGGCGGTGCAGTCAGCCGGTTAATACACGAGATATAAGTAGAAGAAGAAAGTACTGTCAAAATTGCCATCTTTCTGTGGTGTAACGCTTGTACAACCCGCACAAATAGAGAGAAAGACAAGAGTATGTTCCGTTTCCAACATGTGGTCTCATATATAAGGAGGCCACTTGAACAATCACTGGAATGAGGCGGTCGAGTGGATTCAGGCGTTCCCAGATAAGCGCCCCTGCAGGCCACACCCAAAGAACCACAATTTCTTCTGTTTTATTTTTCCAAAAATGCCCAAAATCAAGACCTTGAAAATATTTTTTAGTACTCCCTTAGAATTGAGTGTCCCCGATTAAGACTGTGACAAACAACCCGAACACTGCACATGAGAAGCCTTTTGACTCCAAACAGACAAGAATTACAATGTTTTCAGTGGAGCAAAACTAGTTTCCCACCCTTGCTCATTCGCCCCCTACTGGCCATTGTTCATGAACCCAAAAAAGATGTGTTGTTTGCATTCATCTGCATATCTGGCAACGCTGACAGTCAGGGAGAGTGCATACCACTTATGCCAGATGTTTACATACTGCTTCCTTTATAAATGATATCATTTGCAGAATTTCCCTGTTGAGTGTAGCTGTTATTACTCTTGAATTGCAGCGCAACACACATACATACGAATAAAGACAGAAACATGACAATTCCATTGGTTAAATTATCTGTATTTAGCCACATTCTACAATAGCCTCACCCATATGGGTCCATACACCATCAGCTTTACAATATATTCAATAAGTGCAAAAAAAGTTGTTTTTTTTTTTACAGTAGTTCCAGTTTGACTTTTTTTCATTTCACGTTTTATACCAATTCATCTATGTTTAATTAATGAAACTCAGTGCAAACAAGCACAGTCAGAAACAACCTACCAGTGTATACAGTACAGAGGCATTATTACAGAGGTACTCTTAGTAAATACATGAAATAGAAAACACTTAAATTGTATGGCAATTTGTGAGAGATAGCAAAGAGCACGTGGCCACAGCTCAATCTTCCGTTTCGTAAAGTAGAAATCGCGGTGTAACAGGACTGATTGATCACAATAAATGAACCGATCCCCCAAAGATCACATACATACATCATACAGCTTTGTAGAGTCACACTGTGTAGATGCCGGTTTGATTCTCTGATCTTGTGTTGGCTTATAGACAACTTTGGTGATTCCTCTGAGGCACTGCTGTTTGTGATATAGATGATACACAAATACATTGAATGAACTGTAATAAAAATACACATTTTCCAACTTCTCTTCACTTTTTTGCTTCCTATTGTGTAAAACTCATTAAATGTATTTTCCATATACGTACTTCTACTGTGTAACTTGAATATAATACATTTAAGATTATTTTTTTTTTAAGCATCCTTGTCCTTTTTTAAATCTCATAACTTGTTTTACAACTGATATTATAACTATTTGTGACTAACAATACAATTAATCTGATTCATGATCTGAAACAAACCGCCCTTTCTATCGCACGTCAGAATACATGTGGCCAAGAAGATGCATCTCCACTGAACAAACGTAATAAATAAATATCTCTCAACATTCCCCCATCGATTCAACCGTGAATGAACCATTGTCTTGAATACAGTCAACCGCGCATCTAAGCCGCTCACTCCTGGACCACCTGCTGCAGGGGACCTTACAACAGAGCCCCCCACTGGCAGTCCTGGAGGCGGATTAGAGATCAGCTGTGGGATCTTATTGTCACTATCAAACCGTGGCTTCTTCCAAGGCGTTGGCCCATCTGTGAGACCGGGACAAAACAGAAGGTTTAGGGTGCTTAAAGAAAAAATATTCAGAATTCGAGCTTCTCAAAATAACTATTGTCTTTTTTCAGACTCCTGGGAAGCCATGTTCCAGTTCTTCCCCCTTTGGCAGAAGATGTTGTTTGCAGTGGAAGCAGACAGCTCGATATGCTGAACAAAGGACTGTAAACTTCACTTGTATTGAAAACGGTTTTTATTAATTGGTTTATCACTGATACATTTGTATTGTTTTTATTAAGTACTGTCCTGGTGCACACTGGTGGACATCTGCCCAAGGATTCCCAATGTGGATTTACTCTGCAAATGCCGAAATAATATGAATGTGAATACAGATATTTTTGGAAATTAAAATAGACCTTGTTTGCCTAATGCATTGGTTTAATAAAAAACATTGTAGGCACCTGACCCTATCCCAGTCCTTGTCCATTAAGCGTCTTCGATCGGCCATACACAAGTCTCCTAGTTTACACAGTTTCAAATTATGGCACTAACCACTTCAATGATCCAAACCTGTCCTCATTCCGAGATCTCTTTATGATGAACAAAATGTTTTAACTCCTGCTTTCTTGTTTGGAGCTCTTTATAGCACTTGGACAAAATTGTATTTTCTGAATCAACTCTGTGTATTGGCCTCTGAGCTCAGATAAAAAAATATGAACAGGACTTAACACAGGAAACGATGCTAACCACTTCAAGCTTTGTTGCCACAAAAGGATTAAACCCCATTACTATTATCTAGTAAAACTGTTCGTTTCTACGCTGTGAAATAACAATGAAATGATTTTAATCTTCACTCTTTTTAATGTACTGTCACTTCTCAGTGCAATAAAAAAAAGATAAATTTAATTCCCATGTTTGTTGTTGTTTCTTAACTGTTTTGTTAACAACTTTGAGTTGGCCCCTTTGTGTAGGAACTATTGCACACTAATAAACCAACTTTTTAAAAAGTCATGACAAAATGTGTACTTTAGGAGACTGGTTTCCGATGCCTCACTTGAATCTGTTCCATTTGATGCTCAGGGACTGATCTCCCTCCTCACCTCTGTGCTGAAGTGTCCCGCTGCTTTAAACGTGTAGAATGTGTGTTTTTGTGATACAGCTGGAACACCGTGGGCTCGCGTCCACCCACAACTCTGCGGCAGTTTTGAACTGTGAATCCCCTGCAGCGGCAAAGTTCCCGCCGCGATTATCTCCTGCAAGGAACATCACCCAACTTACAGTAAAATAAATTGTTTCATCACTTGAGTTTAAATCACCTCTTCTCACGTCGAGCGTACTCTATGGTGAGTCGCTCCTGATACACCACATATGGTTCCTCACCACTCGAGCTCTGTAGGTGTACAGCACTTGTCTTGAGCAGAAACCACAGCGTTTTCCATTCCTCTTGGTTCTGCAGCGCTAAGAGTCCCACTGAGCGCCCCCCGGCCTCACAGACCATACACCTAGGACCAAATAAGAACAACCAACTATAGCAACAGGACATAAACTGACAAAACTGATGAAGGGATTACATTCAGCCATAATCTGTTTTCAATTCAATATATTTGTCTAGACACTAGAATGAAGAAGAACTATGACTAGAACCAAATGTTCAGTTTGAAGATGGTCCAAAGAGGTTCCATCATCAGTCATTAAACAGACAATGGAAAAGCAGACTTTCTATACAGCGACATTGTCCTTCATTTCCTTAATATTTAATCTTTACATGATGATACGAATCCTACTGTTCTTATAAAGTTTCAGGCTCCACCCTTTTTTCAGTGGTCACAAAAATTGCTGAAAAAGACAACCATAATATTGATGGTTTTATTTTTATCTTTACAATTAAACCACTGCATTTCACGGCGGTGCCGGCATGCAGTTGCATCGCTCTCCCATTCCATCCCACTTTTACTTACTTGTACTCTAATTTTTTACTTTTTCTGCAACGGCTGCATAATACAGCTGGGAGAAGCTACTGCCACATAGACGTAGATAGCATGCCGTGTTTTTTCCCAACGTTTTTTTTCTGAAACTTCCCCATGTGGAGATGAATAAAGGATATTCTTAATTAAATCATGTTACAACAACAGTCCGTTACCAAAAACATAGTTATTTTTAATAAAAAAAACATCCACCTTCTAAAACATTCAGACCACCATAAAGAGAGTAGAGGCTAAAGAGAACACAAACCTGGATGAAAGATAGCGTTCCTCTGCTGTTCCATCCACAGAGTTTCCTGGGAGCGTGGATGTTCATGGGAACACCGCAGACCGAGGCACTCGAAGCCGGGACGGCCGCGGACTGACGGCACTCGGCTCCTCTCTGCGGATCCGGACTCCAATAGACAATTACACAGTTCAACTTACGACTCATCAATCCAATCCACCAATCCTTTTTTTGTATTTTTCACTCACTTGTCGGGGATAGCACAAGGACTACACTCAAACACCATCACTGTTTATATTAACGGACAGAGTCAGGCCTATCTACCGCCGTGTAATGGCCCAAAAATAGTGCTTCTACTGCAGCTATCCTAAAGCAGCGAGTGGTCCCCCGCCACTCATTTTGCCACTTTTGGTGCCAGTGGGGCACGTCAAATAGTTAAAATAGTAAAAACTATGAAACAAAAAAGAGGCTGTGTAGCCAGCTGCAGAAGCGCCATCCAAGGAGCTGTCTGCACCAGGAAGCAGAGTACCACCTCCAAGAGCCAACCCCTGAGACCCAGAGGTCCAAGAGCCAGACCCCAGCCGACAACCGGCTCCAGGCAGAGAGCTCCTTCAGATGAACACGAATACTAAAACAATACATAAAAAGAAAACAAAAACAAAAGCATCATTGAGTCTTTGATCTTAAAAAATGGAAATAGTTTCAGAGGAACAATTCTTCCTTTGCTTACCGTCCCCCCAGGCTCGACCAGTTGTTGGGAACCAGTGCATTATCTCTTATTGACATAAATGTAATAAAAGGATTGATACAGCTTTAAGCCTCAGGCTGTGTTTGTGCATCACACCTCTCTTCTTCACTCACTGTAGCATTCGGTCCACACTATAGCCATACGATACCTCATGTACTTCAGGGAAATCTGGTATTTTAGCTGCAGTTTCGGCAAATGATTCTGAAACACAATCATATAATGATTCCGAACTGGTCCCAAACAGGGGTCTGACGTTAGGTTTGAATCTGGGGAAGCTGGGCCACATTTTTTTAAACAAAAAAGGGGGTGTATGTTAACACCATTTTGTCCTGTGCAGATAATGTGTATTGGATCCATGCACCTGCCGAGCAAGAATAAAACTACTAAAACTGCTCCAACACTATTTCCCGTTTGCACAACTCGTTTAGCTCCTGGACTGATCTAGGGGGGGGTGGGGGGGGGGGGGGGGGCATTCTTAATATTAACACTAGAGAAAGTAAATACCTGTGTGCTTGTACAACCGAGAGATGAATAGAAAAACCCCCTAGCTTATTCTGTCTTTTTCACGATCCTGAAGCCACTTGTACACAAATAAATACTGACATTTCAGTATTTATCGTATGTTTTAATAATATACATATTATGCTTACACCTAAAAAAAAATGCATTGGCAAAACTTAATAAAATTGAGGCTGCATATTAGCATGCATCTTTTTAAGTTTTGCGAACAAGACTTGTTTTAAAGTATTCTTTGTAAGTCCTTTTAATCATTGTCCAGCACAATTTTTTTCAAATTCACCAACATGGATTAATAGAATTATAAAGACACATTGTTAAGTATATTCAGCAAGTGTTATTAGCATCATTCAACTCAAGTTTTATCCATACTACCAACTTAAATAATTACATTGAAAATAAATCTTTTTGAGTATAATTCTACAAGTGAATTTTTCAGTCAGAACACGTAATCTTTATTCAAATTCCATCTTTCAAAGATTAGATTCACACAATTGTTTCACAATTGTTAATTTTAGGCATAGTCCTCTCACACCACAAATAAATAAGTGGCACACACATCACAGTAAACAAGTCCACCCTTAAAGAATTTGTTCAAAATTGGAAGGGTGACACAGTAGTATAGACTGCTTTGGCTTGGCCCTCGCGATCAGGTTGGATAAAATAAATACAATTTACTTATTTGGTCAAATTAGTGTATTCAGAATGTTTGCTCATGTATTTGCTTTTGGCTTGCTTTCATATTCATTTTAAAATTAAATGCTCAAATGTAGAATTTTTTAAGAAGTATATATTTTCTCGCTGCACATGCATTTCTGGGTAGTGGTCACTGCTTCGCCACATTTTTTTCAATCAACACAATTATATTTATTTTGAATCAACTAATATATTTATTATGAATCAAATCAATAAATTTGTTTTTTCCATTAAGGTCCACCAGTCATACAAGAGGAATATCATGTTGAGCAAACCTCATAATTCCCGTTGTCCACAGTTCTGCAGAATAATCAAAGTTTCAATTTTGTAACAAAAATGAGTTAGGATTCATTTATTACACTTTTAATTGAGCGGAATGTTTAAAATGAATTGCAACCCACACTAATTTAAGAAAGTAAAACGGCAAAAATCAATTTAATGAGCTTATTAGTATGTATTTGAGTTCAGAAATACTAACCACCCTGAATCATTTCTTTGAGTGTATGTCTTGTCTTTGTATTTAAAGGTACAGGGCTCCACCACGCACAATTATTCACAAAGACCAACAATGCTTAAATTTATCAAAATGCCTCTATCCAACGTCAGTCCATCCTGTCAGCCAACGCCACGTTTGTAATAGTCGAGACTATGAATTTGGGAAGTTAGCCTAATTAAATAGAATATTATTAGCAACGCCACCCAGTATACGGGGACTGGGACCCGTTAAGGACAGAAATAATAAAGGGCACACAGATTCGTGGACTGATAGGAATAGGAGGCAATATAGTACAAAAACACAATTTATTTGACAGTTTTTTTAAAGGACAGATCATTCAACGACGCCGGAATCTCCACTCTCACTGTAAAATGTGACTCAGTTATTATTCGTTGGCCACACTAGAGGCCCATTGCTCCAACCAGCAGCAGCGATCCCGCAGCAGCACCCGCCAGGCCCAAACGCCTCCGAAGAACCCACGCGCCTCCGTGACCCCGCACTGAGGTCCGTAAGGCGCGCGTGGTTATAGTCTGTGGTAGCAGTGAGGGTGGTGCGTTTCTCCAGGTTCCAGAAGGGGAGACCCGCGCAGAGCTAAATGAAATAATTAAATTTGATATGAATTAAAATAATAAACCTATATGAGTGGTGCAGTATACCCACATGCAGCACTCCAAGGATCCCGCGTACAAGCCACTAGGAGCCACAGAGGCCCGAGACGCGCACATACAAAGCCTAGACAGGATATATAATTATAGGTGACAATAAGAACTAGATTTATTTTAAATGCTTACCAGTACTAGAACAGGATTGCGTCTGCAGTAAAGGGTGCCTGCCCGTGTCCCTAAGAACAACTACATTTCAATAACAACTCAAAACAAAGTTAGAAAGCCGGCTCTAACACTCACCAAGAGATCAGAGCGCTGCACCTGTGGAGGGGTTGCGCAATCGCCACGCTCTGTCCCTACTCCACAGCTGTGCCGGGATCATGGACAATCTAAAAGAAACTACATTAAGATATTGTGCCAAATAAAGCCACAAGGCCGGCCGCAAGCACTCACCGGAACGCAGTTTGAAATCAGCGTGCCCGCTGGGGCACAAAGCCGGTGTAGGGGCTGGATCCAAAGCAAACAGGTGCTTTGGACGCCACCAGCGAGCAGCGTCCCGACGTCAGAGGCGAGGCAAAACAGGAGTGCATGGGAAAAGGGCTGTCCTTAAATACTGCGAGCCAGAGCGCTGATAGGAGCGCTCACGAAAAACAGGTGTACCACCACATTATAATAGATCCATGGGTTGTGCTCAGTGGCGCTTTGTGACGGCATGGGGGCTGAAAGATTAGGGGAAGTTGCCTGAAACTCGCAAAGATCTATGGGAAACTCGCCTGTATTTGGGCATCGTCTGGTCCTCCCGGTTCTGCGCAGTGGATGATCTCCCATAATGCGTTGCGCCAAACACACCGGGTCTCACGCACGTGCACAGAGGGGCTCGGCCGCGCTCTGACCAATCAGAGCAGTTCATCAGAGCGGGAGTTAGAGCGAGAGCCAGAGGAGCAGAGTTTGTGCCACTAAAGTGTGGATTTAAACAAAACCGAAGGATTTAAGAAGAAAAAAAGTTCAGGATGACAAGGGACACTAAAATCCCCACAAAATCCGACCTTTATGAAAGCTGTAGGTTCTCTGTCAGCTGAGGTCGAGCTGTTTTAATTTGCATTGAGTTCTATGGGGAAAATTTCTGGGTAGCCCACGTGAATTTAGTCTGGTTCAGTCTGCAGTACCGCGAGAACCCCCTGAGCACATGGGTTATTCAGCTACAAGCTAGTAATACCCTATCCAGTTAATATAATAGATCCATGGACAAAAAGCGATCGTGATAAACCCGGAAGTAACCATTAACATGAAACAAACATTTTAGGACACATTTGAAGAGGATCTGATTATGGATTTAGGTTCGGTATATAAATGAGTAACTCACCGCTGATGTTCAGAATTCTTTGTTCAGTTTTCACGTAGTTCCAGAGAGTTTTTGAACTAGCTAGCTTAGCTCCATTGCTGCGGAGTCGGCGGACGGATACCGTCAAAATGGCTGACTGGGAGATCCCTATACATAGTTCCCACAGACCAATGAATGTCACATGACCTCCTCGGAGACGCCATCTTTGATGGCACGCTGCTGTGTTTGTGCATTCCATTAAACAGAAGAATGAGAATAAATGTAGATATTCAAACGCAAATTGGAAAAAAAGGGCAACTTTTGAGCAAATAATTGTATATTAATACAATGGCACCACAGTTTAACGTGCTACGGACATGTTTTACATATTTGATCAAATTATGCAGCAAAAATTAACAAGCAATGCAAACATTTCTCAAAAACTTTAGATTTAATACCAGTTGGAGCTCCATTTAATTATATTAACAATTAATTTAATTAATGCTAATGCCACACGGACACTCTGGATTGCTGTTATTGTTTATTTCCGCGTTTTTGACCGTATGTTTTGGTGAATGGTGGGCAACTGATTTTTCCAGGCGTAAAGAGACACAGAGATCTTTTATGACACAGATCTTTTTACAGAAGCAATGCTGTTTGTGAACATTGTTTTAGCCCACCATAGAACTATTATTATCTATTTAATACATTTACGTTGCCCTCGAGAGCCTCGGACGCGACACCGATCCTCCTCATAATAAAGTAATCTAACGCTAAATAATGAAACTCTCAAGTTACCAGATATCAGCATACACAAGTTAGTACTGAGTAAATTACGTCTGTCAACACATTATAAGATGCGATACGCACCTGACACAAAGTGCTCCGAGCATATTCTTGCGTGTTTTGAGGGAGTTTCTTGCCTGTTTATCTTCGCAAGCCATAACCTCCGTGGTTGTTCTGACAAAAGCTTAGTCTTCTCACATTCATGAAGTCTAATGATGGGTATACTGTAAAATCCAAGTTTAACGGAACCTCCGGCACGATTTGAACATCCATTGACCCAGCAGGAGATGACCATTTTCAACTTTATCACGACACGTTTCAGCTTCTTTTTCTATTGTTTTGCCCACAGAATGCCAACACAAATGGCGCCGGGTCGGCAAATCCCCGTATGTAGTGACGTCATGTGGGAACTATGTATACCTACACCTACAGGTCATAGGAGCAGAGGCTAATGTGACAGAAAGATTCCCGCACACGTCTTACTTGCAAATTAAAAAAGTATTAGAAGTGCGACTTTTTGGCGTTATGCCTTCATCAAGCAAATATGGATTTTTTCTCTCTATCATAATGAAAAGGTTTACAAACAATTATTATAACAAAGGTATAAATATACAATATTTTTATTACAATAATTTGAGGAAACTGTAGATTTACTACTTTGTCAAACAGATTTACAATGTATGTATTTTGCAAGTTTTCATAACGTATAGCCAGGGTACCGAAGTAAAAATAAAGAAGGTAAAATCCACTCACTAGTTTCTTGCTCTTAAAACAGTTTGGCTCTGTCACTATAGTTTCTCGTGCATTTATCTTTGGTTTGGCTTCTGTCACATCTTCAGGGTTCAAGAAATGTGTATATAATTTGTGCACAGAGGACACACACAATGGAATTATTCTGCAGAGTTCATGTTTCAAGTAAAAAGTGATATTTATGATAGAAATAAGTGAGGTACCCCAGCTTTGTTAATTTGTTAATTTGTCCACAAGTAAAACCAAATAAAGACTGGCCCTCTGACCTGGAATTGTAAAATGTTAATTATTGGGACATTAGCTGTAAAGTATTAAACTCTTCTTGCATGACTTGTTTGTGTACCGTAAAGTCGTTTTGTTCCCCACTGAATGTATTTTAGCATTTATGTCAGGTATTTATTATTAAAAGTTTTTTGCACTCTTCTTTATTTGGAAAAATTTAAATGTAGTATTCAGTTTTTTTAGAAGGCTAAGATTTTTTTTTTGTAAAGCTGTGAATAAGTTATACAGAAAATCTTCATAAATAATCAGAAACCTGTTGTTAAATATTTTGTATAATGGCTTAAGTAATAAAAACGCTGTTAAATCTCTGAATATCTGCACTGCATACCACATATTTGTTATTAAAAGTTTTATACTCCTGAGCTCTTGTCCTTTGTATGCAATTAGTACATTTTATGAATGATTTCACTTGTGAATACTACGATCCAAAGTCTTCCACATGTTCAAGTCCATGTGTAGCATTGGAACAGCCTGCACTGAACGAGCCTGGCCTTAACCATCCTTAAACTTTGAAGGTATTACAAACTAAACTCATCAAAACTCCTCCAATTTGAAGAGATAATATATTTTGACTCTAAATGGTAAGAATATACATTGATTTAGTGAGTGAATCACTTGAATGCCAGCCTATTTCAGAACAGGTACTCCCACAGTGCCAGCCATTTCTGATGATTTTTACTGATTTTTCAAGACCCACAGAATATTGTGTACTATGACTATCTGAAATCCGACACCAGATTCTAAAAGAATGGACTGTCTACTTTCCTCAGCAAAAAGAATTTTGTTTATAGCTTTTTTTGTTCCCCTGTAATCCTCCGTCGAGTAGAGGGAAGTTTTACTGAAATCACCAGAAATCACCAGAAAGTTGAGAAAAAAGAGGCACAACATTGGCACCTACATGTTTTCAAACCATTCAGAGAGAAATGCTGCCACCTGCTGGCTCGATAAAATATGGTCTCAAGTCATCCCCATACATATTAGATACAATAGACATCTGGGAACGTGAAAATAGCGAAAAAGGCAATTGACGGATTAATGCGTCAATGGCACATGACGTTACTATTTGCTTTGACGTATTTGTGCGTTAATGGGACACAATGAGTTAAGGGTGAATACATAAACAATTATTCAAATGTTCACTTCAAACTTTATCCGTGTGAAACTATCATTTATATTTAAAACAGACACTTCTCCAGAAAAATACAAAATTAGAAACAAATAAACACTCATTTTAAATAAAGAATTCTTATAAAAATACATATACATATACACAGAGAAATGTTGCTGGACTGCTGTAAACACTATTATCTGCCTGGACGGATGTGGCCTTTAACACAGACTCGCTGCTGTGTTTATTCCTTGAACGGTGGGAGCTGCTGAAAAAGCGTCTTCAAAACAGAACCGGAAGCTCCTGAAAAAAACACAAGCGGTTAGTTCAATACTGGCCATTTGTCAAAGTAAGAGTAAACTAATAATACATTCAAGCTTTCAAGCAGAACAATACAACTAGATAATAAAGTTACCAGACTTTACCATAAACTTTTCATAGTTTGATATCCGTCCCCTCAGGTTTAACTTGTTTGATATACAGTGGCAAAAGTACTTAAACGAATAGGAAAAACCTTCAGTTTCTGGATGTGCAAAGTATGTAGACTTGCTGCTGTGGTTGCAGCAAAAAGGGTTCGCCAAACTATTGACTTTTAGTTTGATTTTACTTCAGAATTTTACATTTAGAACTTCTGAATGTTACTATGTTGTGGTCTTTAAATCCATAAATAAATAAATGTTTGTGGTTGGAAACATGACACCTGTTCAAACCACTGCACAGTATTTAATTAAAATACTACTTTTAGTACAAAAATATAATATAAATCTAATTGCAATCAATACGTTTGTTAGAAAAATCACTTTAGAGCCCTAGTAGAGTGAGAAGGTGAAATCATGTGCTACCTTTGCTGGGTTGATGCTGGGGGTTTTCCTGGGCTGCACTGGCTGAGCTGGCAGAGGCAGTTCTCATATTTTCAGTTTTTGATGCATGGGAGCTTGATGGACCTTCATCATCCACACACAGGGAATCTGGAATCCTTAAGCCTGTCGTTATGGCTGATTCAGCCGGAGGTGCTGATTCGATAGGAGGTGCTGATTCGGCAGGAGGTGCTGATTCGGCAGGAGGTGCTGATTCGGCAGGAGGTGCTGATTCGGCAGGAGGTGCTGACGCGAAAAGAAGATTGAAAGAACTAGCAGTCTTTGCTCTTCCAACGGCTCGACTTTCACCATTCGAATCTGTCGCAGCAGACGTGTAGACGAGTGGCTTTGACGCTTTATCAAATCCGTCTTTTCCATCAGTGCTGCTCCTTTCATCGCACCGACTTTGCTCTGTTGATTCAGTTAAAGATTTCCCTTCTTTTTCAGTCCTTGTCTGATCAACTTCCGGAGTGAGACTTGTAAAAAGACTTTGAAATGTTTTGGCACAGCGGGTCTTAGCACCGTCAGGGTCCTCTTCTTTGTTCAAACCTTTAACATTTTCAGAAGGGGATCTCATCTTCTCACTATTGCAACTTTTAGCCCCGTCAATCATACTCACGTCTTTGCTGCTACCACCATCATCATCATCAATTGTCCTTTCTGAAGATTTCTCTCCAAGCACACGTGGCTTTGTTGCCGACTTGACTTGAGTCTGTTCTCTCTGGTTTTCACTACGACCGTCGCTAATGGATCGATCGACAATGTCACTTACACTATGAGATGGAGTCAAACTTGAAAACAGATTCTGAAATGGTTTTACAGGAGTCTTAACAGTTTGGACGTCCTCTTCACTAGCTTTACTTTTTAAATCTGCCGCTGTAGAGGCAGACACAAACCTTATACGATTCTTAGATAAAGTTTTGCTTGTACTAATCGGCATTGGTTTTCGTGCTCGACTCGGTAAAGCTCGTCTGTCAATAGCTGCAGTGGGAGTTGGAAAAGGACTTTGGAAAGACTTGACATCCATATTGTCCATTTCTTGTTTACTATTACCATTCGCTGTTGCAGAGGATGCGACAAACTTATTACCCCCTTTACAAATCATAGTTTCACTTGCGTTGATTTTAGCTGCGTTATTTAAATCCCCCACCTCCTCTTGAGCACCTGGAGTCGCTTCTTCAACTTTGGGGTTGCTGGGTGAAGCTTGTTGATCCGTAATATTGCTAGTAGTAGTTGCTGTCTGATCCGAGTCTGGCGTAAGAGTTGCGAAAATACTTTTAAACGCGACAGGAGGAGTTTTTGCCAAATTACTGCGGATTTTTTTAGCTGGAGGACTTATTGCTCTTTCTGCTTTCTCTTCTTTTCGTTTAATACTGCAAACTTCATTACGCTTTTCTAATGTTCTACCCACTAAATTACTTTGCTTGTTATTAGCTTGACTTGAATCGAGGTTTCTCAATTCGGATTTTGATTCTTGGGCACTTTGGACAGCTGTAGCAGTAGACATCTGTTCCACATCCGGAGAAAGACTTCTTACTTTTGAGGAGGGAGAAGCCACACACTCTTGCTTATTTTCTGCTAATTTTTTAACACAATTTACTTGATCGCTCAGGCTTGTTTGAGCTTGTTGGTGAACTGGTCTCAAGTACTCTGCAGGTGAGTACAACTTAAGGCTTGATAATCTGTCTACATTTTTCAAAGAGGGCATGGTTTTCACACTAATTTTGTCCTTTTTAACGGGCGAATGGAAATTACTAGCCCTTAGAGGAGTATATTCCCTCTCCTTAATGGCCCTTTTCACATTATCTTGCTTCACATTTCCAGCTGTGGAGCCAAATGCCGTTGTGCGTTTGTCTTTGGACGGTTCAGTCTCCATTTTGGTGGCACAAACTTGTTGCATCTTACGATATCCAGATGTTGCAGAGTCATAAAAAGATGTTGCCTGCTCCTCAACGCAGTATTTCTCCCCAGCTATCGTTCCAGTTTCCTTCCCTTTTGAATCAGACGATGCTAACGCTGCTTTAGCTACAGGAAGTGTGCTCGGATGACTTGAAACTGGGGCATATTTAGAATTCAAAACATTGGCGACAGAGTAAGGAGCATTAAGAGGACTTGAAGAGGTGTCGTCTGTTGCTTTTGGATTGTAGAGGACAGCGTTTTCAGCTTTTGGGGCAGTATAAAGACACGGTTTGAAAACTTGAGGTCCTAGCATGGCCTCCACGGAGTAGCACACAGGTCCTGGTTGAGCCGAGTGTACGGAGTCGTCGTTCTCCACGCTGTCGTCTATTTGTGGGGTATTGTCTTCCTCTGGTAAAACAGCTGCTTGTTCCTCATCGGGCATCAATGTTTCCTTCTGGATAGCTGCTTCTGCACTGTGGTAGAAACTGGGCCTAAAATACACACAAGCGCAAGTACGGTTGATATACTTTTTTGATGAGAAATAAGCCATAATTCTTCTTATGAGAAATAAGGAGAAAAAAGTGTTGGAGATGCACAAAATGAGCAACAAGGTAATATACTAAAAGGCAAAACAGTAGCACGAAGTTTGGATTGCAACATAGTTTTACATTATCGCAACTATAGAACGTTCAAGACAGAACCAGGGGTGCCCAGACTGTGATCTACTGAAAGGGTGTAACGGTTTAGAATATCAACATTTGGTCAGTCACAATGCATAGTGATTAATTGATTCCCATGTGTATTGTAAATGAAAGAAATATTTGTTTAAACATACCTTTCTACATAAACGATACAGGAATAACACTGGAACTTCTCATAATTACGGTAAATGTCTTAACTGCTCGGTGCTCTAATCTGCAGTAGTTTAGTGAAATGTTTTGTCAGATTTACTTATTGTACATCAGCAGAATAAGTGTGCATGTGTGAGTATGTGAGAGTGCGGAGGGAAGTGGATTTCATTCCAACTAAGCTGGAGCACACCCCCTCAGGTCTTCAGGTGAAGACTGGACTTATTTCTTAAGTCTGGTGTGTTCCTGCTAGGTTGGAATTAAAACCCGCACCCAAATCCTTGGTCTAAGAATCATGTGTGGAAAGCATCCATTTGGACAGCATTGTTTAAATGTAATTTCTTATTCGATTGTAGTACCTCAAAGTATTTAGACACTCAAAAAGTAATACAAAATTCAAAAAAGTATTTGTCAACCATGTTCACCTGTCAGTCGGTATGACAATGTCCACACATGCGTTTTCCTCTTCTGCTTCAGGCTTACTCTGGGGCTGCTGCAAAGCCTCTTCTTCAGCTTTTCTTTTCAGTTCCATGTCTTTTTCTCTTTGAAAAAACTAGAATGAAAGTAAAATATCATCTTAATTATAAGATTTTATTCATTTTTAATAATATATGAATTTGCAGTTCATTAAAACCTCACTCACGTCATTCAAAACCTTTCTCGTCAAATCCGTCAACGGTTCATGGGAGAACTTGCAGTCGTCTCGCCAGCATTTGCCTATACTGTGCCAGTACTTACAGGGAAAAGTCTGTACTCTCAAGTTAAGGCCTTGTGCAGCGGGAGTAACGATTGCAGTACAGTAGTAGCAGCAGTGATGGTGGTGCTAGTATGTAGTATGGTGATAAGAATAATAAACATCTCCCCACTATGAAATTAATAAAGATTCTCAATAACAGCAGTAGCAGCAGTAGATATAGTGCGGTGGTCATACTTTGACATTTTTTGTTTAGGGTAACTCCTCTTTAACAAGGGTTTATATAGTAATAATAATAATGGTAATGATGAATGTTTTATACACCGCTTTTTTGGACACTCAAAGACACTTCACATGTCATTATTCCTCAACTACTGCTGTCGCCACAGCTGCCCTGGGGCACGCTGACTGAAGCAAGGCAACCAGTATATTCACACACACACCAGACTCATTCTGGGCAATGGGGGTGAAGTGTCTTGCCTAAGGACACAACGACAGCAGACATCAGTGAGAGTCGGGGGAGAAAGTCTTGTGGTGGGCTCGAACCCACGACCTTCAGGCTCAAAGGCCAATGCTCTACCAACTGAGACACTGTCGCCCCAATATCGGCAAAGGTGTTGTTGGTTCAGTAAAGTAGTGGTAAGTTTTCAACCTTGGGAACAAACACGACAAGAACAAAATACTAGCTAAATGTATTTGTTCTTATACAGTATTTTTCCACTACCTGGATTATGTTAGTATTGATATTAGTTTAAAAGCTGAATTTCCAGTAGTAGCAGTATTAGTAATAGTTAGTAGCTAGTAATAGTTCAAAAGGATATCATGCATGTAAGGGCAGGTCTTTCCTTTCATGCACAACCCTTGGATGTAAAATTTGCAGGCTTCCTTAATCAGGCCGTTGTACAGTTCGCTGTGCTCCAACTGGCACGCTTCACCCTGATGTTATGGAATGTGGAAAAGGGGGATTTCTTCATGATTATTAGGGTAGTGTCCAATTTGAATCATTTTCAGTTTTTACCTTGAGGCATCTCCCGCGGATGAAATGGATACACAAAAAACGTCCATCCACCTCCATAGCATTCTGCTCCTTGAACTCTTGAGTCATGAACGTTTTACGAGGCTGAAAAATAAACAAACATTTACACATGTTATGGCAGCACTCACACTGACAATACTATCATAAAAAGGCATAATTTCAACTTACTGTACATACACACTGGAAACTGTGTAATTAGGCATAGGATTTTATTCTTTTTTCATGGCCTGAATTGAAGTGACCAAAAATAGTTGAGAAAAGTAATCTATTTTTGGTTTACAATTAACTATTATACTCCATGTGTTGTATGTGCGTTTGTTTACCTAAGCTTACCTTGAGAAAGAAACATAATGTACAATACATTAGTCATAAGGAGTAGGCAGAATACACTTCAATATGCTCTGTAAACATTGGATAACAGTGTGACAGAAGATATACATACACTCATGCATATTCGATACAAAATATATATATATATATATTTTTCTCATAAGGAGTAATGACCAGATTTAACTTGTATGATGACTTCATAGTGTTCCTTAGGCTCTCACACACTACAGAATTCATGAAGATGATATGATAGAGTAGCAATAAAAACAACAACTTAAAAATTGCTAATAACGACAACAAAATCAGAAAAAAATTCCATAAAACTGTTCAGGGCTTTACCTTTGTATTGTCTTCATAGTTTCTACGAGTATTCCGGAATTGCGACGTATTTTTCCCCCTGCCTCCTCTGCCTCCCCTGCCTCCTCTTCCTCCTCTGCCTCTGCCTCCGCCTCCTCCGCCTCCTCTGCCTCCCCTGCCTCCTCTGCCTCCTCTGTCTTCTCTGCCTCCCCCGCCTCCTCCGCCTCCTCCGCCTCCTCCGCCTCCTCCGCCTCCTCTGCCTCCTCTGTCTTCTCTGACTCCTCTGCCTCCTCTGCCTCCTGCCTCATAATTTTTCTGAAATCTTGAGTTATTTGAGGCTCCTCTGGGGTGTCCGGGACTCGAGGCTCCTCTGGGGTGTTGAGGCTCCTCTGGGGTGCTCGAGGAAGTTCTGTTGTTGTGCTGATGAAATGTATCTCTGGAGACACCGGCTCTATGGTTGTAGTTGGTGTTGTTAGGTCTGGTAAATCTTCGAGTTTCATGGACTCTGGGTTCTTCATCTTCATCTGTATTTTCTGCGTAAGGCTGCCGACACTGCCTCTGTGTGAAAAAGAACATGCCTGTGGGATGAATGAAGGATCTCTTAATCTTAATATCAAGCGCTAAAAAGAGGGTAGTAAATCAATCCCCATTGCAATTTTAAATTAAATCCCTATTTCAAATAAGATAAGTAAGGTAACACAAACTTCATGTATTTGGTGATATTTCTATTATCATAAAAAGATTACCTCCAATGCTGCAAATGGTGGCTGCTAGCTAATTTACTGGCAAAATATAGACTTAATCAGACTTTGATGTATGGTCTATGTCTACAAGGGACAATATTCAATTATATTTAGGACCTAGGCATTGTAATTCCTTTTATAGTCAAAATTACAGCATTTATGGCCCGGAATTTAGCTTAATCAAATGTAATAATTTATAATGGTTAAATGACATTGGAGCCGTCCTGTAAAAAGCAGTGCCTTGCATTAGATGATTAGATTATATACTCATAATAAAACTCGTGAATTTGGGCTTCACAATTGTTTTAATGTTTGACACAATGTTGTAGTCTTTTCTCTTTAACGCAGAGAGAGGTGGTAGCTGGTTGATCAACTTCAGGAATAAAGTGCTCTCCCAGATGATTGGTCTCTATCCAGGTATGATGTTGCAACTTAAAATGAATGCAATAACCTTAGCATTAGGTCCATTCTGTCTGCCTTGTGGTTTCCTCTTTGAGTTGCCCCTTTGTCCTCTCGTGTTGCCTTGTCTAAAGAAACATACAACAGTTACGCTGATACATTACATTTAATTTGATCCCATTATAAAGTGTACAAGCGAGTACAGCGTGGTACCTGGGACTGGGATCTTCTCCTTCGACGTCACTAAGCTTGCTAAAAAGATTAGAAAAAGGCATCATATAACACGGTGCATTTCTTAGTGTTTGCAAACGACTATTTATGAAACTAATAGTTCAAATTAAACATAAACACGTTCGTAAAGTCACTGGCAGTTGTTTACATGTGAGTTTACGTTTGACAGTCAACTTCCGCGGTATCCGTCATACGTCACTAGCAATGACCATAAAAGGAGAGGTGGTTAGGAAGTGAGGACAAAATCTGGAAGAGAAAAAAAAGTACTTCGAATGTTTTTAATAAAATATTTTGCAGCTACCATGTCTTATGAAAAGTCACGGGTTAGGGAATGTGGATGCAGCCAGTGCCCTAATCTATGGATTTCTTTTAATGACTGAAAGGATTTATTTTGTTTACAATACCGGAAACGAATGCACTTGCTACTTCTGGGTTGATTGTAAAGAGCTGATGTCTTAATATCATGGATCTATTATAATAACTTATTATAGATCCATGGCTGATGTTTGCGTTGAGGTGTCTGTGGGTCAAAAAATATAATCTCTCCCCATTATTCAATTTAACTACAAGCAAATGGCTTGGACTTCGACAGAATCATAATGTTGTTGTTGTTGTGGCTGTATGTGTAAATCAAGCAAACAGAAACAACCATACCATCATTTTCATTATGTTCCATCTAATAAACAGCACGTTGGGTACAGGCCCTTAGAAGAGACCCCACTGTCTGTTGCCCAAATACAAAATAATTGTTGGGAACTCTTTTAAATGCCGCTTTTATTTTGGTGATGGAGACATTTATTCTACACCAACTAGGTGCAAATTCAACACCTTCAAAGAGCTCCTTGGTGTTTCCCCATGTGGAGTCATTACTTTTGTATCCAACCATCCAGCCTCATGATTACTTGTCTTCTACCTGGAGATGGAGTCGTGGCTGACAAGTGCTTTGTGATCCAGGATCTTTTGGCTCAAGTTGGTGCAGAGTTAATTACACCCCCATTAAAGACGTCTCCACAGCTGAGCCCAGCAGATGCACTAAAGAGTACACTAAAGCTGCTGGTGGAAAGAACAATACTAAGAGTTTCAGATCTGGAGCAACTTGTGCCTCTGACCTTAACCGGTTCTGTCAACCAACTGTGGACAGTTTTCTGCCTGCTGACCCACTACCAAGGCCCATTAGAGATCAAGGCAGTCTAAGGAAATACCTTCTCATTATTTTTGTATCAATTTCATACTGAACCAGAATTGAAAGGGTTGGCACTTTAATTGTATTTATAGTTTAAAATACAAGTGCATATTAAGGAGCACTAGTGGTAGTCTCTGCACACCTGGTTATTAGGTTCAGAAGAGGGAAAACCAAAACTAGCAGTTGTCAATTGGAGGTGAAAAATCTGTTGCCAATCTGAGCTGTCGAACAACCCTTTTGTTTTGGCTTTAACGGGCAGAAGATGAGGATGAAGAAACATTTCAAGTCTCCTCATAGTGACAGTTCACAAGCCAGGAAAAATATGCAATGTCAATAATATATATTTAGAAGAAATGGCTCCAAGAATGAGACTGTGTGAAGCTGTGTGTTGAATACAATGTGGACTTGACACTACACCTTTGGTTTTGTGATACTCTGAGGGTGTCAGGCCTGAAAAGGATATTTTATATACATAAAAGCCTTCCTTTGAGACACATACAAGTCAGGTTTGTGGAGATACACTCTTTTCTGTTTTTTGGAATAAGATGTATCAAAGATGTCAGATTGTTCTGACAGCAAGGAACTAGGCACAACAACATCTTGAAATGAGGACAAATTTTACTTATGTGTTTTTATTATTAAGGTTTGATCCTGATCTCATTTGAAACATGTTGCGGTGATAGAAGCTGGACTTTGAGCCTCCACATAATGATCCGCCCTGTGTCTGGCTCAAAGTCCACACTGCTCAGTTTCAGAATAGCATTGCATCTTCCCTGTTTTTTTGTGTTTTCGTTACTGCGTTTCTCTGTGGGCTGACGCAGGATGGCACGGTGGGCTTCTCTCCTGGTGTTTCTGGGTCTCCTCTGTGCCTCCTCCACACTGGGACAGGAGGCTGAGGGCCAGGCCACGGGGCAGACGACTGGGCAGGCTGGAGCTGGAGCTGGAGCAGGAGCAGGAGCTGGAGCAGGAGCTGGAGCTGAAGGGACTGAAGGAGAGGAGGAGTGGGGCATGAATTCCATCAGGGGCAGCTTTGAGGCGGTCAGCGGATACTTCGATTCAATGCTGGAGTTTATGGGTGGAAAAGATGGGGTCTGCCAGTACCGCTGCCGCTTTGGTGAGTATGTCTATTTACACAGTGCAACTTTGAGCACTTTGTAAAACTCATACATAACACATATAGTATAAAACTCTCTATATGTAGCTTTGACAAAAAGTGATGAGCGCATTCTGACTGCATTAATACAAGATTTGCCAATGGGACAAGCAAAATGATCTTGTTTTTAAAGATACAAGAAATGTCTCCCTTGGATTGACAAAAATATAGGAGCTTTTAGACGAAGACTAAATGGCTTTGTCCCATTGTCAAATCTGGTTTTAAGTCAGACAGTCAGAAAGTACTTAAAGTAAGATGAAAAAAAAAACCATTTGATTCAAGAAATTACTACCTCATATGTTATAATTTTTTGCAGTCCATATAATATAAAATTATTTTTATGGAGCTTTGAGCACTTTGTAATACACTTGTCAGACACAACTCTCTCTATATGTCTTTTTTCCTGTTATGAAGAGAAGGGAAACATGTGTTAATAATTCAGTCATCTACAACTTCTCAAGAGGTGTCACTTATCAAGGCAACGTGGATTTTAACCTCAAACATAACATTTTAAAACTTGGGTACCTGACTTTTTCCATCTATCCTTTGTCCTAACGGAAAGATTCTTGTAAAAGTAAAATATTGTGGACAAATCAGATGCTATCTTTATAAACATTTATTCAGCTATTTGGTGCTTATTATAATAAAATAGCCCTATGAGTCACCTTTTGACCCTTTGGGCTGAGTGCTGATAGCAGAGTGAATATGGTTCTCTATTTTTCACTTTCCTGCAAAAAAAAAGCTGATATAAAAAAAAAAACATACACACATGTAAAAGCCTATGATAGAACAAAACAGTTTTGAGAGCGAGAAACTACACTTAGATGGACTTTATCATTTGGTTCTATTATGTTTGGTTTGAAAGTTAGGTACCCCAGCTTTAATGTAATCTTGTTTCATAGTAACATGATCCCAAAATAGATTTCACACTACTGTACGTACATCACTAAACTTTGTCGGACTTCCAACAGTCCAACAGATACAGTTTATGATGATTAAGTCTTAAATATTGATTGATTCAAATATCAATGGATTCAAATAAACTCATAATACTTCTGGCTATGCTCACAAATTATAGATAAAAAGGAAGAGAAGGAATAAAGCCAAAGCCAAAACAGTCAGAAAACCACATTTGGTCAACAGTGAAAGAGGATCTATTTAATCAAATTACAGACAGTCTATGTAAATATGTGATTATTACACATTATCTAAAAATAATCTTTGGGTTGGGCTGATACGGGACAAAATGCCACTCAATTGAACTAATGTTATCATGTGGGAGAGAGGGCCTGGGCTTGGACTGTGCCCTCAGGCTGATAGAAGAGATATGGAGCAAGCAAAGTGTCAGTGCGACCTCAAAAGACCAAAGCAAATGGCCCAAAATGAACGCACGACATTCTGTTGGAGTAGAACCCAAAACAGTGTGGTAAAAATTCTGCAAAATTCTGTGTTTGAAGGTAAAGACCCAATCCCTCGGCCTGACTTCCAAATGCCGGAGCCAGATGGATGCGCCTCATATTTCTTTGGACTTCCTATCCCTGATGGGGCGAGTATAGTGTTGTGTCTGTTCTTGTGTGTGTAATGTGTGTGTTTATAGAAATGAAAGTAGGGTGCAACTTCAAACATCTACATATGGCATCTAATGACCTCCATTTATGAGATCCCATTGTACCCCACAGCATAGATTTGTCTTCATATTTTAAAACAACCTCATGTTTCTATGACTCAATTGTTGTGAGTTTAATTGAATTACTAATACAAGGGGGATTGCCAATGTGGCTCAGTGGGCTTGGAGGTTGTGGGTTTGATCCCCCGCGATACTTACTCCAACTACTCCCACTGATGTCTGCTGCCGTTGTGTCCTTCGGCAAGACACTTTACTCTGCTTTGCCTGAAGCCCCCGCTGAAAGAGTCACAGTGACATTTGTTAAGTCATTTTCTGCTTCAAAGGCTGATGTGGTGGACAAAGCTACTGTATGTGGACCTCTAAGAGTATGCAAGGGTATCAGAGAGGGTATCAGAGAGGGTATTAGAGAGGGTAGTTGAGAGGGTAGTAGCCCCTTAGGAGTTGTTTCAGAAATTTGATGTGGAACGGGTAAACTGTGAAGAGGGTATAAGAGACAGAGGACGACTAAAATCAATAACAGAATATGTATAGAAAGTGTCCTGGATTCAGCAAAAGATGTGGCATTTCTTCTGCTTTGGCGACTAAAGGGTTAACTTGCAAACACTGATAATAGGAGGTGGTTTCTATGGGAGACCATGGAATTATAAAGAGTGAATGCAGTGATTAATATTCAGTTAGTTATTGTGGGTTGTGTTCGCAGATGGATGTTGGGATCCCAGCGATGACCAAATGCTGCAACCAGCTGGACATGTGCTACGACACCTGCGGCTCCAACAAATATCGCTGCGACTCCAAGTTCCGCTGGTGTCTGCACAGCATCTGCTCCGACCTGAAGAAGAGTCTGGGGTTCGTGTCCAAGGTCGAAGGTCAGTGATGTCACATCAACTGCTCACATACAGAATCAACACGGCAGAAAAATGAAAAGGCTAGAGAAAGAGTCACAGGATTAGTAGAAAAAAATACACATGACAAAAAACTGCCCTAAAATTATCCTAATCCCATTCTGGCTTTTTTGTTCTGTACCTAGTTTTCCCAATTTCATATTTTAAATTTCTGCCTCGTCACACTTTGTCAGACTGAAAATGGAAATAAAGAGAGGACCACCCCTGTAAAGCACTTTGTGACTTGTGTGGTCTGAAAGGCGCTAAATATCCATCCATCCATCCATTTTCTACCCTTTAATCCATTTCTGGGTTAGGGGGGTGGCAATCAGAGATGCCACCCAAGTCTCATAGCACCAGCCCCTCACTGACCCTCTGCAGGTGGTGAGTCCACAGGAGGACGGCTGCTCCCTGAGTGTGAGCATAGCCTTGATCTTTTAGCGGGGGCTTTGGGCAAAGTGGGGTTAAGTGTCTTGCCCAAGGACACAACGACAGCAGTCATCAGTGGGAGTCGATGGAGAAGGTGCAGAGGTGGGAATTGAACCCACGACCTTCTGGCCTTAAGGCCAATGCTCTACCAACTGAGCTACTGTCGCCCAAATAAATAAATAAATAAACTGGCGCTAAATAAATAAAGGTTAATTACTTACCCTCACTCAGCCAAACAGATCTCAATTTTGGACACCCCTTCCTTAACCCCTACTACTTCAACCTTTTTCTCTAAAACGCCACCAAAACTTGCAGCAACTCAAACTGTATGTGTTTTACAATGGCAACAAACACATGGCTGGACTCTGTAGGTCTGTAGATTTGGCCTCGGATGATAAAGAAGAAGTGCGGGAGCAATCTATGCTCAGATGTCCAACTCCAGAGTTTGTCAACATTTTCCATAGTCACTCGTTAATGTACTATTTTTAATGATTTTAATGCCTTGTTAGGCCCGAGCCCCGAACGGGGAAAGGGCCTATTGTTTTTGCTCGAGAGATGTCAAATTCTGCACTTTGAGCCTTAATTTCACCCCCTGAACATGCATGAAAAGTTGTAAAATTTTGCTCAAACATCAGACCTGGTGAAAAATTTGATATTTGGATGTTTATTTTTATGGGACTCAAAAAATGCCAGAACAGCGCCACCTACAACAGCCAATGGGAGTTTCAGAGGTCAAGTTTGTCGTAGAGCCATGAAATTCGGTACACATGTTCCTCAAGTCAAGATACGACCGAAATGTTATCATGGCTCCGCCCTCTGACAAACAGGAGGCCCATAAATTTCACTGCAAAATGGAAAAATGATCCGCAATCATTTTCATACATGTCGGTTGGAAAGCGACTCCTCCTCGGCCGTTTCACCGATTGGCCTCCATATCACTCCACATTGTCTAAACACATGTACCATCAAAATGACCTCAGGGATTTTTGATCAGTGAAACGTTGTTTAAGCAGCGGAGCGGCAAAATGTGAGTGTTTATTGGCCGTTTTTCACAACATTAATTTTGCTCCCGTTTGCACAAACAAAGTCTAATTTGCACAAAACTTGAATCCAATGTTCAACTCCAGGGTTTAGGTTATGGGCCAAATATTTGAAATTGGCCCAATAGCGCCCCCTACAGATTGAGGCAAAGTTTTACATGGGGTGAACAACAAACAGCACAAATCATCATATTCATTACAATTTGACTAACGTTCTTCTATGGCAACAGCAACAAATCATCACACGGCGGTCCCACCTCCGTTGCACGGTGCTGCGTGGTACGGTGTGGTGCGGCGTAGTGCGGAGCGTTGTGGAGCGGCGCGTTGCGGCTTGGTGCAGATCCGCTTGGTGCGGGCAGCGTGGTTTGGGGCGGCTTGATGCATGGCGGCTAGGTGCGGGGTGGCTTAATTCGGGACGGCTTGGTGCGGCTTGATGCAGGGCGGCTTGGTGCTGGGCGGCTTGGTGCGGGGTGGTGCGGCGAGGGCCATTTGACGCCGCTTGCGGCTTTAATTTTGTTTGAAGCTAGTTTGAGCTGCCTTGTGTGTGAACTGTGCTAAACAGATAAACTTGCCTTGCCTTGAATGAGGGCAGGCTGGTGTCTGGGGATTGGATGTATGTACCGTAAAAATGACCTAATTTTGGGTCCTAACAAGTCTTCTTTCATGAGGCAAATCAAAATGTAGCATTAAGGGTTTTGTAATTAAGCAAAAAGCTCCAAGAGGAACCCATATAAAATCCCTATTCACTTTTTTGGACAAAATTGGACGTTTTATTAAAGTCTGGGATGGACTCCAAAACTGGCTTATCAATTGTCTGATAAAAAAGAAAAATCTTGTACCTGGGCAAGGCAAGTTTATCTGTATTGCACAATTCATACACATGGCAACTCAAAGTGCCGAGTTACCTACACAGGCATTGGCAAGAGGTAACGATCCAAGAAGGCCACAAAATCTCCCATTTCAACAGGAAAAGTTTCTCACCATGCATTTGAACAAGATTGTCTGTATCCGTTTTTACAGCCTTCCTGAAAATGCTATGAGATTTCATAACACTTTGAAGCAACTTGTGTTAAAGTTAAACTCATCATTCTATCAATGTGCAGAAGCCTGTACTTTTCCACTTTATGTTTTGTCTATCTGAAGGCCAAGCTACATGGCACCGTGGAAGCTGCTGATTGGAGGTCTCCATGCCTCCGCTCTGTATAATACACTTGCATTCTCTTGTATCTGTGATTGTGTGCTTTGTTCGTGCTGTCTCTACCATCGACAATAAAACATGTCTTCTGTCTGAATTAAAGACGCGATCCCAGACTTTGTCATCTTCTTCAGGTGGTGGAGAATGCGGGCATTGTCTGTAACATCTAGAGAACAGAAGACTTTTTTTTTTTACACAAAAATGTGTTTTTTTTTCAAGCCAAAACTGAAAAACCTCAAGAGAATGCATCTGGACCAGCACACTTGGACAATCTGCACAGCCCCTGATTCCAGTCAGGCTGTGAGCTGCTGAGACATGGACAACACCAGCGTCCTCTTTTGCATGGACACCATTTGGAACAATTGGATTACACAATTTGGACATAATTTGGAACAATCTGGATTTCTGAATTGAATTGCTGAATCTGGACACTGAAGCTGAAACGTGTGATTGAAAGACACGTCACAGAAGAATTCATGGCTCGACACAAATGCAGCCTGAAGAAACCAACAGGAGAAGTGGGAGAGACTGTTTTCAAAGCAATATCTGGAACCACCATCGACTGATGAAGTTTGGTATTTTACTGAAGATTGTTGACAAGTTTTATGAAAGATCTGAACATGTTTTATGAGTTTTCTGAGTTTTTGAAGTATTCCGAGTTCTGAATTTTTTGAAGTACCGAGTTTATGAGTTTTTGAAGTATTGAGTTATGATGTTATGTTGCTGTTTATCGATCCTGATGGTCACACGTGGATGTATGACCAGAGGGGGGAATATGAGATTTCATAACACTTTGAAGCAACTTGTGTTAAAGTTAAACTCATCATTCTATCAATGTGCAGAAGCCTGTACTTTTCCACTTTATGTTTTGTCTATCTGAAGGCCAAGCTACATGGCACCGTGGAAGCTGCTGATTGGAGGTCTCCATGCCTCCGCTCTGTATAATACACTTGCATTCTCTTGTATCTGTGATTGTGTGCTTTGTTCGTGCTGTCTCTACCATCGACAATAAAACATGTCTTCTGTCTGAATTAAAGACGCGATCCCAGACTTTGTCATCTTCTTCAATGCGAGACACAGGCTTCTCTGATAATGTTTAGTTCTATGTACAGCTTAACAGAACTGATTTAAAGGATTGGATATTTTTAATATACTGTGATTATTTATGCCTTGTTTGATTGTATCCATCTTGTTTTCTTCATCACTTGCCTTACTGTGCTATACAAATAACCTTGTTTATGTGTGTGTAGCATGTGAGACGGTGGCAGATACTCTGTTCAACACGGTGTGGACCCTGGGCTGCAGACCCTACATGAACAGCCAGAGGGCGGCGTGCTTCTGTCCCGGAGAGGAGAGAGACGAGCTGTGAAAAATGGACTAAAACTGGATCTTCTACTTGAGTAATTTATTTCATAGTTGTGTTGTGGTTTTGACAATAAAAGTCTGCTATGCCTGACTGCATGGTTTTTTGGGGGGGCGCGTTGTGTAGATTCACATTTTGAAGTTGTTGGTTAAAGGAGCAGTATGGGAATATTCTGATTTCAATTATATATCCATCTAAATTGTATTCTCTTAATTTACGGAAAAAGCCGTTATTCATACACTATGTCTGAATACTTTGTCAAAAATAACTCAAATTACCTCAAAAAGAAGCCCTAAAATCCACCCCAGATCTGATGCAATGACATACTATTATGTAATTTCAGTTTTCCCAGTAGCATTTATCATTTTGTATATTCAGAAAGCAGATCGAGTGTTACACAAGTTTTTCATTTGGGTGGTGGATTTTAGCGGGTTTGACCCTTAAGTTAATTATTTATGTAAACTAATTCAAGAGTATAAAGCCAATACATGACATAGACTCATTACAGGCAGAGTGACATATCTCAAGCCTGTTTGTTATAATGAAGGTTGATGATTACTCTTAGTCCATTTTCAAAATATTCAAATTTTCTGAGATGTTGGATTGGGCTTTTTTAAACAATCATCAAATGAAAGGCTTGATCTTGCACTTTTTACATTGTAAGTAGAAATACAGGAGTAAATAACCATGTTCTAATGTTCTAAAGTCGAAATGGGAAACACTGCAGGCAAAGCATGAATAAGATCCAACATTTTAGTGAAAGACGTGACTAATGCAAACAAAACCAAAGAAAGTCATAAATGTAACCTTATGAATGCCTTCTTGTTTTTTATTTGGATTTAACTTGTTTGCACCGAGAGCCAAAGTAATTTCCTAGTTTGTGAATTCCTATTACTCAAATGGCAATAAAAAAGATTTTGATTCTGATTGAATAATTAGACAACAATGTAAACAAAAAACTTTCCGTCTTTACTTCAGGAGAATTGAAAGCCAAATACTTATATTAATGATTTTGTTTTATTGACTTTCTATATTATTATAAATATACAGTATTTAACAAAGGAGTTTTAAAGCAAGAAAACGTTACTTTATACAAACGGGTGACAGTCCATCCTCGCACAAGACAAAACTAATGCTCTATAAAACAAAGATCAAATGTTGTCCGCCTCCTGAAACAGACAAACGTCGAGTTAGTTTTAATCAAAGAACTTCTTGATCATAAATTCTAAAATCGATTAATCAAACCAAACATACTTCTGATTTCTTTGATTGCTTGGAGCCTTCCTTTCTTTTGTCGGCAAAACCTTCAAGCTAAAAAAAGACAAAAAGTTATATTAGCCTGGTCTCACCACACCATGGTACACATTTCATTTCATACTGAGCTGTTTTTTTTTCCATTGAGCTTCGTTAACAGGTGGGAGGGATTAGCTCCTTTTGCAGAGTGAAATGATTGGATTGGACAGAAGAATTGCACAAAGAATGTATCCTGTTTTTCTATTCTGTATGGCATGTACATTTCGTACATTGTTACGTTTTTTTTTTCAAGACAAAGTAATAAAATAAATAAAAAAAAAGAATAATCCCCACGATTTCAAACACAGTTCACAGACACATAATGGGTAAAAACTGGGCTTAAGTCACAAACCTTTTCCTTTAGGTTGGCTTTCATTTCATCCTCTGTGAGCGATGGTTGAAGTTCAGTATTAGTTTTAGCGGCGGCTGGTTCTGTGGCGCGCTTCTTCATTCTGCTGTTAAACGCTTCAAGCTAAAAAGAGACAAAAGTCAATAATATGAAGTACAGATATGGAAGTTAAAGATCATTTTAAAGATAAGTTTTCTTGCCAATTACACTTTGCATATATGATTTCACTTTTACATATGGTACATATGGTTGACAGATTTTGAGGTGAAACAACATTCCATAGTGTTTTATTTTTTTTATATATATTTAATATACAATCACCGGCCACTTTATTAGGTACACCTATCAAACTCCTCTTTAATACAAATTCCTAATCAACCAATCACATGGCAGCAACTCAATACATTTAGGCTGTAGAGATGGTCAAGACGATCTGCTGCAGTTCAAAGCGAGCATCAGGGGAAGAAAAGTGACTTTGAACGTGGCATGGTTGTTGGCGCCAGACAGGCTGCTCTGAGTATTTCAGGAACTTTAACCAGCTCTAGGGTTTACAGAGAAGACAAGAGAGGACAAGGCCTGTATTCAGTAAATTAAAACTACACAAGGGTTACATTTCTCTCTTTTTGTCTTGGTTCAGTCCACCTGCTTCATCAACACGCCTCATACGCACACGCCACATTGTCATTATTGCTGCTCTTGAGTGGTAAAGATGTAACGACACAAACCTTTAACTTTAGATTGGCTTTGACTTCCTCCTCTGTCAGCGACGGTTTCTCCTCCACCTCGTCACAGTCAAGTTCAGTCTTCGTTTCAGTGGCGGCTGATTGTGTGGAGGGCTTCTTTCCGTGGTTTAAAGCTTCAAGCTGAAAAAGAAACAAAAGTCATGAAGTACATGTATGAAGGTTGTAGATAATTTCAAGATTCAAGAATGTATTGGGTATTTGCAGTAAAACAACATTGGAAAAGCTGTGCAAGACTACCCCAGTGTGCACCAGATGAATGACACAAGACAAGAGCACTTTACATTTTGACGTTATTATTTCTAACCAATTCCGCCTTGCATTGATTATTTCAGTTAAACAGTTAACATTTTGGCTTAGGTTGAATTTTACTTCTACTTGCCGAGTGCGGGGCTTTTGTTCTGTACTGGATCTGCATTTTATTACATTGTTCACAGACTTATTGGTATGGATAAAAAAAAACACAACTGACGCTTACTTATAGAAGTACAATACAAATAAATCATAATAGAAACTCTTTCAGTCTTGTGAAGAGGAAAAAAACAGTTATACACACAGCATTTCTGATTTTAAAAGACAAATCTATTCAACCTAAAAGTAACGTGCTTAATATTTAAAGATTAGTGAAGGCGGCACATTTTGACCTGGGAGTCCTTTTGCAGATATTTCACCATCTCTGGAGCAGGTGTAATTGTAAAAACAGAGGCCATTATTGTTCTAACGACGGTGTTTTTAGTTTTGTAAAATACTAAGTAAGTAAGTAAGTAATCTTTATTTATATACCGCCTTTCACATACCAGAGTCACAAAGCGGTTTACATTTGTTTTTGTTTTGCTTTTTGGGCACTTGTCCTCTCACTCCACAGAGATGGGAGCGGGGTCGCCGAACAGGAGGCGCATGCCAGACTTGCAATAATGATAATCTTGCTCCCTGGCTTAAAATAAAAATGTGATATTACAGAACAATATAAAATCAACAGTAGTTTTGCAAAGGGAAATGGCAAAAGGTATATAGGAGGATTTTCTTCTTCCGGGTGGATTATCAAAGTCCCCCTAATTGTCAATCATTGTGGTGATAGAGGGAACGCCTATTAAAACGTTAAATTAAAAGGGCGCTTCTTTACAAATATTTGGGAAAATAATCCTATAAATAATCATATATACCTTTAATAAGAACAAGCCCCACGGTTTCATACAGGGTTAACCAAAACATAATGGGTAAAAATAGGATTAAGATTAAGAGACTAAGAGATCCTTTAATTGTCCCACAGTGGGGAAATAGTCACCAACCTTTAACTTTTGATCGGGCTTCTCTCCCACCTCGTCATCGTTAAGTTCAGGAACAGCTTGAATATATTCCATCAGTGGAATATGCTGAGGAACACCTTCCGGCATCTGGTTATTTTTTTTTTTTTTCTTATTCTTTTTCTTTAGTGTACCGTTTTTTCTACGTTCCTTATTAGCTTCTGTACGCCTCTTCACTTCTTCTTTACGCCTCTTCTGTTCTTCTTTACGCTTCTTCACTGCTTCTTTAAGCATGGCGTTTCTCATTTTATGCCATTCCTTTTTCTGGGATTTGTCCTTAAGATTTCTATCAGTTGTCTCCACTTGCTGTATGGTGACGAGGCAGCGGGACTTTTTTTTATTATAATTCAAAAAAATGTCCGGCTTGCTGCTCTCCACTGATTCTGGCGGCGGTCCGAGAATGCTAGTGATCGGATCAGTTTGTGGACTGGGAAGAAATGGGGGCATAATTGGAGGGGGCATAATTGGAGGGGGCATATTTGGAGGGGGCATAATTGGAGGGGGCATTTGACCCGGCATGTTGGACCAGGCCAAAGAGGTCTGGCTATACCCCCAGTAGCTGTTGTAAGCTGCGTATTGTGAATGTGTTGCGTATTGTCCTGGGGGAGGATACATTTGCGGTAGATATGGCGGGTTATAGTACTGTTGTGGCGGCGGCGGTAGTGGTGGGGGCGGGTATGGATACGGTTGCGTTGACGATTGATACGAGCGAGGCGGGTCCCTGCGATCTCTGGAACGAGGGCTGTACGACGAGCGTGAGTCTCTGTATGAGTCTATGCTGGAATCCCCACTGGAATCTCTACTCCTAGACCTTGAATATCGACTGCGTCTGTAGGGAGACCTGGACCTTCTGTAGCGGCGAGGCGAGAGGGAAGGACTTCTGTAGCGGCGAGGCGAGAGGGAAGGACTTCTGTAGCGGCGAGGCGAGAGGGAACGACTTCTGTACCTCCTCTGCGATCTGGAACTCCTTTGCGGACTTTTGTGCCGACGAGAAGAAGAAGAACTCTTAGCCGGGCTCCAACGATTTGACGTTGAACTAGTCGCGGAGCCTGCTCTTGTGTATTGTCCCGGTGAATATCCATCTTTGCTTCCCTTCCTTCCAGAATGGCGTGCAGGTTTTTTGTCCCGTGTCTTGCCTTTCTCCTCCTCTGTGCTCTTCTTTCCACAGTACAGCCGCTCCTCGGTGCGGTCGGCCATCTTGCTCATGTCGTCTGGGTCCAAACTTAAGCCCAGAGTCTTCAGAATGTACTTCAGGTTATTCTGTTGATCCGTCTTTTTAGGCTCAGGTTGACCTTCTACGCCGTTTGTATCCTTCCCTCTTTGACTGTTTGAGGGCGCTGGTCGCGACTCCTTCTCCGTGGCGCTGTGAACGATATCCCTGAGTTTATCGATGTCCACTCCTTTGTTGAGGATGTTGAGGAAGCGCAAGAAGCCCTGGTTGTCCTGTTCTTGTGCGAGCATTGGAATCTGCAGAAAAACACAAAATGATTCAATAAATGCTACTCAAGGAGATTGGGCAGATTTGGGGGAAAAAAATCTATATGCTGTTTTAAAAAGGAAAGCAAAAGAAATGCTGCTTTGAAAAAATACATTTTACAACAAAGTTATAAATAGGGCAACAATTGTATGGGTGTGTATACTAGGGCTGTAGTTGACGATTAATTTGAAAACAGAAGAGTTGGTTGATTACCATTTCAAACTAGTTCAGTTGTTTAGATCCGCTCAGCGCATCTGACCTTTTTAAGTGATCATCTTCATAGACAGTGATTCTTACACATATTGGTTTGATAAAAGATAAAAAAAATCATTTAATTCTTTCTCATTCATTCAGTGATTATTGAATTGATTCAAGATGGCGCCTCGTACGGTCGACATGGCTCTTTGCTGCTCTCTTTTTCTTTTGTTTTTACTTTTTAACTGTGCATCTGGCTGTTCCTACACCCGTGAGGAACTTATGAACATCCGACCCACCGTTCCCATGGACCTATTGCCTGTTTTCTTGGCATCTGCGGCTGATTTAGTTCATGTTCTAGCCAAAAAAGTGTGGGCCCGTAAAAGGGGAAAGCGAGGAGGCCTGCTCGTGCGTCTTAGGAGGAGAGGAGCGCGCGCACGGCTCTCCCCGGCATTTTTCTCTCCAACGTACGCTCACTGGGCAATAAGATGGACGAACTCAGCCTGCTCATGAGAAGAAACAAGGACTTCGCCACATCCTGTGTCCTCTGCTTCACTGAGACCTGGCTAAATGAGCGGATCCCGGACTGCGCTCTGGAGCTGCAGGGCTTTGGGCTGTTTCGCGCGGATCGCCATTGTGCGCTCTCAGGGAAGAGCAGAGGCGGAGGGCTCTGTTTCTACGTCAATACAAACTGGTGTAACGATGTGACAGTGATCTCCAAGCACTGCTCTCCTGCTCTGGAATATCTTTTCATTCATTGTAAACCATATTACTCCCCGCGGGAAATTGTTTCATTCATTCTTGCCTCTGTTTACATACCGCCATGCGCGGACGCGCGCGAGGCTCAGCGCGCACTCGCAGAGCAAGTACTGTGTATGGAACGCTTATACCCGGACTCTCTGATTATTATCCTGGGGGATTTTAATAAGGGAAACTTGAGCCAGGAATTACCCAAATACAGACAGTTTATCAAATGCCCGACCAGAGAGGAGAACACTCTGGATCACTGTTACACCACCGTGCGCGGAGCTTTTCGCGCTGTTCCCAAGCCAGCCCTCGGCTTCTCAGATCACTCCATGATACATCTGGTTCCTGCTTACAGACAGAGACTAAAGCTCTCGAAACCTGCAGTGAGGAGCTCCAAAGTGTGGTCTGATGAAGCTGTGGAAGAGCTACGCGCATGCATGGAATCTACAGACTGGGACCTTTTCAGAGCTGCCACAGACAGCTTGGATGAATATACGGACACTGTGACGTCATACATCCACTTCTGTGAGGATAGCATCATTCCAACAAGGACCAGGGCATCTATAACAACGACAAACCCTGGTTCACTGCTAAACTCCGGCAGCTCAGGAAAGCAAAGGAGTCTGCTTTCAGGGAGGGGGACCGCAGCGGCTACAAAGCAGCTAAATATCAGTTCAGGAAAGAACTGAAAGCAGCCAAGTCCCGGCACAGAGAACGACTACAGGAGCAGTTTGGTAACAACGATACTGCTTCTGTCTGGAGGGGCCTACGGGAGATCACCAACTACAAACCCAAAGCCCCCCCCTGTGCTGATGACCACAAGCTAGCTGACGATCTGAACTTATTTTTCAGTCGCTTTGATGCTGCCCCTGACACCTCTCCCTCCCCCACCCCCCACTACTCTAACGACCCACCCATCAGCCCTGCCCCCAGCCGAACAATAGCCGCTAAAGAGATTAAACAACTCTTCCTGAGGCTGCACCCCCGCAAAGCTCCTGGCCCCGGACCACGTGTCTCCGGCCACTCTGAGACACTGCGCCAGTGAGCTTACTCCTGTGTTCACTGACATTTTCAACTCCTCTCTGCAGTCCTGCCATGTCCCGGCCTGCTTCAAATCCTCCATCATTGTCCCCGTCCCGAAGAAGCCCAGGATCACAGGACTCAATGACTACAGACCTGTAGCACTTACGTCTGTCGTCATGAAGTCATTTGAACGCCTGGTTCTCTCCCATCTCAAGTCCCTCACCTCCCCCCTCCTGGACCCCCTGCAGTTCGCCTACAGAGCCAACAGATCTGTAGACGACGCCATTAACCTGGCCCTCCACCACATCCTACAGCACCTGGACTCCCCGGGGACCTACGCCAGGGTCCTGTTCGTGGACTTCAGCTCTGCCTTCAACACAATCCTGCCATCCCTGCTCCAGGACAAGCTCTCCCAGCTCAACGTGCCCGATTCCACCTGCAGGTGGATCACTGACTTCCTGACGGACAGGAAGCAGCGAGTGCGTCTGGGGAAGAATGTCTCGGACTCTCGGATTATAAATACAGGAGCCCCACAGGGCTGTGTTCTTTCTCCCCTGCTCTTCTCCCTGTACACCAACCACTGCACCTCCAGCCACGACTCCGTGAAGCTGATCAAGTTCGCGGACGACACCACCCTCATTGGACTCATCTCCAACAACGATGAGTCCGCCTACAGGAGGGAGGTGGACCGGCTGGTGTCCTGGTGCAGTGGTAACAACCTGGAGCTGAACGCCCAGAAGACAGTGGAGATGATTGTGGACTTCAGGAAGAGCACTGTCCCCCCCCCCCCCACCCTCCGTGATGGACTCCCCCATCACCTCTGTGGAGTCCTTCCGTTTCCTGGGCACCACCATCACCCAGGACCTCAAGTGGGAGCCGACCATCAGCTCCCTCATCAAGAAGGCCCAGCAGAGGATGTACTTCCTGCGGCAGCTCAGGAAAGCCAAGCTGCCTGCACAGATGTTGGTGCAGTTCTACACGGCCATCATCGAGTCCATCCTCACCTCCTCCATCACCGTGTGGTTCGCTGGAGCCACAGTCAGGGACAAACAGAGACTACAGCGCATTGTGCGCTCTGCAGAGGAAGTGATCGGCCGCAGCCTTCCATCGCTGCAGGACCTGTACGTCGCCCGAGCTCGAGGCCGGGCTGGTCGTATCACAGCCGACCCCTCTCACCCTGCACATGGACTATTCCAACCACTCCCCTCAGGCAGGAGGCTGCGGTCCATCAGGACTAGAACCTCCCGCCACAAGAACAGTTTCTTCCCCTCTGCTGTTGGACTCTTGAACACTTCTTAACCTGTCCCCCCGCCCTTTATAAAGTCACTTTACTGCCCATCATACGTCACTTTACTTCACTGTACTGCTGTCACCTTACATTGTGTGCACCATGTGCACTTGTATATTGTAAATAGTAACTGTAACTCTATTTTAAATTTAAATTTATTCTTTAGAAGTGTTTTTTATTCTTATTTTTATTATCTCTTTTTGACTGTTGCACTGAGCCAAAGCAATTTCCAAGTCTGTGACCTCCTGTTACTTACGTTGGCAATAAAAATGATTCTGATTCTGATTCTGATTCTGAATTAGGTTTAGTCCTAAAACATCTCTAAAAAGGATGAACAGGTTACTAAAATCTAAAGCCTAGCGTACATCGGACTGGCAACTGATTATATCCGTCGCCTCTGAGTTGCTGCCCCGCACACATCGACAATCTGGCGAAAACGGGCAACTCTGAGTCGCAGGCCAGTCTCTTGAATAACAGCGCGTACATCGACAGCAACTGGCCTCAACTACAGTGTGTTTTCTGACAACAAACTGTTGCGGGCTCGCAATACACGCAATACACACACGTTGTTGGAGCGGCGCATGGAGCGCGCACATCGGGGCAACTGAGGACAACTAGTTGCCGAAAAGTAGAACACGGGCAACTGACTGGAACTGGAGACCGACTGATCATCTCCAGTTGTAAGAGCGCGCACATCGACCGATTTCGGCAACTGATCATCTCCCACCATCTCCTCTCAGTTGCCAAAAGCCGCCTTGCAACTAGTTGTCCCCAGTTTCTCTGTCGATGTACGCTAGGCTTAATAATTAATGTCAACTAATCCAACATAATTTTTTTTGATTGATGACTTGTTATGGCTCTAAGGTATACACTTTAAGACAAATTACAAACATAATGACAGACATCTACAGATAATCAGGATCATGGCCCCCTAGCATCAAATTTAACCAAATGAGAGAGCAACTCGAGGCTATGGTCTTGACTTCTCAGGTCTGACGCTCAAAGTTGGTAAACTGTGACATAATTTTACAACATCATTAAAAGCAGTTTTCAATCTTCTAAGCAAAGATATTGGGAATTTCCTCAGTCAAATGTCATCCTTTACAACTCTATACAACTGCAACTGTGTTTTAGGTCTATTAAAGCAGCAGAATGAGACTAAACTTCTACCACTGGATGTTTAGCCTGTAATCTATTACGTACAGGTTTATTCCTTTATGTTTTACTGCGAGATACTGAGATAAAAATGTGAAAGAGTCAAAGTGAACACAAATAAATAGTTCTTTAAAGATTACAGACCTGAGAGTTTGGTGCCTTCACAGGGGGATCCATAAATCTCTTCTGCAACGCCACTTGAACCCGGAACTTTAGAGGGTGATCTTGCATTAGAGGATATCTTATGGGGCTTCTTCTCGTTTGAATTACCTGAGGAATGTGATAAACCAAAGGACTGTAACAGACCACAGAAATGAATGCAAAAATTATTATTTTTTAAACGCACACACACCTTGGAACATCCCCTATGCAACAGAATTTGCTTGACTCGATCTTGTAGGGATAGCGCGACTCTTTCATCTTGCAGTCTTTTGTTTGATTCTGTCGGCCTGTCCGTCTCTTCATCATCGGAGCAAAGCTCTGGATCATCAATTGCAAAACTGCTGCATGTGAGACCGACGGAGGCTCTTTTCAGCATGATCTGCTCTCGTATCGCTCTGAGCTCATTCCGCTTTCTCGCCAGCTCTGGTTCCTCCTTTTTGATAGATATCCCAGCTTTTTTGAGGATTTTTTGTTGAACTCCATTATGCGTTTTTTCATTATAAACATAGGATTGCGAGGGGCCGCACAGTGGACTTGCCCCGAAGTTCTCATCTTGGTGCACGGGCATCGAGTGTCCATCTACACTCGGAAAAGCGCTGTGTTGTTTATGCATTGTTCAAACGCTATCTACAAGTCCGTACAAGTCAAATGATTCTGTGTATGAAGAAAAACAAACATTAGATTAGTTACTGAGGTCAAATTACTAATAAAGTAACATCACATTCTCTTAATGTATAAAAAACAAAAGATAGTTCCCTGAAAATTTCTTGCAGTTTATACATAACAAAAAGCGGATATTTTGTGCCATATCAACCAACTTGGACTGTGAGGAGCACAAAGACGGTCAGGACTAACAACGGGGAGTCAGCGTTTCAGATTTAGCCATCTAAAAAATGAAAGTCTTCCTGAAAATGTGAGGTTTCTACTCTGAAAAAGTTCAAATCCAGGTTCAAACAGCTCAGCTGAAAGATCTGTAAAATGATTTCAAATGAATGCCTTGTGATTATTATGTTAATGTAAGATAAAAGGTACAAGTCAGAACCAGACTGTAGAACACGTGCCAATATTCACAGGACAGATAGAATGTGTGATCTGACCATTGCAAGAAGATAAGATAGACTTTATTGATCTCACACTGGAGACATGTACAAATAAAACTATCTCTTCTGTAGCTAGCTCAATGGAGATTGTTAATTGTTAATTCGCCAACAACAGATTAGAAAAGCAGACAATATGAAACAGCCATCGGTCCATAAATATGCCGTTTATGAGAATAACAAATAATCATAGGAATTAATGTCAGGGCTCTACATTAGCTGTAGCTTTAGCAATATTGTTATGTGATATGTTCGGAACGTTATCTAACGTATCTCGCAAGATAAATGTAAAATATGAGGTATAATCATCAAAATGTGACTGTAGGTTAAAGCATTAAAAAGAGTCGGTGATATCAGTTATCTGACGGTTAGCATGGCAGTTAGCATGGCCGTTAGCATGGCCGTTTGTTTACCGTGTGTGGTTCTTCAAGCGCCTCTTCTTTCTGCAGTTTACGTAGAAAACGTGCATTTGCAGACGAGTGGTTCTTGATTGAAATGGTGCACTAATATTAAAACCTTCAAGATGTGCATTTTTTTTGCTGTAATTGAAAAAAGTGAATCGGCTTCAAACGGATGGTTAAATGTTACAATCTGTAGCTCAGGCCCAGAGACAGTGACATCTGGAGGATGGAGGACTGAAAAAGTAGTCCAAGAAAATCCAACCACAAAGCAAACACCATGGTATTTCTATTATGTCCCATAAAACACAATTCATAGCTGGGGTGTTTGCAAGTGATGGGTCGTGCTGCGTCGGCGCTTCGGGGCGTGAGCCGAGAAATCCCTGAAGTTTTTATCGGAGCGCGAGCCGAAGCCTGAGTTGTTTTAGATGAGTGACGTCACCAACGACGTTTGAAGCCTCGGGAGCACAGGAAATGGAGAGATTCATGAAGTACAGCAGAGAATCCGCTCAAACTTCGTTTGTTTGTCTTGATTAATTACGTCAGTGATGGAGGCTCTGTAGTATAAGCTGGTTGGCTCAATTGGTAGGGAAGCAGGGCTGGGACCTGGGGGACCGGGGTTCGAATCTTACCGGGAGCACTTTGATGTAAATACACGTGTAAGAACTTTATCAGAAATGTTTTGGTTTTAAACAACTGATGGGGTCACAATGCCCAATTAATATCCCCATTTGTGTCACGTCCTTAGAAAATCACTTACACTTTAAACATGTTTTTTGTCCTATTGGATTTATAACATTGATTTTGACTTGACAAGCTATAACCATTCATCATTAAATATATGTGTGTGCATATGTGTATGTGTATGTGTGTGTGTGTTAGAGCAGACAACTGTACCAGTTCCCAGTACATTATGATTTTATTGTCATTTAAAATATATTAATTTTCCCTAATGATATTGATCATAATGAAACAAATGAATTAATGGGTCATACACAATCAAATTACATTATTATTTATGTTACCAGTATTAATTCCTATGCACCAAAAGCCTCACAAACAGTTCAAATGTCAATACAGATTTTGACCAACAGGAGGTTTGTGAGCATATGAAGCATCAAGATCAAGCATCAAGATCAATCTTTTCTCGAACCAATGGATGAAAAGGTTCAACACTTCATGAAGCTTCATTAACCCATCACTAGTGTTTGCCTTAAGTTTCCTAAACTATGAACTTTGTTTGCATAGTCGGGTAAAAGTACAATTTTGTAAACCAATCAGACCAAAGTAACTCAAATAACCACTTACAACCAAGATAATAATAATAATAATAATACATTTGATTTAAAAACGCTTTTCAAAACACCCAAGGACACTGTACAGGGCAGCAGAGTCTCAGTCTCAGAGAGCCTCTCTGAACACAGAACCCGTCAAACCGTGAGGCAGATGGGCTACAGCAGCAGAAGACCACACCGGCTGCCACTCCTGTCAGCTAGAAAAAAATAAACTGAGGCTACAATTCACATGGGCTCACTAAAATTGGACAAAAGAAGATTGGAAAAAGTTGCCTGGTCTGATGAGTCTCAATTTCTGCTGCGACATTCGGAGGGTAGGGTCAGAAGTTGGAGTTAACGACATGAATGAATCCATCCTGCCTTGTATCAACGGTTCAGGCTGGTGGTGGGGGTGTAATGCTGTGGGGGATATTTTCTTAACACTCTTTGAGTTCCTTAGTACCAATTGATCATCGTTGCCACAGCCCACCTGAGTATTGTTGCTGACCATGTGCATTCCTTTATGACCACAATGTACCCATCTTCTGATGCTACTTCCAGCAGATAAAACACCTTGTCATGAAGCTCAAATCATCACAGACTGGTTTCTTGAACATGACAATACGTTCACAGTACTGGAATGGCCTCCACAGTCACCAGATCTCAATCCAACAGGGAAGTGGTGGAACAGGAGATTGGCATCATAGATGTGCAGCCGACAAATCTGCAGGAACGGCATGTTGCTACCAAAAATGGACCAAACTCTCTGAGGTATGTATCAAATACTTTATTGAATCTATACCACGAAGATTAAGACAGTTTCAAAAAGGGGTCCAACCCTGTACTAGCAAGGTGTAGCTAATAAAGTGGTAGGTGAGTGTATATTGCAAGGCCTCTTTGGGTGTCTTGAAAGGCGCTATGAAATAAAATGTATTATTATTAGAGGTGCAACGGTTCATCACTGATCCGTGATCCGTTCGGTTCAACGTCTTCGGTTTGGTACAGACGTGATCCGCGGTTTGATTTATGAAAAAAAAGTTGTACGCACGTTGTTCAGTCCACACACAGCGTGGTCACGGCGAGCAGAGGAACGGAGGAGCTTGAAAGCCCCGCGTCATTTAAATCCCCAGTATGAGAGCATTTTGGCTTCACTGTAACTATACTGATAATTAATATTCGACAAAACTGTCACAGTGTGTAAACACTGTGGCAAAAGAAAGACATGAGTGAAAAAAAGCGTCTCAACGACCGCTTAATGCCGCGGAATTTAAGCAGCTCCTTTACGCACAGTCAGACCGGGCTAAAGTCAACTCTCCCGCGCATCCTCAGCTGCGGTCACGACTGACGCTTGGACGTCCCGCGGAATCTATAATAGATCCATGAGCGGAACGGAGAACTTCATCACAGCAGACTGGGAGATGAGAAGTCTGGTGCTGCAGACACGCCCCCTCTACGACAGTCACACAGCGCAGGTACTGACACAAGCAGCGGAGGAATGGAAGACAAAGGCCCAGTACTAATATTCCAGTCACAACTGATAATGCAAAAAATTAAATAAATGCAGTGAATGAGGCTGGACTGGGCCCAGAATGGAACCGCCTCCTTGGGAGAATCAGGAAGGTGGTTTAATATATGAGGGTAAATACCCTCATAAAGTGCCTTCTTATGTTACACTTTGTTGTTTTTCACTGATTATGTTAAAAAGACATAATTGGATGGATGGATGGAATATGCCTTCCATCCATCCATCCATTTTCTTCCCCTTAATTCATTTATAGTTCGGGGGGGGGGGGGGGGGGGGGGGGGGGGGGCTGGGCAGTCAGAGCAGGTGCCGAGTCCACATGAGCCGTGTTTATTAAAAAGACAAAACTTTTTTGTGTGAAAAATGAACCGAACCGTGGCCTCTCAACCGAGGTACGAACGTACCGTGATTTTTTCAAACCGTTGCACCCCTAATTATTATTATTAATTTAAAAAATCCTTAATTATTATTTTCAAGCTGAGTTTGATGACTTTTTTAAACTTGATTATGTGGTTTTCATTCTGTACTGGATCTGTATTTCATCACATTGTTCATAGACTTATTGGTATGAATAAAAAGCAACACCTCTGACACTTATAGAAGTACACAAACACATCATGAAAAGTATTATAGAAATAGAATAGAGTTAAATCCAAATAAAATCTTGTATACATACTGTATCATTTTTAAACCAACAAATCTATTTGAACTGAAAAACAAAGTAACATTATATTTAGAGTTTAGTGAAGCCGGCTCATTTTGACCTGGGAGGACAAGGCGCTTTTTGTCCTTGTTCAATCCACCTGCTTCATCTACACGCCTCATATGCACATCGGGCTCAAGTTCACCTTATTTTTGGTTTAAAATCCTACTTGTGTCCTTTCCCCTCATTGATTGCTGCTCTTGAGTGGTAAAAATGTAACGACACAAACCTTTAACTTTAGATTGGCTTTGACTTCCTCCTCTGTCAGCGACGGTTTCTCCTCCACCTCGTCACAGTCAAGTTCAGTCTTCGTTTCAGCGGTCTTATCAATATATTTTTCAACTACAAACCTATTAAACCTCCCAACCTCATCACCCTCCCCCCCCCTAACCAACCACATCCTACCCACAATATAATACTCACCATAACCCTCAACCCTCCATAAAATTTACAAATCACTACCCACCAATTCCCCCTCATATCCCTCCCCCCCACCTATATCCCCCTTCATCTATCATCCCTCCCCTCTCCAATCACAAAATCCCTAACAAAAACACCCCCCACCCCCCCAATCCACAAAACCAAACCCACAACCCCATAACCCCCCCCCCAATAACCAAAACCCCCCCCAACCACAATACACACTACCAACCACCCAACCCCCCCCCCCCCCCCCACAACACCACCAACTCCAACACCCCCCACCCACCCTCCCCAAAACCCACACCCACAACCCCCCCCCTAACCCCCCCCCCCACCCACCCTCCCACCCCCACCCCCCACACCCCCCACCCCACCAAACACCACACCCACACCAAACCAACCAACCCCCACCCAAACCACCCCCCACCCCCCCCCCCAACACCACACCCCCACCCCCCCCCCACCCCCACCCCAACCCCACACCCCCCACCCACCCCCCCCCACCCCCCCCACACCCCACACCATCAAAACCCTCCCACCCAACACCCCCCCCCCACCCCCCCACCCCCCCCCCACCCCCACCCCCCAACCCAACCCCCCCCCCCCAACACCCCACCCCCACCCACAAAACCCCACCCCCACCCAACCCCCCCCCCCACCCCCCCCCACACACACCCACCCCCCCCCCCATCACCCAACCACCACCCCCACCCCCCACCCCACCAAAACCCCACCCCCCCCCCCCCCACCCCCACCCCCCCCCCACCCCCACCAAACCCCCCCACACCCCACAACAACACCCCCAACACCATCCACCCCCCAACCCCCCCACCCCCCCACCACACCACCCCCAACACCCCACCCCCCACACACACACTACTAACACCCACACCCTCACACCCACCCCCACCACCCCCCCCCCACCCCAACACAACCCCACCACCCCCAAAAACCTCACCCCACCCACCAACAAATTCAACTCCAACCCTCACACTAAACTAAACAACCCAAACACCACCTCCACACCCCACACATCTACCACACCACACCCAAAAACACCCCCATCCTCTCCCACACTACTCTAACCCCCCCCCCTAACCCTACCCCTCATCACGCTTTACACAACGCCTACCACCCCCCCGAACTACCCCCTTAAACCCAATCGCGATACCCTCTCGACACACCGCACCTACATACGACCCCTAAACCCACCCCCCCCCCCTCAGACATCCACCCACTACCATCTCAAACCCCAAACAATCCCCCCCCCCCCTGTGCCACCCCAACACCCCCAACCCACCCCACCAACCCCCCAATCCATAACCCTCCACACCTATACCACCCAACCCACCACACCACACACTATCACAAATCCTCCAAAAACCTAAACAAAACCAAACAATATCCCCTCACACCATCAAACGACGCACCAAGCAAAACACACAAACACCAACCAACAGACCATTCCACTACACCCACCAACACACAAACAAACCCCCCCCCACCCACCCCCCACCCCCCACCCCTCCCAAATCCCCCACCCCACCACCTACCCCTACCCCACCCCCCCAGCCCCCGACTCACCCACTAGACCCAGCCCCACCCACCCTCCCTCCCCACCCCGCTGATGACAATGTCATTCCACACTACACTTAATCATCACCCACCCCCAACCCCCAATTCCTCTTCTTCTTACCCCCTCCCCTAACAATCTGTCTCGTATGGTGCCACCCCCTGAGTGCCCCGCTTCCCATAAGCCCATGCTGAGAGATATAGATTTAGTGTGCCACCTGATATTTGGCCGCCATAAATTGTGCATTTTTCCCCATTCCATTTATTGTTCCACATATGTCACCTGCAATGTTGGCACCAGGCCAAAGTACTCCCGTCTGGCCCTCCTCAACCCCCCCAGTGGCTTTTTATAAACGCTGCCGCTTCCATCTCCGTTGACTGAGATGCCCCCCCCCCCACGTCCACTTGTCCCCTGGGGAGGGCATACTCATCTTGCCCGCGTCGATACTCGGACCTACTGGTTATACAGAACCTGTTTGTCCCCCCCCCCCCCCCCCCCGGTAGGAGGGTGTGTGTGGTGGTGGTGAGTGGTGGGGGCGGGTATGGATGCGGTTGCGTTGACGATTGATACGACAGCGAGGCGGGTCCCTGCGATCTCTGGAACGAGGGCTGTACGACGAGCGTGAGTCTCTGTATGAGTCTATGCTGGAATCCCCACTGGAATCTCTACTCCTAGACCTTGAATATCGACTGCGTCTGTAGGGAGACCGGGACCTTCTGTAGCGGCGAGGCGAGAGGGAAGGACTTCTGTAGCGGCGAGGCGAGAGGGAAGGACTTCTGTAGCGGCGAGGCGAGAGGGAACGACTTCTGTAGCGGCGAGGCGAGAGGGAAGGACTTCTGTAGCGGCGAGGCGAGAGGGAACGACTTCTGTACCTCCTCTGCGATCTGGAACTCCTTTGCGGACTTTTGTGCCGACGAGAAGAAGAAGAACTCTTAGCCGGGCTCCAACGATTTGACGTTAAACTAGTCGCGGAGCCTGCTCTTGTGTATTGTCCCGGTGAATATCCATCTTTGCTTCCCTTCCTTCCAGAATGGCGTGCAGGTTTTTTGTCCCGTGTCTTGCCTTTCTCCTCCTCTGTGCTCTTCTTTCCACAGTACAGCCGCTCCTCGGTGCGGTCGGCCATCTTGCTCATGTCGTCTGGGTCCAAACTTAAGCCCAGAGTCTTCAGAATGTACTTCAGGTTATTCTGTTGATCCGTCTTTTTAGGCTCAGGTTGACCTTCTACGCCGTTCGTATCCTTCCTTCTTTGACTGTTTGAGGGCGCTGGTCGCGACTCCTTCTCCGTGGCGCTGTGAACGATATCCCTGAGTTTATCGATGTCCACTCCTTTGTTGAGGATGTTGAGGAAGCGCAAGAAGCCCTGGTTGTCCTGTTCTTGTGCGAGCATTGGAATCTGCAGAAAAACACAAAATGATTCAATAAATGCTACTCGAGGAGATTGGGCAGATTTGGGGGAAAAAAATCTATATGTTGTTTTAAAAAGGAAAGCAAAAGAAATGCTGCTTTGAAAAAATACATTTTACACCAAACTTAGAAATAGGGCAACAATTGTATGGGTGTGTATACTAGGGGTGGGAACCTAAGGGTACCTCACGATACGATACGCGATACAAAGCTCACGAAACCGATTATATCACGATATGACGATTATCGATATATTGGTCAGAAATATAACATATGCCAATACAGTGCCTTGCGAAAGTATTCGCCCCCCTTGAACCTTTCAACATTTCGCCACATTTCAGGCTTCAAACAAAAAGATATAAAATTTAAATTTTTTGTCATGAATCAACAACAAGTGGAACACAATCGTGAAGTGGAACGAAATGTATTGGATAATTTAAACTTTTTTAACAAATAAAAAACTGAAAAGTGGGGCGTGCAATATTATTCGGCCCCTTTACTTTCAGTGCAGCAAACTCACTCCAGAAGTTCAGTGAGGATTTTTGAATGATCCAATGTTGTCCTAAATGACTGATGATGATAAATAGAATGCACCTGTGTGTAATCAAGTCTCCGTATAAATGCACCTGCTCTTTGATAGTCTCAGGGTTCTGTTTGAAGCGCAGAGAGAACCATGAAGACAAAGGAACACACCAGGCAGGTCCGAGATACTGTTGTGGAGAAGTTTAAAGCCGGATTTGGAATTATATTGAAATGGAAGGAGTATCAGACCACTGCAAATCTACCAAGACCCGGTCGTCCCTCCAAACTTTCATCTCAAACAAGGAGAAGACTGATCAGAGATGCAGCCAAGAGGCCCATGGTCACTCTGGATGAACTGCAGATAACTACAGCTGAGGTGGGAGAGTCTGTCCATAGGACAACAATCAGTCGTGCACTGCACAAATCTGGCCTTTATGGAAGAGTGGCAAGAAGAAAGCCATTTCTCAAAGATATCCATAAAAAGTCTTGTTTAAAGTTTGCGTAAAAGCAACACAGCTAATCACCCTGAACACACCATCCCCACTGTCAAACATGGTGGTGGCAGCATCATGGTTTGGGCCTGCTTTTCTTCAGCAGGGACAGGGAAGATGGCTAAAATTGATGGGAAGATGGATGAAGCCAAATACAGGACCATTCTGGAAGAAAACCTGTTGGAGTCTGCAAAAGACCTGAGACTGGGACGGAGATTTATCTTCCAACAGGACAATGATCCAAAACATAAAGCCAAATCTACAATGGAATGGTTCACAAATAGACGTATCCAGGTGTTAGAATGGCCAAGTCAAAGTCCAGACCTGAATCCAATCAAGAATCTGTGGAAAGAGCTGAAGACTGCTGTTCACAAACGCTCTCCATCCAACCTCACTGAGCTCGAGCTGTTTTGCAAGGAAGAATGGGCAAGAATTCCAGTCTCTCGATGTGCAAAACTGATAGAGACATACCCCAAGCGACTTGCAGCTGTAATTGCAGCAAAAGGTGGCGCTACAAAGTATTAGCGCAAGGGGGCCGAATAATATTGCATGCCCCACTTTTCAGTTTTTTATTTGTTAAAAAAGTTTAAATTATCCAATAAATGTTGTTCCTCTTCACGATTGTGTTCCACTTGTTGTTGATTCTTGACAAAAAATTTAATTTTTATATCTTTATGTTTGAAGCCTGAAATGTGGCGAAATGTTGAAAGGTTCAAGGGGGCCGAATCCTTTCGCAAGGCACTGTATATGGCATACATAACATAGAAACATTTTAAGTGAAAAAAAATAGACATTATTTCATGATAAATGGAATGGAGATGTGTAATGTAGCCATATATTAAGTATTGATACTAATTATTATATTAATTATTATTTCAAAATCGATACTTGGCAAATGCATATCGATAATCGATCGCGGGAGAAATTATCGCCATACATTGGAAAATCGATATATTGTCACACTCCTAATGTATACTAGGGCTGTAGTTGACAATTATTTTGAAAACAGAAGAGTTGGTTTATTACTATTTCAAACTAGTTCAGTTGTTCAGCGCAACTGACCTTTTTAAGTGATGCCCCTGGAGAACGTCTTCATAGACAGGGATTGTTACACATTGTGGTTTGATAAAAATTTTCATTCATTCAGTGATTATAGAATTAGGTTTAGCGCTAAAACATCTCTTCAATCCAAGAAAGGTTTAAAAAAAAGAACAGGTTACTATAATCCAATAATCATTATCAACTAATCCAATGTAATTTTTTTGGATTGATGACTGCCCTAAGGCGGGGGTCAGCAACCCGCGGCTCTTGAGTGCTCCTGGAGTGGTTCCTGGAGCCTTTTAAAAAATGTCTGAAAATGGAGGAAGGGCTATATTTCTAGTTTGAATGTGGTTTCTGTAGGAGGAAAAACATTCTTTACATTTTTAAATGCTTTTAAAATGTGTCTAAGTAAAATTTAATTTCAACATTTCTTTAAAAAGTAGAAATGTTACGCGGCCCCGCGGCAGGCGGCCGCTGCAGTAAAGAAACCGGCGTGTTCGCATCATGGACTGCGTGTGCGCATGGATCCCAAAGCTAAAACGAGAAAGTCGATAAACGAAAGTCGAAAAACGAGTCGATAAGACTGAACTAAGAATGAGAATGAACATTTGGTTTCAGTCAATGAGGATGGACTGCTTCATGTTTTAATGAGAAGTTTTGTTTCAACACGAGGAACAATGAAGCGCAAAACACTGCACGGGGATTACGTGAAGGATTCATTCATCAAAAATTCAGAGCACCTATTGTCAGACATTAAAACCTTCGCAAACACGGTGAAAGAAAAGGCCATTAAGGATATTAATTCATCTCTAGCAAACTTCAGCCTGTGACGTGATCGATATGAGCAGACAGTGATGCAGGTGAACTCTGAGCCCAAAGCAGATTTATTTACTGTATTTCTACAATTGCATGAAGGCAAAAAAATGCAAGTCAAACTAAAGCAGAGTCGTCACGTGGTGCGTCATTCACGACACGCTGCAGTGAAAAAACACATTTGATAATCATGAATGATTATTATGTATTTGTAGCCTTTACATTGTCATTTAGATATTAGGCTGATATAGCTAATACAGCTTCAGCCTGTGTTACCTTCATACAACCTGTATACAAGGCAGCTCCAGACAGCTGTTGTTTTTAGTTTTTTGGGTTTTCCTTTTGGGTTCCCGACCCAAGGTATACACTTTTTTAAGACAAATTAAAAACATAATGACAGACATCTACAGATAATCAGGATCATGGCCCCCTAGCATCAAATTTAACTAAATGAGAGAGCAACTCGAGGCTATGGTCTTGACTTCTCAGGTCTGACGCTCAAAGTTGGTAAACTGTGACATAATTTTACAACATCATTAAAAGCAGTTTTCAATCTTCTAAGCAAAGATATTGGGAATTTCCTCAGTCAAATGACATCCTTTACAACTCTATACAACTGCAACTGTGTTTTAGGTATATTAAAGCAGCAGAATGAGACTAAACTTCTACCACTGGATGTTTAGCCTGTAATCTATTACGTACAGGTTTATTCCTTTATGTTTTACTGCGAGATACTGAGATAAAAATGTGAAAGAGTCAAAGTGAACACAAATAAATAGTTCTTTAAAGATTACAGACCTGAGAGTTTGGTGCCTTCACAGGGGGATCCATAAATCTCTTCTGCAACGCCACTTGAACCCGGAACTTTAGAGGGTGATCTTGCATTAGAGGATATCTTATGGGGCTTCTTCTCGTTTGAATTACCTGAGGAATGTGATAAACCAAAGGACTGTAACAGACCACAGAAATGAATGCAAAAATTATTATTTTTTAAACGCACACACACCTTGGAACATCCCCTATGCAACAGAATTTGCTTGACTCGATCTTGTAGGGATAGCGCGACTCTTTCATCTTGCAGTCTTTTGTTTGATTCTGTCGGCCTGTCCGTCTCTTCATCATCGGAGCAAAGCTCTGGATCATCAATTGCAAAACTGCTGCATGTGAGACCGACGGAGGCTCTTTTCAGCATGATCTGCTCTCGTATCGCTCTGAGCTCATTCCGCTTTCTCGCCAGCTCTGGTTCCTCCTTTTTGATAGATATCCCAGCTTTTTTGAGGATTTTTTGTTGAACTCCATTATGCGTTTTTTCATTATAAACATAGGATTGCGAGGGGCCGCCCAGTGGACTTGCCCCGAAGTTCTCATCTTGGTGCAGGGGCGTCGAGTGTCCATCTACACTCGGAAAAGCGTTGTGTTGTTTGTGCATTGTTCAAACGCTATCTACAAGTCCGTACAAGTCAAATTATTCTCTGTATAAAGAAAAAAAGAAACATTAAATTAGTTACTGAGGTCAAATTACTAGTAAAGTAACATCACATTCTCTCCATGTATGAAAAACGATAGATAGTTCCCAGAAAATTTCTCTTCGTTTATACAAAACAAATCTAAAAAATGAAAAAGTCCTCCTGAAAATGTGAGGTTTCTACTCTGAAAAAGTTCAAATCCAGGTTCAAACAGCTCAGCTGAAAGATCTGTAAAATGATTTCAAATGAATGCCTTGTGATTATTATGTTAATGTAAGATAAAAGGTACAAGTCAGAACCAGACTGTAGAACACGTGCCAATATTCACAGGACAGATAGAATGTGTGATCTGACCATTGCAAGAAGATAAGATAGACTTTATTGATCTCACACTGGAGACATGTACAAATAAAACTATCTCTTCTGTAGCTAGCTCAATGGAGATTGTTAATTGTTAATTCACCAACAACAGATTAGAAAAGCAGACAATATGAAACAGCCATCGGTCCATAAATATGCCGTTTATGAGAATAACAAATAATCATAGGAATTAATGTCAGGGCTCTACATTAGCTGTAGCTTTAGCAATATTGTTATGTGATATGTTCGGAACGTTATCTAACGTATCTCGCAAGATAAATGTAAAATATGAGGTATAATCATCAAAATGTGACTGTAGGTTAAAGCATTAAAAAGAGTCGGTGATATCAGTTATCTGACGGTTAGCATGGCAGTTAGCATGGCAGTTAGCATAGCCGTTAGCATGGCAGTTAGCATGGCAGTTAGCATGGCAGTTAGCATGGCCGTTTGTTTACCGTGTGTGGTTCTTCAAGCGCCTCTTCTTTCTGCAGTTTACGTAGAAAACGTGCATTTGCAGACGAGTGGTTCTTGATTGAAAAAAGTGAATCGGCTTCAAACGGATGTTAAAGGCTACATTCTGTGGCTCAGGCCCGGAGACAGTGACATCTGGAGGAGGGAGGACTGAAAAAGTAGTCCAAGAAAATCCATCTACCAAACACACACCATGGTATTTCTAAATAGTCAATAAAAAAAACTTTAAATGTCCCAAAAACACAATTTATAGCTGGGGTATTTGCTTTATGTCTCCTAAACTATTAACTTTGTTTGCATAGTCTGGTAAAGGTACAATTTTGTAAACCAATCAGACCAAAACATTTCATGAGAAAATGTTGTCTCTTGCATACTTGTAAGAACCCTGGAAGTCACTATTTGACGTTTTGGGTTGAGTGGCTGTAACTCTCACCTTTTTGTCTGAAAAAGCAGATCTAAACATGTGACAGAGAGCAGCATTTGAAAACTAGTGTATGAAGAGCGAGGAACTAGTTTGTATGAATTTCATAAGTTTTTATTTTGCAGGTTAAAAGTTATCAATGATGAAAACAATCACTGAACGTTTTTGCACCAAGAAGTGAAACTAAGTTAGCAAAAATATTATCAAGAATCTCTAAAATAGTAAAAAGAATAATAAGGAAGAATCCAAGAATTTACTTTGATTGATAAAATTACACAATTAAAGATCTTTCCAAATAGATTACAAATAACTCCAATGAAGACACATAACTGTAAATCTCTTTTTTAATCCATATTATGGTATGTCAAATATTTACAACATAGGTTTTCAATGTATGTGTGCACACACAGTCTCAGGACAATTTGTACTGAAATAATTCCCAATTTGTATGAAGGCCTATTTCTGACCAAATGATAATAGCAGTGTAGAAAATAAAATATGCAAAAAAAACGACTTAAATTGAAGAGTGCTAAATTTGTTTAAAGATTATGGAGTAGTTGATTTGCAAAAAAACAAAAAATACCATTTGAAAAGTATTTGAAAGACTCATCATTTTCAAATTTACTGCCATTAAAGAAATACATATATTATTTCAACTAGAGGAATACATTTTGTTTGACAAATTTTCTCAACTGATCAGTTTTTGCAAATGACCTCTCCTATTGTTCTATATTATTATTCCCAAATGATCTAATGTCAGACTTGGAAATCGGTGCACTTATCTCAGGTCAAGTATTGTGGCTCAACAGAACATAAAAACAGTATTGGATAAATTTATCATAATCGCTTGTGTCTCAAGTATCATTCGCCTTCTTTCCGGTTGAAATCACTTGCAAACAGCGAGGTCTTTTACCCTTGACGTTCGCTTGCTGTGGCTTTCCTATTGTCGTGGTTGCGGTCTGTTGTGTGTTTGCGTTCATGGCCGCGTTCTTAAACGGAACGTACATATTGGGAAGGAAAGGGTGGGGCATCTGCATTGAATATGGCGACGCTGGGGCAGTGGGAGGCATCATTGGGTTGAACATACTCAGGGGGTGGGGGAAAGTCCCTGGTGGTAGGGGAAATGGAGGCATGAACATGGGGGGCATATTGGGAGGTAAGTTCATGTAACCTAGAGCTGGGTTTTGAGGGGGTTGTTTGTGATTGGGCAGGGCATACGCACTCAGGGAGACCATTTGACTGGGTTGATATGCAACGCTAGGCTTCGCACTACTACCGTGTGTGTCCGTATATTGGGAAAAGTCTGATTCTTCTTTTTGAGAGCCGTACGAGTGGTTTTTTGCAGAGTCAATGCTACTACTGCGGCGTTTGGGAACGTACGAGCCTCTCCTAGGTTTCCCATCCTGCTCTTCATTTCGATTGGTCTCCGTTTCTTTCTTGCCATACAACCGTTCTTGTATTCGGCTAGACATTTGTCCGAGTTCTTCAAACCCAAGCTTGATCCCGATGGCTTGTAAAACGTTGTTCATTTCCTTACGTTTGCTGTCGTCTTCAAAACTTGTGTTCGCAGGGGACGCAGGTCTATTGTCGAGAAGTCGCCTCTCAAAATTCTGACTATCCTCTACTCTTTCTTCAGATGTAGATTTGCCATTTGAGCTGTACAACCACGACTGTGGAGTAAAAGCTGGTCTCTCGGTCTCGGGCCTGAACTGGGGTCTATGAGACGGTTCCTCAGTCCACGGTCTGTCTGGAGAGGGCTGGCGGACCTTTGCGATCTTGTTCAAAGTCTCCACATTCACGCCCATGTTGAGGACATCAAGGAAACGCTGAAACCCTTTGGACAACGTCTTTTCCTGAGTCACAGCAGGGCGTGGAGGGGGCGGGGGAATGGGGGGAGGACTCAATCTACGAGTACGAGGTTCCATCTAAAAGGCAAAGAGGAAATATAAATTATAGTTCTGATACTCAAAGTTCAAATCATAAAAATGTAATAAAATTCAGATAAATACATCAAATTAGTTCCTTGTTCTCAAAACAGTCTAGTTCAATTGCTAGCTTTTACATGCATACATGTTTTAAGATGAGACAGAGGCCAATAGAAATATGTAAAAAGAGTAGAAAAAGTGTTATAGAAATATCCAATTGAGCCAAAAGTAAGGTAAGCTAAATATTGGTAGTCTTTGTGATTTGCAAAGTGCGGCCACAAATATTGCTATTTCAAATCGAGTGCAATTAAACATACAGCCCTAGAAGAGAACCACCCTCTGTCAGCCAATCAGCTCTCATCCCAAAACGTCAAACTCACATGTCTTACTGACATTGTGTCAAAGACAAACTGTTTTCTAACAAGACTATAATAGCATGTTGTGGTACAATTTCTTCACAACCTTTTATTTCTCCAAGACTCTCGGTAATGGGGAAAACAAAATTGCGTATACTTTAACCAAAAGTTAGGTACCCCATCTTAAAGTATCAGTTAATCTGAGATGTACCTGTCGACTTGATCCATTAGGGGGAAACCGGTCCAGATTAAAATCTTTATGATCCCTGGAAAAGCCGCCGGTCCTCTGTCAGAATGCAACAACAGAAATAGTTATGCATGAAAATTAATACTTTCAGATGCAACCCAAAAATTACAGATCTAAATATTAAGCCAATTCATTAAAACAGCTAAAATGTGGAATCGCACTAAGCTACTAATGCTACATAAAAAATCTGATTCATAAAAAGACAACTGCAAAAACCTCTCTTTTACATAGAGTGATGCACAGACAAGTCATGGGAGCGCATGTTTGGGGCCTTGTCTGAGTGAGTGCTTTGTATTGTGGTTTGTATGAGTGAAGAGTTGAAACAAAAACAAACTTTTCAGACTATACTGTGATTGTTCTATCTTTAGTACATAAGTCTGAAATATATTACTACTATTCCTAAATATTGAGTATCAAAACATTTGTCACAAGTTTACATTCCATATAGCTCAAAAAACCTCCATAAACAAAGTGTGAAGGAGCTGGGACATGATTTTAGGGAAATAATAGAATTGCAATATTTTTGACAAATATTTGTTTGTAAAAATACGATTTAGTTAAGAATAAAAAATAACTTTAAGAGACAATTGAAAAAGTGTCGAAATTAAGCAAATACTTCATAAACAATTCCCACAGATAAAACAAACAAACTGTAGTACAATATGTTTTCTAGTGCAAAATATAGCAAAATATATAAAAAATGCTTGTATTAAACAGTTTTGATCCCAGACCAGATGTGTGCAAAATATGACAGTAAATTATGAAGAGATTAGAGATCAAGTTAAATAGTCCCAAAATCAAGTGATTTTTGTTTGCCAAGAACATACAAATAATTGCAACCATGAATACTGCAAGTCCAATTTGATAGCTATTAATAGTGTAGTCTGAGAAAAATGTTGCAAACCTTTTCAAAGACATCCTGTGAGTACTTTTCTCTGCCCGGGTAGCGCTCAGCCGCTGGTCTGTAGCGCGGTTCCTCTTCATATTGACCATACTCAAACACTTCTGCTCTCTTGGAGTGGCCGGACTCTTCTGGTGCCCTTTTGTAGCTATAACCCTCACTGAAATGCTCCGAGGGTTGTCTGTATGAATCTGCTGAGTCCAGTTGGTATCTATGCTGGCCTTCATCTTCAAACGTCCTTCGTCTTTTCTCAAAGACATCATTATCAGGGGACATTGTACGCTTTCTCGTCCAGTTTTCGTTTGGAATAGCCTCTTTTGAATACCTTTTGTCGTTTCCTCTTCCTCTGCCTCTCTGTCCCCTGCTATGTCCATCCTTGTTAGATGTATTATAGTCATCATAGGAATCTTTTTTTGAATGAGATTTCGGCCATTCATTTCTATTGGCTCCTTCTTCATCCCAAGACCGTGGTTCTCTGCTGCTGTAGGGACGCCTCTGCCCGTGGTCATGGTCAGACGTATTTGAATACATGTTTGCACAAATTACGTCTCACGCATGTATGCTGATGAATGCTCGCTCTGTGAAGGAAAAGAAACATGCCGTCTTTATATTTTAGCATTGCTACTAAGAACAGCGAGAACAAAACACTTTCAAAAATGTGTTTGTTTGGAAGAACAGAGAAAAACATTGGGGTGACCATGACTGTCACTCCCTACAGGACACTCAGACTTATTCATCCTCGCTATGTGAAGGAGAGGTTTCCTGCTGCTGTCAGTCTGTACAATGAGAACGGCTGAGCCTGAACATATCATTCATATTTAAATATAAAAATAGTAATATTTATAGCATTATATTGGACTTCAGAATGAGCTATACTGCCAGGATTAATTTAAACTATTCTTTAAAAAATTATAATGTTTTCCAAGTTTTTGATAATATGTTGCCACCAATGCATATAGTTTACAATAATGAACGGACTTATGACAAAAGGGCCTATAATAAAACGGGTATTCGGGTAAGTATCAAATCGTAACATGCAATACTGGTGCATGTGTTATTAAATAAATAAATACAAGTTTTGAATTGAGCAGCTTCGTGATCTTCGTTCAGTCCAATAGTTTATAATCTAAATGTAAAACGTGCTAACGCGCCTCGGAAATGCTAGCATAGGTTAGCATGCCACACGCGAGAGACGCTCACAGCTGATATACCAACCTTATCCAGTAAAATACTTTAGATTATTCCAGGGATTTAAAAATGTTGAATGGTATGAAAAGAGTTGCATTTGTTTGATTCAAATTAAGGTGTCAAACATTTGGCTCTGGGTCACTATCGTGTGTTTGGAAAAGCAAAGCGGAAATCCAGCTCAGAGACAAGTGATCACCGACTGGGGAGATAGCGCCACCATGTGAGCGGAGGGAACACAGCAGCAGCAGCTGCAGCAGCAGCAGCTATTTTGTCTGATTTTTGTTTATAAAAATGTATGCATTTTTGTTTGAAATATAAACACTCACGAGTTTCAGTTTCCTGTTTCATGCAACAGTTTGGGCACATTTTTTTTCCATTAATTCGATTCAATTCAACTTTATTACAGACTCTAGGTCCAATAAAAAAAAAAAAAAAAAATGTTTTTACTCACATCCAGATGGATCTTCAGTTCAATAAACACAAACTCATCTCAGATCTAAAGATGGTCAAAACTCCCAAGATCTGAATTAGCCAGGATTGATCTAATCCAATTTGTAAAGTCGCTTGAAAAGTTCTTTATGCCCCAAGCACACTGTTTTTTTCACATACTAACCACTAAGTTTTTCCCCCCTCTTTTTAAAGAGCATCATAAAGTTTCCCTGAGAGCAACCAATTCCGTTAATGCCTTAGGTGGATGGAGCCAAATACAGGACAATCTTGGAAGAAAAGCTAAGGTAAGATAAGAGAACCTTTATTTGTCTGTATAACCCTTGAGACCAAGGTGAATGTTTGCCTCGAATCAGGACAATATCCCAAAACATGAAGACTTTTCTTACAATTAAATGTTTTAAAACTAAATATATTCATGTGTTAGAATAATAACAATATATTATTAATAATTATTATTAACATTTACAGTCTATGGTTAGAATGTCAATCCCAGTCCAGACCAATCAATCCAGAAACTTTGGTGAGATCTACAGCTACCTGCAGTGATGAGTTGGCGGGTAAAAACTTCTCGTCTGATGCAAAACGTGCAACGTTCTTCATTAACAGTTAAAAACCCTGCCTGGAGACAAAGAAGTGTAGTATGTCTTAGTGGTCTAGTGGTTAAGTTGCAGCGCTTGCACCGCGACGACCCGTGTTTGAATTCGAGCAAGATGTTTTGGATTAAACTATAAATATTATATTCTATGACAGATTGCCCAACAACGGTCAAAGTTAAAAACAAGCCGTTTTTTGCAGATTAAAGCTAAGAGCCAAATCTTTCATTTGAAAGATATTTCAAATCTGGTTATGTGGTCGGTATCGGGGCCCCCAAGGACTCTGTTGCCTGGGGCCCCGGGTTACCCTTTGAACTCCACTGTTCAAAAAGAAAATATTGATGTAATTGTAGCAAATGAGGATTCTCCAAAACTAATGGAGGCTGATTACTCTTTCCAAGTCTCACTTTGCTGTTAAATAAAATAAAATAAAAATGAATTAATGTATAATTTTATTTCAATCTATGTATGAAGACAATCAGGTGTACTGGGGACAAACAACTATTGAAGGCATTATAGGACTATAAAATAACATGTTTTCCAAAAGCACAAACACGAGTAAAGCTGATTGTAAACTTTATTCAATCTTAAATGTTCCCTTCATGAGCAGAAAACAATCTGAAATGTCAAAAGCCTTTTCTCACAGTAAAATTCCACTTCTTCACATTTCTTCAATCAGTCCATTGCATCTACGTCTCTACGCTGTTCACTATGAGTCGTCGTGTCTCCTTGGTGGTTTTATTAATAAATAAGCTACATTCACAGGTGTAGTTTTGATGATTAGTCAGTGTTAACGACGTGATGAAAAAGAGCGAGGCCACTTCGCAACAACAATCTTCACGGGCCATCTCCTGCTGCGATCGCCCAGTGCATCCACATGGGGGCGCTATGACAAAAGAATAAACACATGTTAAAGTTGGACACGTTTTTTATTACTTAGGAGGTTGCATATAGCATGGGGGTGATTTCCCAGAGTAAAACATAATTGAATGTATGGAACAAGTCTTGCCTTAAGCTACAACTTTGATTCTGTAAAGACACTTTGCAGCAAATGGGAGTTTAGAACTAAAGGCTGAATGATGTCTTTGTAAAATCTGGGCTTGAAGCTAGTGACAATTGCTCTGGCTCTAAGCAGTATGTGCGTTGTATGTTTGAGTGACAGGGTTGACAACAGCAGAAGAGGACATAGACTGAAACCATGGGATGACTTTACTGGAGTCAAAAACAGCTTTAGAGTCTTTTTTTATTTTATTTTTTATTTTAAATTCTTATTTTGTCTATTTAGTTGGATTTCACAGCTGTGCATGAGATTCTATTGAGCTTGTTTGGGTGGCTCTGTCAACTGTAAACCGTGCTACTGTGTATGTGTGTGTGTGTGTGTGTGTGTGTATAATAATGAAAACCACATAAACAGCTTCTATTTAGCTGTGCATACAACTGAGAGGTTTTATCTTTATCTTGACTATTTTTAATGTACTGTGATTATTTATGCCTTGTGTGGTTGTTCTTTGTTTTGTTCTGCCTTGTGTACTTTATGTGCTATTCAAATAACCTTGCCTTACCTATTGAGTTTTGTCTGAGTCTAGTGTCTGTGTGTGTGTGAAAAAAGCATTGTTGCCTGTTCCAATTCAAATTGATGTAATTTGTCCATGCATGTGTTTGAATCCAGCACACCTCACTGGTAGAACTTGATTTCTGCATCGACGCAGTCAAAGAACAGGTCTCCGAGCTCCTCTCCTGGGATTTCTCCGTTCAACATGGCTGAAATATCACTCAGACACTGCGACTCCATCTCCCGCAAGATCTCATAAATTACTGTCCCCTCGTCCTGCCGCACACAAAACGCTAAGGTAAAAAAAATGCATCGAAAAGTAAATAAAAACCTGCATACTTTAGTGACATGTTGAAAGCACTTTTAACACATCCCTTTTGAACGTATATAATTTATGTACGTCTTGAGCAACAGTGTTTTTGCTCTGAAAGTAAGGATACATTTATGAGAAAATAATCATTCTTTCATGTTGACCATTTTCTGTGTTAATCTATTCATTGTGTTGAAGTAAGAATACAATGAGTTAGTACTGTAATTTGACAGGTCCTAAAAAGATGTCAAAACCATTTACAGATGCCAACTGTGACTATGGCGCCGAGACTTCATGTAGGTATGATAATAACGTACAAAGATTACTGAGCTAATCAAGTACACAAAAGAAATCCACTTAAAACCAATTAACAAAGCTTATACCCTCTTACAGACATACAGTAACATGTCGATCAACATAGTTTGTTGTAGTGTGTAATTAAATGCACAAATACAAGCAATTAATTCTTTAGAAATCCTTGTACCCAGTTTGGAGCCATAGTTTAGGGACATACAGTATAGGTGCATTCACACTTATTGGACAAGTGGACTCGGTTCACTTCAGAAGCAAACGCAGTCCTTGAGACGTTTTAACACAAGTTGACAGACTGAGGTCAACATTTTGCTTTTAAATCACCAAAAATGAACCATCCCAAAGAGACTGTGCTGGAAGTGTGAGTCCAAACCCATTGGAAAGAAATTTAATGCTTTATGTAATCCAATTCAATCGACTATATTTAAAGAGCATATTTCATAAATAGTTTGTAAAGTGCTGCACAGAAAAATACAAATAAAACCCGAAAATCATTGCAATCGTCATCCAAGACAAAAGAATACAAACCAAATCGAGAAATTATAAAAATAAAGGCAAAACAATTTGGAAGTAAAAGCAAAAAAATGAATAAAAATATAAAAACAAGGTCAACACAACTCATACAGAGAGTTAAAAGCCAGAGGATAAAAGTGGGTCTATAGACGATATTTAAAACATTCCAACAAATTTATATATATAAATCTATCACATATATGTCTTTAAATATAATTATATAATACTGTGGACATCAAACACTACAAACTGCCACCGATACTATTTTGGGTGCACACAGAATTTGGGCCGGGACATCTGGCTGAAATCTCATGGTTTTGTGGTTTTGGGTCACCTCTCTGTATCATACAGCGATGGACTTTGGAAAATTGTTATGTGATTTATTAAAAGACAGTTAATCAATTGTGAAAATATGAATAGGTCATTTATCTGATGCATCTAAAACAGTACTAGTGATAAAGTTCAGCATCTTGCAGATAAAAATAAAATTTGTTGAACCATGGCAAATAAAAAAGGGGACTGTTGAGGCCACCATATTTTCAATACAAAATACAAAATACTTATAATTTATTTGTGACTTACGGGGTTGGTCTCCATGGTGTTGAGCGCCCCCTGGTGGGCTTTGTACAGGTCATGTCTACGGTCTACTTTGCTCTGGAAGCGTGGCTGTTTTCTGACCGGGTCCTCGGCTCCAAACTGTGGGGACACAACCCTCAGCACGGGGGCGGCACAGTCCGAAAACACAAAAGGCTTGAAGACAGACCTGGCAGAGCACCGGGACAGCAGCAAAAGAGATTTAAAGCTGGAGCAACAAAACTTTGAAACTTATCTTTTACTACAGCATGTAATAAAATGTCTGTAATTAGTTTTCACAGGCATGTATTTTGGACCGCTGTTACATCTTAAGCTTTTTCAGACAGAAAAGAGAAAAAGAGAAGAAAGATCAGGTCTGATTGTTCACAGAATGTTACTACATATGAAAAAAGGTTAAGTACCCCAGCTTCAAGAGTTATTGAAAGGAGAATATAGTTACACGTGTCTTAAGGCTAACCCCAACCATAAACCTTTGAGGCTGAGACAAAAAACAGAATATTAGAGAGAATTCATTCATTAAAAGTATATAAACAATAATGTGTATGCCAAAGGTCTTTGTTAAAAAAGTTCATTATTGCCGTACTCTCCTTTTAAAAACAGATGAACACATTTTTCTTTCTCCTAATTTTGAGCTCAATATTATTCTGAGATAGAAGCCTGTTTCAATAATAGTGATTCTGTAAAACAAAAACAAAAATCTGGGTGCATTTGAGGATTTACCATCCATAGTTCATAGTTATTATTGAATGCTATTTATTGTATTTTTCCTCAAAATGGAAGTAAAATCTACTTAAAATGTCTATGCCGTTCATGGAAACATTAAGTGCTTCAACAGCATTCTTTTGTTTTTGTCTGTTTGACAAAGTTGAGATTTATAAAACATCTAAAATAAAACTTCATAGGGCACATTATCTTCATTATGCACATTTCTCATTTTTGAGACGTTATAACATTGCTCCCTCATCAAAAACAGAACCTTTTGTTAGAACCCTGGTGAGACCCACCCCTGCTCACCCCCTCAGCTTCCTGATTGGTCAACATTTATTGAAATCCATTGAAACATTTGTACAACAATATAATGTGTGTGTGTTTCAAAGGCAATGTTAAAAATGTATCTCATGTCTGTCAATTATTCAACAAAAATGCATTTTACTTTTGAATTAAGTACATAAAAACTCGAGTAAGATGATTTTCAGACTTTTACCTGAGGCTTAAAAAAACTAGCATCTATCTTTTTACTTGTGTACCTAAGACCTGTACTTTTGCACCAACTCTGAAGCCTTCACATCATAAATCATGAAATCCAAAATAATATCATCTAAAAACCATGTTAAAGAGGCAAAATTAACACAAATGATGCATAATAACAGTTCTTTATGACATTACAAACCTGGATGGGTCTGGGGTGGCAGTGAAGAAGTGCACACAGGGCAGGCTGGGGTCGGTGGGCAGCACTGACACCATGCTGCCGGTGGTCCTGAAGCCTCCAGAGTCCATACAGATCCCACTGGGTTTGTCTCTCAATATGGACATCATCACTTCTGCCGTGACGGAACCTGCGGCCAGAGATGACAGAAAACAGATATTCAGACCTTCTAATCTGTGGAGAGAGTGTAGGCGGAGCATGGGCACATTGTATGGTCTTGTTCACTCATTCAGCCTCTCTAGACCAAACCTGGGCCAACTGTGGGCTGGGGGCCTTGGTCAGCTATCACACTCACAAACACATTCACCCTGGACTATTGTGCAGACACGGGGCGAACATGCAATCTCCACACAGGGAGGCCTGGAGGTGGAATCAAACCCAGAAGCTCCTTGTTGTGAGCATCCTATACGAGAAACTTCATCTTTAAGGTCACGGTGGTACCTCTGAAATGGACATTCAGAACAACACATACAGTATCTCTATTTTATCAATCTTGTTCATACCAGTTTTCATATCTGTGTTGGTGCGTCTGGAAATGACACACATTTTCATGTTAAAAAGGTCTGTATAACTTATATCAAAACTTGCATAGTTCTAAAAAACTAACATGCTGTTTCTACCGCTGCCTGTCCTTTTAATTGAACAAAACTAGCTTTTAGTCAGCCCCAAAAGTCTTGCAAATCCCACTTTTCAGTTTTTGATCAAAAAGTGTCTGCTGCTTTGTTGTGGTCTTTCAGTAAAAAAAATAATACTGAAATTAAATGTTTATGTTTGTGGTCATGAAGTGAGAATATGTGCAATAAGAGCAGGCGTTTGAGAGTTAGTGTGTTACCGTTGTATTGGTGCAGCAGCTCGGTGCCTCCTCTGTAGCGCTGTTTGGCTAGCTCCATGCGGGCGGGAGGTTGCTCTGGACTGAACACCTCACTGAAGCTGAAGTCTCCCTGACCGTCCCACCAGCCCTGGGCCTCAGCCACCGCCCGCAGCTCTGGATGCTCCGCAGACAGCTCCGTGGAGATGGTCAGCTGGTTTGAGATATTCTTTACTCCCTCTGAACCAAAAACACAGACAAATATAGATTTTCTCCCATGTTTACAAGTAGAACGCACATTTCTAGCATGTGCGTTCTCTAGTCACAAATGTGAAAAAATTAAAAAATATCTTTCTAGAAAACATGTTATCATTTGCTTTTCTCCATTGTGAGATCAATAAAATCTATCTTATCTTATCTTAACTTATCATACTTCTGCCGCTGACTGAATACTTTTCAACCATGATTTGCAGATAAATTTTTTGGGTTGAGAGCTGATTGACTGAGTGAAGGTGGTCCTCTTTGCTTCACTTGTTTGTGTGAAAAGGCCAAAAACACATGTAAAAACCAGTGATAACACTTTTTCCAGAGTTAGGAATTCAATTGATTTTATTACGTAGTTCAAATAGATTTTTTTGAACAGTGTATGAAGACATTTTGAGGATATAGGGCTGAGCTGTCTGTTATAACAAAGTCTACTAACAAATATTTCATAATCATGGGAGATTATAAGTTTGACCTCTTCCCATTACTTTTTTGAGCTTTGTCAGGAATGAAAATATGGAATTCCATGTATGTATGAATATATGTACGAATGTATGTTTCTATCATGGTGCACACTGGGGTAGTCTTGCACAGTTTTTCCAAAGTGGTTTTACTGCAAATGGCAAATACGTTCTTAAATCTTGAATCATGTATAATATGTAATCGCTGTAAATTCTATCATTGATTCCTGTTTTTAAGCTTGGAATAAAACCAATCAATCAATTCTTAGAACTTAACCAAATATAAGTATGATCACATTTGCTCATGAAATAGTTCCAGGTGATGACCCGGTGCCCCTCACCTGAGACCCTCTGAGCTGCCCAGAGCCCGCCTGCTGTCTCCAGGACCCAGGCTTCACGGCGGTCCACCAGGAGGAAGGTGTTGTGGTAGGAGAAGGCCTCTGGATCCTCCCGGCACTGACCGCCCTGTCCGTGCTGCTGCAGTAACTCTGTGATGACAGAGAGGGCGCTCCACGCACTGTCCCCGCGCTCCAGGGCCAAACTACAGACACAGCAGCAGGTAACTACAGGCCGTGAAGCTGTAATAACATTTTATTACAGACGTATGCCGAAGGCCAGAGAGAGAGAGAGGCAATGTGCTGTGAGAATAATGGGAATATGACACACACGCAGGCCCTAATTTACAGATGTGACAAGTAACTATGTATTTTTACTCAATACTGTACTTGGAATTATGTAGCACCTCTGTTTGGATTTGGAATTTTATTTTTCTTAACTTTTTTATTTTTGATAACTTGTATATTAAAAAAGTGTACGTTTGTTCAGAGTAAAAATAAGAACTTCAAGAAAATTACAGTGACAGATTATAGAGTTCTAACAATCATTTATCCAGTGGAAATAAAGGATTAAAGTAGTTTTTTATCTTTTCTCCCACAATTGTTGAGTTGTGCAACACATTTTGACAGTTTATACAAAATAAGAAAGACGGGAAATTTCTCATGTGGAATAAGAGAATTATGTTTTGGCGCAACAACCAGGCGAAAGATATGTTCCAGTGAAAAATCCTCAAAACAAACTAAAATTCAAGTATTAGTCCCTTATTTGTTTGCAAATAAAATTGCAGCTGTTGTGCGGCCTTCGGTTAGCCATACGTCTAAGTTCTTCTTTGGTTTAACATAATTTTCTTTGCCAGTATGAAGTTGTGTAACTGTGCAAAATGTATGATCAAACTGTCAAATATTTCTAAGAAAAATTCAGTATACACAATTGCAAATCAAATGCAATCATAAAACTTTCCTCAGGGCTTGAAATTATGTACGAATTAAAAGAATATTCGAGGTTTTACTGTACAAACCCTGAAATTCATAAATAAGATGATCAGACTTACTATTTTAAGAATATCAAAAAAATATGCTTGTTTTTTATCATGAAATTATTTTACTGTACACTACAGAACCACTCATGTATCTGGAAAAAGTTTTTTTTCTTAAGTATACCAAATAATTAATGAAAATCATGATTGGTGCATTCAGTCCATTAACCCCTGATTTGGACTTGGTTTTGTTTTGGTCTTGGTTTAGTTCCAAATTTGCTGTGGGAGGAGCAAGTGTGAACGCATTCATCAGTTAGAGGGTTTAGAGATTTTGAAAATAGCTATAGTTTTAAGCTAATTATTTGTAGATGTTGAAACAGAAGCAACACTAAGTTTACAAATGATGAATGAAACCAATAGAAACACATCTCAAAAGAATGATTCATGTGACGTAATCTGTCGACACAGTTTATATAGGCCTATGCAAAACTAAATACCTGGAATATCAGAGAATCTCCCATTTATCCCATTGAAGATGAAAAGATAACCGTAAATCCTTTAGTGCGGCAGACTTTCTTGTTGCGACACGCTTTTGGCAATCACCTCACTAAAAAGATCAAAGCTACAGACTTCCACTGAAAGCAGACACTGCAACTGTGCCAATGCCTTTCTCTTCTACAAATACAAATGAATAAACGTGGTGTAAAAGAGAGATAAGATTTAGCGGCACGGTTGACAGCATGATTGGCGTTGTGCTACACATTGGGTAATGCACTGCTTTGTCTCGATGAATCTTTTCCTGTTAATCCTGCTTTGAAAAAAAAAACTTTTGGAGGAAAATGAGGAGTGTGCTTTGAAAAAACATTCTCACAGTAGGTTGCTTTAAGTGAAATTGAAACTCAGGGATTTAATCGTTTCTCTTACCACTAAAAACAGATTCTGAAATGTTAGTAGGACGTTCCTGTTTAAGTAAAGATCAAAGAAAAAAAAAACACCTTTTTATTGTTATTTCAATAATATTCATTATTTTTTAGATTGTATTTTCTGATAATACATTTCTTTTCTTCTCTGTCATTATCTTATTTTGATGTATTTATCCAGTTATTAGTCTGTTTTGACGGGTCAACTGTGGAGCTAAACTCATACCTTGTTTGATATTTAGCCAAAATACATTTTTGATTTGATCGTATGTATTTGTATCATTCTATTCCCTTTAAAAAAAATTAAAGGAGACCTATTCTTCTAAATTGATCATTCTCTTTCCTCCGTGTTACAACATTGTGCCTGATCGATCACAGACCTGGAGTTGTTTTTAGATCCAGCCATGCTAACACCATGAACTTCTGGCACAAACATGTAACTGACTCCGCCACTTGTGTCTAAAAGCTCCTGATGTAATTGTAGCACTATGACATAATGCTCAGAGCAGTTTTCTCCCCATTTAAAACAAAATAATTACCCACGAATTAGTTTTGTAGGGGTAGTTATTTGCCACTCCCTCTAGTGGCAGCAGAGGGAGTTACACGCAGAAATATATTTTTACCCTTCACACTTGTTTCACCATATATTTTCTACAATATTTTTTCCCATACTGAAACATGAAATCACAACGTAAATGGTCTCATTCTCATTTGTAGTGGCCAAATATTAATAATAATTAATAATATCAATATAACATTATTTAACATAATAATAAACGTAATATTTCTTCTTTAACTAAATTACTTAATTTGAAACTTTGTCACTCCCTCAGAAAGCCAATAATAAGACATAAGCTCAATAAAATAAATACATATTTAAATCATATAGAGCAATCCAAAGTTGGACAATAGTTTTGGATTAGTCACAATAATAAATAGCATCACACTAGAGATAAAACCGTAAATAAACCTAATTTTTTGCATTTAAATAATCTATCTAGAGCAGGGGAGTTCAAATTTCAGGGGCTAGAACACATACCACGACAAGGGCCTAAAAGGAACTTAAAAATCTCATTTAAGAAAATAAATAATAAAAAATAAATAAGAGAAAATATGTAATAAAAAGGTAATGAAATAGAGAACATATAAGCGTTTGTATCAACGGGTGCAGAAAGTCTGAAAAAACAGCTCTAGCGTCTACGTAAGTGTTTCATAATTAGAATTGCATTTTCTTGATATTGCCCAGTTTTAAATAATAGTATGTTGACAACAATGATAAAATTTTGCCATCAAGAACTTACCGTAGCAGGTCCATGCCGAGTAGCGCCTCTCCAGGGTTCACCTCCTCTTTGGTCCACACCGCCTCGTTCCCGACGCATACGCCCTGGTCATTGGCCCCCATCTCAGCCCCCCACATCCAGGCAGGCTTACTGAGCACCACCGCATGGGTCTGCTCCACCTGAGGAATCTGGATGTACGTGCACTGGGGGAGAAAAGAAAGCCCAACTTGAATAGTTTTAAGCAGGTAGTCATATATTTTGTGATTTGTGTCCTGTGTGATGTGGACTGTTAAGGGCTTTGTGTGGCTTGCACTCAGAAAAATAAAAAAATATTGATATATTTGTATCTGTTTCTGACAATTCTGACAATTTCAGGCAATTGGAAAATAATCACCAAATAGGGTCTGAAAAAGGAATAGGCAGAAGCTAAAGCCTATATACACCTACCCTATAGTATAAATTACATTTTGTTGGTCCAAAAAGATTTTAAGCAACAGTTTGTGAACAAATCAGACCGCAGCAAGCCGTTTTTTGCTGTCAAATTATATTTTTAAACTGGTACTGGATCTAAAGATGGGACAGAGGTCGAAAATACATGGAGGTGAAAACTAGTGATGGATAGTGATAAACGGTTGTGAGAGCGAGGAACTATTTACATGGGTTAGAGTACATAGTTATGTTTTGTAGCTTTAAAGTTAAAGGGACAGTATGTTGTATGTAATATGCACAATTGGTGGTCTAATAAAGTCATAAAAATCACATTAAAACATTGGTTGCCAGAATCTGTGACACATGTAGCTTCTAAGCACTAATTACTGCAATCCATTAAATATACAGTATGTGCTGCTAGTTTTTGTATATGAATTTTCACCTAACGAATTGGTAACCCTCATTCTCCTCTCTGATTGGCTAATTTGCTTAAAACATTAATTATTTATTGCAATAACAAAATAAGTTTAAACTGTTGTTCAGAAAAAACCAAACATGAGTTGCACATGTCGCCCTAGTATCTGGGGACGCAGATATTAGTTGTATCTGATACAGATACAGATAAAAGATGTCGTTGTCATTTGATTTGAACTTTTAAATTCAGTTCCTTTCAGTATTCCAGCTTAAACATGCAGGCAGCTCTTACTGCTTATTGACCTCTGTAATGATTGAGCTTTCAAGTCCACGATTAAAGAGACATCTGAAACTTTTGTTCATGGGTAACGTTGTCATCCCCTTAAAAAATGTCTATGTGGTTTTTAGAGCAATTCATACATGTTTGAGTCATTTATATACTGTATATATATATATATAATATAATTTCAGTGAAGCATACTTTTTGTTTTACTGGTAAAGTGGCAGAGTGCAGAGCAATACGGCAGGACTGAGGATAGAAATGTGCAGACTCATTTCCTTTATAACAGAGGTGTCATTTTCTTCTGTGAGTCCAGTCTTAGCCTGGAGACCTGAGGAAGTGGGTGGAGCGTGTTGTGCTCCTGCTTGGTTGGAATAAAAACCTGCGCCACAACGGCACACTCTAGACACTTGATTTATAACATTGTTTGTAGGCCGTTTTTCATTGATGGTGATGGGCTACTATGGATTGTTTTACTTAATTTTAAACCCTATTGTCTCAGGAAAACAAACATATAATTGTATCTGTTCTAAAATGTGAGCTAAAATGTCATTACAAGTCATCAGTCTTCCAATACATCTCTTATAGATACTTGTCCCAGTTGAAGCGGATTCAAAACACACACACTTTTATACTTCTGGCCCCAACCAGCTCTTGTGTTTTTTAATTTGAGTTTGACACAACTGTTTTAGAGGAATAAGGACAATGTCAGTTGAGAAGGGGTTGCCAAACGCAGAGGGCAAAATATCCTTTTTATAACTTTACAGACTCCATATGACCTCAAATCCACTGTGATGATCTGTTAATGTACTGTATCCTGCAGACTATGCAACTGTCTTCGCCTTTTTTTAAATATTAAGCAGCTTTTCACTTTTACCAAAATATATACAGTGATATGCCCCAAGTTAATTCAATCACCAAATTCCAACTGGTTTTAAATGGAGTCCGAGTCAGATATATAGAGATCAGACAAATATATGTATGTGGAGCAGAAAGAATGCAATGATTGGATACTAAATCATATTTCTTCAGCGTCTTAGTTACTGTGTTTAATTGACATAAAGCAGTAGTAGCATCTAAAGCGCCTTCTTGCGTCCATATGGAAGTTTACCTCCAGCATTGAGCCTGGTGGGTGGTTTTCCGCAGGATAGAAAATCACCTCCTGAACCTCATCACGCGGTCGGTCCGAGTTCTTCCCAAAAATCACTTGTTCGTGTTTGGATCCAGGGGGCAGCGATACAAAACAGTCACATGACCTGGGACCCTCCGCCATCCTGCCACCGACACAAATGTATGTCAATGAGAGGCATTAGTGGGAGAGGGAATTGTGAAATGTAATAATGAAGTATATCCATTCAGCAGAGCCAAAAAAACAGCATTTTTATGTAATTTCATCACTTTTAACTCGGTGTCCGAATCTTGAATAAAAACTTAGATAAAAGTGATAATCTGTCTTTGTGAACAGTCTAACCAGCCTTCTAAGAAATTAAATTCAAATCAATTTATTATTTTTGTTAAGTTCATTATGTCTTCTTTATGTTTAAGGCTTCGAAAATTAGTTTAATTAGACAAAGAGTGTAATTAAAGCTGCAATAACTCACTTTGTGACATTTTCGAATGTGAGCGCTGGCCTCTTTCTGCTCCCCCTCCCCGCACTCACCGGAGCCATCGCCCCCCCCATAAGAGCTGGTTAGGCCCAAAAGTATAAAAGTACTTCTTATTTAATATACTTTTGAATTTTGACAAATTCCTTATATTTGACATGAGTTTGGATGATATTTTTGAGTGGGTTTAGATTAAATCACAACTGGGAAAAAATATAATAATAATCAAAGTTAGATATAAAATTTAAAAAAATCTATGACCATAACTTAAAGGTATATGGGAGGATTTTCTTCTTCTGGGTGGATCATTATCATTGACTATTGGACCTCCTAATTGTCAATCATTCTGGTGATATGCGAGGCACGTTCTGAGGGGGGCAGTTCTTTCCTAAAATTTGGGGAAATCCTCCTATTTAGCTTTAACTATATGAAAGAAAAAATGCTTTAAAATTAAGTATAACATGCCAAAGTAATCCATTACCATCAATGCTGCAAGTGACTGTAATAATGAAAACTATGAATAATTTCAGGGGCCTCTAAAAAGGGTCCGAGTTTGGCATGCCTGCTCTGAAGGGAGCGGGATGACCAATGTCCACACATGTTAATAAATGTCCTGTATCACCACTGTCCTTAGACCCTCCTGCATTTTAAACATTGATAGATTTCCACAATAAATACCTCAACACCAAACCCAGAAAGTTATTGGGGGGGGGGAGGGGGGGCAGATCTGTTGCACTTCTGACGTTTAGGCCCATTCACAATTAATGTCCACGCCCAGATTTAGAATGAATAGAGAAATCGCATTGAGCACTGCCCATCCCTTTCTCTCTCTCTCACACACACACACAGACAGACGCACGCACACACGCATATGCACACAGGTTGGATTAAGAAGCAGAACACTTTAGTGACAGTAATCTCCACAAATCCCCAACTATTATCAGTCCACTGTCAAATTTGCGACACTTCAAACACCGTCTTTACACGATGTCGTAAAACGCGCGCAGTCGGTGTCTTCATGCAAATAGTGTGAAATAACCATGGAGCTCCAATGGTAACCAGGGGTAGGTGGGGGGGGGGTGGGGCATAATCTGCTTTCTTTTCCCCGACAGAAAGGCCCCACACAGCGGCTTGCCTGCCTCCTGTCACCGCGCTCTGGGGCGTCTCTCTTCCCCTCCGTGCGTCCTCCAGCGCGCTGCCACTAACGCGACAGTTTACGTGCCATTACGCATTGCTCGTTGTGTGTGCATTGCGAGACATACAAGGGCTGAAAACTCAACTAAAAAAGTGCGAAATGTTTACCTCGGATCATTCGTGAGAGCGGACGGTACACCGGCTGCTTTACGGAGGATAGGCTGTTGGAGATGTCTGTCACGTGACTCAGAAATCCAATGGCGCTCGCTTAAAGGTACGGGTCTGTCTGTGATAATAATAATAAAGTTGATTCTGGACTTCACCGCGGGCCCGTGCTCAAGATTCTGATCTATAATTGTAGATTTGTATACAGTTGTATATTGATTTGATTATTAAAGGGTATTCCTCAACTGACCTCCTGGGAGCCCCTTTCTTGACTGAATTCATCTTAATTAAAGCTGGGGGACCTAACTTTTGTTTCTTAAGTAATAATAACAAAAATAGTCTTATAAACGTAGAATTTTGTGAACAAATCTGGCCACAACATGCTGTATTTATCTTACTGCTACTACTACTACTACTACAGTACTACTACTACTACTACTACTACTACTACTACTACACAGATAAGTAGATACTTTATTGATCCTTGTAGGAAAAATTCAGGTGTACAGTAGAAACAGAAACACCTCCATCCATACAACAAAACAAATAGATATTTCTTAAAGTAGCTGACAATAGTAATAGAAGGCAACAGCATTTTAGGTCACAGTAGCAGAGGTACTACTACTACTTCAACTACTACGAGTACCAGAATTATTACTACAATAATTGTATCATTATTATCGTTGTTGTTGTATATTCCACAGGGTACTTGTAAGAAAGTGCCCTGTGAGTCACTATTTCACGCTTTGGGCTGACTTCTGTTAGAGTAAAGATGAATTTTATATATATATTTATATATATATATATATATATATATATATATATATATATATATATATATATATATATATATCTGGAGGTCTGATAGACAGCCATGATCCACGTCCTTCATACTACGCTGCACGCAGTGAGAGAGCAGCAGACACTGACCACACACAAGCTGCACCAGAACAGTTTATAATTAGTCTGATCTCAAACTATTCACAGCTGCTTTATCTTTCTCAAACTACTCATGTGTGCAACACAGTCTGTGTGCACGGTACAATTTTAATCTACTATTTCAAAGAAGTAGAAATAAATCATTTGAAATACTCAACCTTTGGGTTTTTCCGGCTAAACAGATAAACTTGCCTTGACCCTCCTTTTTGGAAATATGTAAAATATAGAAAGATATACTTCAATTTTTCTTTCTGAGCTATTTTCTAAACCAACTTACGTCATTGCTCTTGTTTTATTGATGTACTTTTACGGTGCACACTGAAACTGAAACTGAATATGCAATGTGCAGATCAAATATGTTTAATGAAGTTTAAGCACATTTTGTTGTATACATTTTCTGAGTATAGATCGGACCTTTTCCCACTGGTGCATGGCATAAAGCAGTCTTCGGTCTTACCCATATTTAGTGAGGAAACAGGAACACAAATATTCCTTTCTGTTTCACTTAAAAAAAAAAAAAGTTGTTATGGTTCTCTAGAGATAGGATAAATAGGTCTAATATTATATTATGCATATGCCCCACAGCTTGAGGGAGTCACAGCTGTAGAGTCTCAGAGGCAGGGCTTGTTTCTCTTTGAGCACTTGTATGTTGCTTATTGACCTGAAATAGACAATTCCAGATAGCTCACTGAAACGGGAACTGCACATTCTGGTGTTTTTCTTCTTTCTTGTATGATGATTTTGTTTGATGTGGTTTCAGGACACTCTTCTCTGGAGCCTCTGTCATGTCCTGAGTGATTGATGGGAACAAATCACAGTGATGCGATAACTGTGCCTCTTAACGACGGTGAAGATACTTGACATAAATTGAAAATTGGAAATTATGATCATAATTTTCTTTGGTAAATTAAAATCCAACCATCTCTAGTTTATCTTAATTACATCAGTTACAAAGCCCGATATATCTGCAAAAGAAAGTAACCACTTAATAACATCTTAGGCCAAACCAAAATCATTTTGTGGTTGCTTCAAAGGAGCAAAGTTTTCTCTCAACTCAAAACGACAACCTGGACAAACTTGACACGAGGAATGAGCTGACAGGTAAAACAGAGAAACAGAAAAACAAGACCGTTTACGTCATTCGTCTTAAATAGATTTCCCCAGTCATGCAATTGAGTAATAACCCGAATCATATAACCGGATTGGTGACATGGATCCTGTACAATGTAGGGTTAATATAACTTCTGACTCAAGACGCATGTCACCAGATCATTCTGAATCTGATTTATGGCTCATCTGTCAAGCAACTGCGAAGCAATCATGTTGTTTGGGAATATTGTATTAACTTTAAAAGGAGTGACAAGAACAATTTGCTGAAGAGGAAATTATGACACAGTTTTTAAACATTCTAACACCCCCGGAAAAATGTTTTATGTCTGAGTGGAACATTACTCTTTTATTGTCACAGTCTTTGCAAGAACATCTGAAGACGGGATGCTGGTATTCTTCTCTTTGTGTTAAATTCTCCTATAGTTTTTTCAATTTAATTTCAAATCTGTGTGTGTGTGTGTGTGTGCGTTTTTTGATGCATATTGTCATATAGAATGCTTGCTCTGTCTTCATTCTCTTAAAAAAAACAAAAAACTGAAAAAACTGGAAACAAAGGCCCACGGGCATTTCTGCTTAAGATCCTGTCTGAGTATCTGTCATTTTTGACAGCACCTTTACCACTCCTCTGCAGCATAAAAATGTAAAACACATAAAATCATTATAAACAATTAGTTATATTGTCTACAATTTTGGGATGACAGAAACCAGGGCTATATTTGCATCTCTCAGAGGTCATCCTTTTGCGAGTTGATTGTTGATTGTCCATCCATCCATCCATTTCTGGGTCAGGGGGGTGGCAGTCAGAGATGCCACCCAAGTCTCATAGCACCAGCCCCTCACTGACCCTCTGCAGGGGGTGAGTCCACAGGAGGACGGCTGCTCTCTGAGTGTGAGCATAGCCTTGATCTTTCAGTGGGGGCTTTGGGCAAAGTGGGGTTAAGTGTCTTGCCCAAGGACACAACGACAGCAGTCATCAGTGGGAGTCGGTGTAGAGGTGGGAATTGAACGACCTTCAGGCCTGAAGGCCAATGCTCCACCAACTGAGCTACTGTCGCCCCAGTGTTGATTGTCGCACTTACAAAAACATGTTTAAGGTGGAATGACCTTCACCAAGAGCTGTGTTCCCTCATGACTCTATAGCAGACATGTCAAACTCAGGCTTGTGGGCCAAATGCGGCCCGCAAGACAATGTTTAATGGCCCCTAAAAAGTTTTTCAATTATTATTATGAACCTGCAGCATTGATGGTAATGGGTTATACGGTATATAATCTGTTTTCTCAGGAAAACAACCAAATTGGATCTATTCTAAAGCTCTAACCCAACGCATCATTAGAATAGTTAAATATAAAACAATGTGTTTAATTTTATCTTTGGTCCAGTTTTGGTTAAATATAAACAAAACTGCAGACTACTTATTTAGCATAAAACTTCTTTGTTATGCTAAAGTCAGAGATTTTGTACTTAATTGTAGCTTTTTCTTTATTATAATAAAGTTGGAGATTGGAGATTGCTTCCCTGTTATGCTAAATATAGATATTTTACTTTATTTAATTTAGTAGCGAAGTATTGTTCATTTTTCTTGTGTGCTCCTCATTCCAACTGTTCTGTAACCGGTGATGCAACACTGACATTTCCACTATGGGACGAATAAAGGATCTCTTACTGTAATCTTAAAAGTCATAAAGGTAATGTCAAAATACCTTCATACTGTAAAAATCAATTATGAGAAATATAAATCCCTTATTTTCTTTTAGGCCCATGATTAAAATGAGTTTGACATATGCTCCACCTCTGCTGCTGTGACCTAAAGTGCTGTTGCATTTTAATACTATTAGCTACTTTTAAAATTGTTAATGTATTTGTTTTGTTTATATGGATGCATGTGTTTCTGCTGCTATTAGACACCTGAAATTTCCTACAGGGGATCAAAAAAAGTATCTATCCATCTATCTACGTTGCTATGTATCTATCTATCTATCTATCTATCTATCTATCTATGTATCTATGGGCTCCTGTTGCTTATGAGACTTTTGACAAGCATTTCGGCTGCTACGAAACTTCCTCCACACCCTCCGCTCAAGCTTTCATCTGCTCATCATCACATCCTGTCGACGTTACCCCCAACACAAGTCCAGTAACAACCGCATGAAGCAAGAGCACCTGAGCCAAACATGACACACCCTGCAGGAAGCGGACGTAAACTCACACAAATGGCCCTCAGACAAGCACTGACAGAGGCTCCGCGCTCACGAAAATGTAAACACTAATGCACACTTCCACTGTTGACTTTAGAAAAAATCATTTTGGCGCTGCCGGGTTCTGCACGCCACATGGCAATCGAAAAAAGAATTAGACAGGTTCGACGGCTCATTTCGTCAAACCATGTGGATTTAATCAGAACCAGTTTTACTTGTTTGTTATAATGTTGCAGACAGAACACAAAGTAAAAGACTCAAAAACAATATTGACTATCAGCTCTGTATAGTTGACTTTGTGCTTTGCTCAAGTGGTGTATTCAACAACCTACATGGATCATTATTCTTTATTGTTGAAGATTGAATTAACGGCAGAATGACATTATAAACATAATCACATGGTGTAGACACGTTGCTGACACAGAAGGCGTTTGCAGAGTAATCAGTGGAGTCTTATTCGTGCCAAATGCGTTTGCAGCCAAAGCGATCGTGTATGACAGTTAGAAATATAAAAGAAAGGTCAGATAACTAATGAACTGTGGTTGTGTGGTGGTGAAAACGGGGGATTGTCAGAAACCATGATACAAAATGGTTGAACACTTTCATAAATTACTGCAACACACTCACAACAGCACAATGGGTGAATGAGAAAAGAGGATCGTTCAGTTTTCAATCGGATAATCCAATCAGAGAGCAGAACACAAACATTGTGGACATTGTGACTTTTGTATTTTTTATCCAGAATAAGTCTTTACCCTCTTTACACTTTTATTCAAAAAGGCCTAACTGGATTTATACATGTTGTTGTGGACAAAAAATGTAGATGCAAAGTTAAGTGAAAATATTACATACTGTCTCTTTAAATGGTTATTTTTTTATGAGTGTAAACTCATAATAATCTCCTGCTTTATGCAATGAAATAAACAGTTGAAACCACACTTTGAAACTGAATTCTATTGGAATATTGCAGTCATTGATACAAACAGAAAGAGGCCCTCATCCAGCACAGGTCAGAAAAGGATCAGTGTTTTTCACTTTTTATACTTTTTTAAATACTTTTTTCAGAATTATAAAACAAGTGAGAAACGCTGTGTAACTTCATGAGTAACACTGTTTTGACATGTGTTTAAAAGCAGTGGGTTAGTCAGGACCACTCACTGGACAACACACGCTCCAGAGGAAGATTTCACATCCAGGTCCAGATTCTCACTCACAAAAGCCTGAAAGGTAAAGCTGGGAAAACAAATATGAACCAATTAGAACATGCTCTCTTCATCTTAATAGAAAACATATTATTCTTTACCTATACTTGCAAGAATCAGCCCCACAATGAGCTGTGACAGTAGCGACAGTAGCTCAGTTGGTAGAGCATTGGCCTTTGAGCCAGAGGGTCGTGGGTTCGGGCCCAATCTTCACCATCGACTCCCACTGTCTGCTGTTGTTGTGTCCTTGGCAAGACACTTAACCTCTGGGAACACCAGCCACAGTGGGGCGGCTGCGGCTGTAAAGTGCCAAACTGCCGTTGTGTCCTTAGCAGCACACTTAACCCCCATTGCCTAGAATGAGTCTGGTGTGTGTATGAATGGTTGGTGGTGGTCGGAGGGGCCGATGGCGCATACTGGTCGCCTCGCTTCTGTCAGTGTGCCCCAGGGCAGCTGTGGCTACAGTAGTAAATCCCCACCGTGTATGGAGTGAAAGAATAATGACATGTAAAGCGTCTTTGAGTGTCCAGAAAAGCGCTATATAAAACCAATGCATTATTATTATTATTACTTATTGATTCTTTGGACTGAGCTGATTGGCTGAGTGAGGGTGGTCCTCTCTTTTCCACTGATCAAGCTAATCTAGAAGAACTATCATATGCCAAAAAAATACACGCAGAAGAAAACTAGATATGGAACTGTTCTCAGAGCGATAAAAGTTTGATTAATTTCCGTGCATAGTTTAATTTTTGTGGTTTGAAAGTGAGGTACCCCAGCTTTAACCAAGAGCGCTCAGTTATGGCAAAAATCATAAAAAATTGGGTCATACATTTACATTTCACTGTCAAAAATTAACCTGACTGAAATTATAGTACATATTTGGAATAGTATGAGACACATTTCTTGAAAAGTTCTGCTCTAGGT